CTAAGTTTATAACTCGCATTTATTAAGATATTAAAATTAGCCATCAAATTTCTTCCTAATCATATGAACATTCCAGTATGATTAACAATTTAATATATAGGAAAATTAAAACAGGAGGAAGGGTAAAGCATCACGAGCAGAAAAATAAGTACGCGGTTGGATAAAATTGAAAGAAATATTTACCTGCCATTTGTTACTGTTGGTTCTGGGATGCCATATTTTTCAAACTCAGTGTATTCAATGCAAGTGATACCATATGCCCATTGTCCATCCTGGTTTTCTTTTTCGATTAGTACATTTACCCCTTCAGTAGCACCTGGTCTTCGTTCACAAGACGCAAAACCTAATTTCTGGAGTATGATATGTCAGAATATGGAAAGAGAACACAATAGTTGAATTCAAAGGTGCAAAGTTAACATGGCAGCCAGGATTTGCATCAGTAGCTAATATGGAACACTCAAAAGGTAAAATGAAAAAGAGTTTCATATTACCCCTGGGAAAACTTTTACCTTATCGTGACGCAGGCCTATTCCTGCCAATGCCATCAGTGTTAAATCAGTTGCAGCCACAACATTGCTGAAAATTACAAGACATGCACAGTTACTTCCTTTCCAAATAATATGTTTTGACAATGATTAACAAACATTTGATTCTTAGGATAACCTGACTTGACGTACAGTTGCGCCTTTTCTGCCATTTTGGTAAAGCCATTGGAATATACCTCTATCACATGCAAGTTTCCAAATAGCACCATGACCACCAGGCTTACCAACAGGAAAAAGTGCTCCGCTGGTTAACCATTTACCATCCTTAGCATTTACTACAGGTACCAAAGGCTATAAAAGTCATGATGAGATTTAGTTAGCACTGTACCATAGTTTTGGACAGAATGAGTACCGATTTTACAGACTAGAAAGACACACACCAATAAATAAATAAATAAATAAATAAATACTAGAAATCTTGATTATATACCTGTTCAAATAAGCGGAAATTCTCACGGCCTCTGCCAAACCATTCAAGTCTTTCACATATTGCAGTTATATGCTCATGGTTATCCTTCACAGAGCTTGTCATGATCGCGACAGGAGTTATACATTGTTTCCCAAAAATCTTGAAATGCAAAAATTCCCTAGCCTGCCAAATATGGTGCCATTCACACAATTATATTACTGGTCATAGTTCTTTGAACCTTTTTAAATTTCTCATGACAGAGTGCTACAAAGGAAAAGTTATGCAAGTAATACATATGTAACCATAGACACTTTACACCCTTTTCAATCCTTGTGAAAGAACATTACATAAATGTGGTTTGCTAGAATATTTTTCATATAGAAGTTAGTGTCACCTAATGAGGTGTACTGCATAAATAGAATGCGGAAGGAGCAAACCAGGTGGTTTCTACTTCCTCCATTTCATATTATAAGACTTTCTAGCATTGCCCACATTCACATATATGTTAATGAATCGAGACATATACGTGTGCCTAGATTTATTAACATCTATATGAATATGGGCAATGCTAGAAAGTCTTATAACCTGAAAGCTAAGCCAGTCAATCCCCTATTGTTTTCAACTTTCAAGTGATACCCTCAGTAAAAATATTACAAATAAACAAAAGTTCCATATACTTAGCAGAAGTACCTGCAGATCACGTATGAGGCCTTCTAATAGAGATCTCCCACAATAAGGAAGCAATGCAGCAGGGAGGGATTCACCAGTATCCGAGTCCACTAAACCAAGACGATCACCAGCACCACCAATCGGATAAATCTCTCCTAGTTCTGGCAAACCCTAGAAACGGTCAAATTTCAGTTCATCTAAAGAGAATGTAATGTCTTTGACAAAATGTCCCGCACTAAAAAAATCAGACCACAAATCGCACGGACTATGCTATTGATCTCTTTGGTCAATTTTAGGTAATGTAGACTAGGAAGTAACCTCAATCCCCCACAGAGCAGCTTGAGATGCATATTCCGTATCTTCCAATAGATTAAGTCCACTTGGAACATGGAAGTCAATAGACTTGTGTTTGCTAGGCCGGTGCTTGTGGTCCTTCGAGGCTGAAAGCAACTCCAATGCCATAATCTGATAGCTGGAACCAATAAAGGAATACCGATAGTGTTTCAGATATCAGGGTGAAAGCAAAACATTGTTTAAATTTTAGTGATGTTTTAAAGAGCACTGCACTAGAGTACAAACAAGCTATGGCAATAAGGTTACCAACTCCCAGATTTTGGCCAGGAGCACAGGATTGCTTGGCAACTTTAGTTAATCCCTCGTTTTACTAAGTCTACAACTAAAGCAAAGCAGCAAACAAGCAATTCTCAGTTTCTCACCCGATGATGCCTCCAATGCAGTCATAGAACACGTCGATGTCGCCGAGGAATTTGAGCAGACGCCGGAGAAGCTCCGATTCCCCGCTCTCCGCCACACCCTCCACCACTCCCTCCGAGCTCCACTTGCCGACCAAAGCAGCCAAGCTAGACAGCGCCTGCCGCAGGGCGCTCCGACCATCGCTCCCGCCGTTATGGTGGTGATGGTGCTCGTGGCCGCGACCGTCCCAGTCGAGCTCCGCGCCGAGCACGTGTTCCTGGCCGGCGGCGACTAGGCATTTGAGCAGGAACACCTCCCGCGGCTCGAGCGCGCCCAGAACCCCACCATTCGACCCCTCCCCGAAGAACTCGACCACCCGGGTCTCGGCGTCGAGCGCGCGGAGCTTGTCGGCGAGGGAGCGAGCCCCGCGGAGGCGCGCGCGCAGGGCGGAGAGGCGCGCGAGCTCCGCCGCGAGCGCCAGGTCCCCGCCGCCGCGCGGCTGCTCGCGGGAGGTGGCCGGCCCGGGCCCAACCCCTCGCTCGAGTGGCGCGGTGGAGACGCTCTGCGAGCGGGAGGCCGAGGACGGGGACGGGGATGGGGAGGAGAGCGCGGAGAGGACACGTCCACGGCGGCGGCGGCGGCGGCAGCCGGGGGAGCGGAGCGGCGGGAGGCGGGGCGAGCAGAGGTCGAGGCGGAGGTGGGGTGGAGGCAGCGTGCGAGAGGCCATGCGAGGAGTGGAGAGCAGAGGAGGTGGTGGTGGTGGAGAGCGAGCGGGCGGGAGGAGGGGGGGGAGAGGTGAGACTTGAGAACGAGGGAGAGAATGGATAAGAGGAGGACGGCGAGACCGCGAGAGCGAAAGCGAAGGGGGCATATGCTCTCGGGCGGAATCTCGGGTACCCCTGCGTGCGCGCGGGCGTCGCGGAAGACGCGCGCCCGGCGCGCCGGTTGTCACTTGTCAGGTGATCTTTTTGCTGTTTTCTGGTGGGGCCGTGGGCTGCTTCTTGAAACTTCGTTGCTCGTAGCCCATTTAGGGCCTGTTTGGTAAGACCAAAAATATGGGTCCATTACTGTGTATGGATCAGAAAAAAATGGAAAATTTTGAGGAAAAAGTACACCGAAGGTCCCTCAACTTCTCATCGAGTTAAAAAATATCCTCAAACCGCAAAACCAGATATCCGGCGTCCCTTAACTAATCAAAGCTGGTCACAATAGATCCTTATGTGGTTTTGACCCTTGGTTTTGGCCTACGTGGCGGCTGAGTCAGCGTGGGCCCCACGTGTCAAGGTTATCCACGTCAGCCTCCTATCCTTCTTTCCCCTTTTCTCTCCCGTCATCATCTCTCTCTCTCACACACACTTCTCTACAAGCTGGCCAGGGCGAGGCAGGAGAGAAGGAGCGCGGTGCCACGACGGTGGCGGTCACAGTGGGGAAGCACGTAGAGATGACACAAACGTGTGCGGGACGAAGAGGATGGGCACGATGCGGCGGGCGTGGACGCTGGGAGGCTGGTGAGCTCCTCCCAAGTACAAATCCGATGTCGGCTTTGGCTTGGCGGTGGCGGCAAGGCGGGAGGAATGCAGCGAGGAGGGCGACGCCATGAGGGCGCTTGAGGACCAATGCTACGATGGTGGGGAGGCACGGGGAAGACTGGTCTCGGCTTCGGCTTGGTGGCGGCGGTGAGGCGGGAGGCAGGGACAGGCGCGACGGCGGTAGCTCTCCAGGACCAAGCGTCGTCGTTGCCAGGAGCTAAAGGGCGTCGCCGTCGCTGGAAGCTAGAGGGGCGAGCGGCTCATTAGGGCTCGACTTGGACGACAATGGCGATGTCGAGCAGGCGGTGTGGCGGCGTCGGCAGGCAAGCGCGGCTACGGAGAGGCGACGGCGGGTGAGCAGCGGTTCCGGACGCGGGCGGAGCGGCGGCGGTAGCGGGCGAGACCGCTCTTGGTGTGCCGACGCTCCTCTTGCTAGCGCATGCCGAGGCGGCCTCCGACCAGGCGTGGCGCCGCGACTACCCCAAGCCGTCATCGTCCCCCAGCGCAGGTGAACCTCGTAGAGCCCCTCCTGTCGCTCACGTCATCTTGCCAAGAGCGGTCTTGATATCTCGCCTGTCGCCACGTTGCCCCTTTTCCGATGTCTGACGTCGCTGGCACCATGCTCCCCTCTGTCCTCTTCGCTCTTCCCCTGTGCTACTGTTGCCGCCGCCCTCCCCTTCTCCCACGTAGCCGCCGGCGCCGTGTCGCTGTGTTTCCCCGCCGCAGGCCACCGTTGCGGCCCGCCGCCATCTTCTCTCCCGCCTCGCCTACCGGTCTCTGCACCCACCGCTTTGCCTCGCCCAGAAAGAGAGAAGAGGAGAAAGAGGGAGGGTGATGATGTGGATCACCCTAACATGTGGGGCCCATGTGGGTTCCACGCTGACTCAGCCCCACGTAGGCCAAAGCCGGGGTCAAAACCACCGAAAGACGTATTGTGACCAGTTTTGACTATTTAAGGGACGCCGGATATCTGGTTTTGCGGTTTGAGGATGTTTTTTAACTCGATGACAAGTTTTTTTTTTTTTTGAGAAGGTAACTCGATGACAAGTTGAGGGACCTTCGGTGTACTTTTTCCAAATTTTGTTCTTTGATCAATGTAAGCCAGAAATTGGGCCTCCGAAACGAGGGCTCAGGCCTTCTGGTTTGAGTATTTGACTTGGGCTAAGCAAGGTGGCCCAAAGAGATATTTTTGGGGAGGAGAGGCCCAAAGAAATTTGGATGGAACGCCATCGTTACGGTCCCAGGCTCCCAGCACCAGACTCAAAAGGTAGTGTTTAACATCAATACGGTAAATTGTTAAAGATAAGAATGCCAAAAAAAATCATTAGTGTTAACAAAGTTTAGATGTTGGAAGCATTATTACATCTGCAATGTTTCCTGTTGATAGAGTTTAGGTGTATCCTCAACCGTGTACACAGGGCACACGGAAAGCAATTCAATCAGGCCAGAGCTGCAGATAAACCCAGCACTTAATTATCAGCTCCTCAATTCAAATTCCAACCGTATCACAAAAGGAAAACATTTGAGTTAAAACGACTGATGAAACACACGTGCATGCACCGGTCACTTTGATCGAGCATGTCTTAACGAACAGCACGAGAGCTTTGGCTGTTGGAGATAAGGCGGGAACGAAAAAGCTCGATGTCTTAACGAAACGATTACACCTTCGTTTGAAAAATTTAAATCTCCTGCACGCGTAAATCTCTCATCGCCCCGCCACTATATAAGGCGACCAGGTACCCGACCCCATGAACACACACCAAACCACCTCGAGATCGCTTCACTCTCGTAGCAATGGCGCCGTCGCTAGCCACCGTCGTTGCGATCTTCCTCGCCGCCATCCTCCTCTCGTCGCCACCACCCTGCGCCGCCGCTTCGTCCGCGCCAGCGCCGGCTGCGGCCGGGCATGGCGTCCCGGCGGTGTTCGCGTTCGGCGACTCGACGCTGGACCCGGGCAACAACAACCGCCTCGCCACGCTGGTGCGCGCCGACCACGCGCCCTACGGCCGCGACTTCCCCGGCGGCGCGGCCACGGGCCGGTTCACCGACGGCAAGCTCATCACCGACTACATCGTCTCGTCGCTCGGCATCAAGGACCTCCTCCCGGCGTACCACTCCAGCGGCCTCGCCGTCGCCGACGCCTCCACCGGCGTCAGCTTCGCGTCGGGCGGCTCCGGCCTCGACGACCTGACCGCGAACAACGCCCTGGTGTCCACGTTCGGCTCGCAGCTCAACGACTTCCAGGAGCTCCTCGGACACATTGGCTCGCCCAAGTCCGACGAGATCGCCGGCAAGTCCCTGTACGTGATCTCCGCCGGCACCAACGACGTCACCATGTACTACCTCCTGCCGTTCCGCGCCACGAACTTCCCCACCGTCGACCAGTACGGCGACTACCTCATCGGCCTTCTCCAGTCCAACCTCAACGTCAGATCAATCTACACATCACAACTCTCTCTCTTTGATCTGATCTTCTTTCAATCTTACATAGGTCACTTTAGATCTTAGATTCACGGTAGAGTTGAAATTTGTGTGTTAAATTATAGTGGTTTAGAATTTTAAATTTCATCTAAAATAGAAACAAAATGATTTATCCAAATATTATCAACGTAATCGTAGATCTAATATTATAGACTTGTAGAGCTAAAATTATCCATCTCTAAAAAAAAAAAATCTTGAATCCGCAGCTATGCCAAAGAGGATGACATACTCATCTTCATGATCAAAAGTTAAAACTCACAATGCCTTTGTGTGTTATTATTGACCGTGCAGAGCCTGTACAAGATGGGGGCTCGGAAGATGATGGTGGCCGGGTTGCCGCCGTTGGGCTGCCTCCCGGTGCAGAAGAGCCTCCGCGGGGCGGGTTCCGGAGGCTGCGTCACGGAGCAGAACGAGGCGGCGGAGCGGTACAACGCCGCGCTCCAGAAGGCACTCTCCAAGCTGGAGGCCGACTCACCCGGCGCCAAGATCGCCTACGTCGACATCTACACCCCTCTCAAGGACATGGCCGAGAACCCCAAGAAATACGGTGAGCAATGCTCCTCATCTGATCTCCTTCCGTCCAAAAAAAAACTAACCTTAAATAACGATGGGACATAACCTAACCTAGTACAACGAATCGAGTTTTTTTTTTGGAGAATAAGGGAGTACTCATGCACAAGATCACGTTGCATCCGGTGAACTTTTGATTTATTTGATCATGGTGTGTGTGTGTGTGATATTGCAGGTTTCACCCAGGCGAGCCTCGGCTGCTGCGGGACGGGGATGATGGAGATGGGGGCGCTCTGCACCAGCGCGCTGCCGCAGTGCCAGTCGCCGTCGCAGTACATGTTCTTCGACTCCGTGCACCCGACGCAGGCCACCTACAAGGCTCTCGCCGATGAGATCGTCAAGTCGCACGTGCCGCAGCTCATGCAGTAATTAGATGGTCCGTAGCATAGTTTAGTGTCCAGTGTGTTAAACTAATTATTAAGAATAATAGATATGCATGGTTCAGTAGCTATAGAGTTTTTGCATAGAGTAAAGTCCATCACCGGTCCCTAAACTTGTACCGCTGTGTCATCCCGGTCCCTAAACTCGCAAATCTCGGTCCCTAAACTTGCAGATCACTCGTTTAGGTCCTCCAACTTGTTCAGTTGTGTCACCCCGGTCTCTAAACTTGGATTTGAATATCATCTGGGTCAAATAGGACGGTCTAAAGACTTTATATTTAAAAATAATTCATAACTTTTTCATGTGAACTCTAATGAAGACAAACTTTATATCAAACTTGTAGCCCTCGACGCGATCTACAACTTTGTAGTTGATTTTTTTTTATTTTAAGTCATTTTTTGTCCCAAAATGTAATTTCAAAATTAAAATTTCAAAATCTATAAACATGCAACAATATTTTGGGACCCTAAACAGTTTTAATTCAAAAACTTTTAAACTACAAAGTTGTAGGTCACGTCAAGGGCTACAATTTTAATATAAAGTTTGTCTTCATTAGAGTTCACATGAAAAAGTTATGAATTATTTTTTGATATAAAGTTTTTAGACCGTACTGTTTAGGGACCGGGGTGACACAACTGAACAAGTTGGAGGACCTAAATGAGTAATCTGCAAGTTTAGAGACCGGGATGACACAGTCGAACAAGTTTGAGGACCTGAACGGTCGATTTGCGAGTTTAGGGACCGGAATGACACAACAGTACAATTTAGGGACCGGTGATGGACTTTACTCTTTTGCATACATATGTTATTAGTTGGTCCATCCGTATAGGGTTAGGGGCAACCACAATGTATGAAAAAGGTAACCTTAAGTCAATGATTGCACTTGTAAAGTGAGCCATATACATTGTGAAAAGTAGCATTAGTTTAGGGTGCACCTTATGCTTAAGGTCTACCACAAGCAAAAAGAAAATATTTTCTCTTTCATTCACTTCATGAACAAGAGATGAAACAATTATTTTTCCATTCTATGTGGGCCCATCTTATGGCTAAATTCTAACCATAATATTGTTAGTATGGCTTTAACAATGGCTTATTAAGGTTACACTACACCACAAACATTGATGATGCCCGTAGAGTGGGCAGATATTCAGTGCAGGATGTGTACACAGGGTTAATTTTAATTCAGTTTGGTTTATTCAAAGGAATTGTGAGCCATCTCATAGTCGCAGTCACAGACAACAGATTGATTTGCCATTTACATTGTCTACTAGTATATCTAGATTAGAAATCAAGCGCATGGATATTTTCTTCACATTTGGCCCTGCATATACTGAATTACTGATATGTTCAAACAGTCAAACAGTACAATCACAGACTCCTAAATCTTACTGAACAGGAAGAATAAGGAGGCCCTAATTGATCTGTCACGATCTAAAGAACATGCAGAGACCTATCCATAGAAAGTGTGTTACTGAACTGTGACGGTTATGACTCGCTGATAGAATCGCCATTCTACTACGAATAACAGGTCTGCAGGCAAACCCCAAAATAACTGACGAAACTCCCATAATTTTCCCAAAAAATAAAATAGTTTATCATCAAGCCCCTAAAAGCAAACTTCTCCTTGTCTCCAAATTTTCCCCCAAAAAAGTGAGTTTGGCAACTACCACTATAAGCTTCCTAATCCATCAAAATTCCTGTCTTAATATTAATAACCTGAAAAAGCAAACAGGAAACATTATGGACACATGAATAGTCATATGAAAATTTGTTTGGAAAATGACAATTATTCTGTGTTAATTTGGAAAAAACTAAAAAAAAAGTGAGTTATCATCTGCAATTCTGGATAAATATATTTTTTTAAGACAAGAAAGAAGGTCAGGCACGCTTAAGCCCAGTATTATGACACTCACAATTTCACAATTTTCAGTTTTTAAGCAGTCAATCATACTTGCTATAGAAAACAAGGACTATTGGGACAAATAACGTACTTACCCTAATAAACATCATCTTTACTTGCCTCTGTCTGAACGGACCAGAATGTCAGCCAGCGTCTCATTTTTCATATTGTTCTTGCCTGAAAGGTTGATCTTTGAATGTAAGCACAAAACTTGAGCAATGGCCAACAGTTGCAATCAACACAAATGAGTTATAACATGTCGATTTGTGTGCAGTTCTGCACTACATACAGTCATATAGTAATAATTGAGCTAGTCAATGATACTGACAGAGGCTTATGAGTATTTGTCTCAGCATATCAATATGTTGCCATTAACACAAGAAAATATAAATATTTTAACATAACTGATAACTTATATCTGAGAAACTCAAATAAACACATAAAGAGGCCTAGAGTATGAATCATCTTAACATGTGCCTTTTAAGCTTGACTTTACATAAACATGTAAGCATAATTTAGAAGAAGGTTCAAATTTAAATTTCACAAACAGCAGATAAAAAAAATTTACACCGGAACTTTATACTCCTTCCAGTCATGTTTACATGACGTTTAGGACAACAGAATATACTTCATAATAGCACAACTAAGCTGTCCTAAATGTCTAGTATACTTAACTGGAGGGAGCAGTTGTTACTTGGTAGCAAATTCCTAAATGTGCCTACTGTTATATTGTAGCGCAGTTCTCCTTTTTTAAGGGAAGAACACAGTCTGACTCACTGACTGTAATCAGTAGTGTAGCCCAGAGCCAAGATGGATCCGGTGAAATTTCATACACATTTTGTAAAGAACAGAGAGTGATATTATGAAGACACAAAAGTATCAACAGGTTCATGAGAACTGAGAAACATAATGTAGACTACAATAGGATTATTCTAATAAACCCACTTATGACAGCAAGAAAAACACTTTAATTCCACAAGCTAAGCTAGTAGTTTTTTTTTAGATAATGAGCTAAGCTAGTAGTAACATGTTAAACATCTCCAAGAAACTTTCTTTATAGGGCAATTTTATGGTACTTGAGGAGATACCATGAAGTACCATTTTTTCTATTGTAAATTTGGTACCTCATGATACCTAGGTACTATGAGGTACCAAAATTTACACTAAAATTTTGGTACCTCATGGTACCTCCTAAAGTACCGTAGAATTACTCTTCTTTATAACTAAGGCTTTGGTCGATATCGAAAATGTTCAGACGCTTCAAGAAACGTGTACATAAACAAATTCCAGGGCCGCCAAACAAAATGCACAATGCAGCAAAATTGACTAAAAAACGTACACGCATTCATTGAGTTACCTGCATTAGGGATCGGGAAAGAATCGAGCCACGGTGGGAGCACACATGGAAGCAAGACACCTGACGAGCTCACTGTCGGGAAAACGTCGCTGCATAGCTCAGAGCACTGAATCACCTTCTTCAAGCGCATGTCCACGCTAACACTAACCCTCTCAATCGCGAGGTACAGGACATCCGCGTTAAACGGATCAATGGCACCGATGTACGGTATCCCCTTAGGAGATCCCCCTTTGGCCCCGAGCGTAGACAGCGCCACCTGGTGATCCAGCGTCCAGTGGCCACTCTCGTCGTCCAGCGTGAACGACATGACAACGAACGGCTCCTGATCGGAGACCTCGACGTAGCGCAGCTTGCCGTTGCTGACCCCCATTCGCCGGTGCTTGACGATTCGTTCCATCTCTCTCGAGCACGGTTTCTCAGAGAGGATGCTACCTGCCGGCAGCTTGATGGAACGGGGCTCAGGCCGGTGGCTGAACGGGTCGACAGCGACGGCGCCCCAGCTCACGTCCACCCACCACAGCCGGCCACCGAATGCCACCACCTCGTGGTTCATTCCCATTGCCCGCCCGGGCGGCAGCGGAGACGGCATGACCAGCTTGCTCCATTCCCTTGTCTCCGAGGAGTACCTGCGCAGCAGGAATCGCCGGCCCTCGTCGTCGCCGTCGACGTTGCTGAGCTGCGCTGCGGCGTACCTCTTCGGCGGCCCGTCCTCGCCGCCGCCGTCGCGTTGGGTGAGGATGCCGGTGTGGTGGACGTCCACGGTGTTCTCCGTGCCGTCGAAGTCCGGCAGCCGGAAGAGCTCGCCGGTGAGCGGGTTGCAGACGAAGCTCGCGAAGTGCTCGTAGGTGGTCTCGACGGTGGTCCTGGCGAGCTCTGGGATGATGACGTCAAGCGGAAGCTCCGGGACGGGGTGAGCCGGGCCACGGAAGCAGGCCTTGAAGGTGTAGACGAGGAGGAGGCCGTCGCCGCTCGCGGCGAGGACGCCGCGGCCGCGGAGGGCGACGCGGCTCTCGTCGGCGCTGATCGGGCGGTCGTTGAGCGCTATGGCCTTCGCCGGGATGGTGACGCGGGAGGCGCGCGGGGGCGGCGCGAGGGCGAGCGACACGCCGGCTCCGGTGGACCCGTCCGCTGTCGAGATCCGGTGGATCAGCGCCCACGGAGGACGCGAGGCGGCGGTGGTGAGGGCGCGGCGGAGACGGCCGGAGGCGACGGCGGAGAGGCCACGGTGGCAGAGCATTTTGGAGTAGAGAGACAGAGAGAGAAAGGAGGCCGAGAGGGTTCTGCACTTGTGCTTTTCGAGGACAAGAGGAGAGATGTGAGGGACTGTGGGTGTTTGTGGACTCGGTGCACGGAGTTTTCTGCGTAGTGGTGATGTCATGGCCTCACGGCAGTCACGGGCAGAGAAGGCGTGCTCCATCTCAGATTCTCAGTCAGTAGTTCAGTACAGTATGTAGATGATTCACTAGGAAATGGGAATGGTGGAGAAGAAATCGGTCGGAAACGTTTTTTTTACTTAAGGAAATGGTTGAAAACAGGAGAGAATTTTTCATATTTATGAATTTGACATTTAGTGTTAACTTCAATGCGACGTTGACAGAAATTAGAAAAACTAAAATTTAATACAGTAATAATCGATAAAGATATTATTATTATTATTATTATTATTATTATTATTAAAATTTACTCTCTCTGTCTCATTTTAAGTGCAATTATAAATTTCTATGTTCAACTTAATCGTCTTATTTAAAAATGTTTAGTCAAATTATTTATGTTTTATCATCTAATAACAATAAAAATATTGATTATGAAAAAATTAAATAAAATGGACGATTAAAGTTAAACATGGAAATGGAGGGAGTACATGTTTTGCACCCAAAAACATAAGAAAATAAACGTCCACCACAAAACCAATATTTTCTATTTGTTTCTATTTTCTACTCCAAAGTTCAATTATCGATCGAATCAAGTCATTTCACTGTATTAATAAAACAGTGTCACGCACTGCAAGGAGAAGTTGCAAATCGTTCCCGTTAGTATTTCTCAAAACCAGGGCCACAAAGTTAATCAATACCACAGTATAAAGCCCAACAAACTCGCATTTCTAACAGCATTCTCTCGAAGATTGTTTCAGTTTGGATTGTTCAAACAAGTCATCTCATAGATTGATTTGTCATACATACACTGCCTACTAGTAACAAATTAGTGTAATACATTGGAACGTAAGAGCATAGATATTTCGTCTTCCATATTCGACCAATGCATATACTGTTCTGTTGATGAAACAATACAATCACAGTTAACTTGCAGAACAGGACGAATAAGGGCTCCCTAATTAGATTTGTCACAAGGTACAAAACATGCATAGGCCTATCCATAGAAAGGACGTTACTGACTTGCAGTTAAACATATATGCTGTCCTGTGACGGTTATCACACGCTGATTGAATTGCCATTCTAATACAAATAACAGGTCTGCAGAAAAAGCTCCCAAAAACTGAAGAAACAGTCAGAATTTTCCCCCAAAAGAGAGTTCATATCTTCCCAAAAACTGAAGAAACTCCTGTCTCCAAATCTTCCCAAAAAGAGAGTTCGACAACTACCAAAATCAGTTTCCTAATCCATCAAAACGCCTGTCTCTTAATCTTAAAAACCTGAAAAAGGGGGAAATTATGGACACTTGAATAATCATACAAGGATTTAAAACCCTGAAAAAAGGGGAAACTATGGACACATGAATAATCATACGAGGATAATTTGTTTGGATAATGACAATTATTCTGTATTACTTCGGAAAAACTAAAATATCATTTGCAATTATGGCCAATAATATTTTTAGGATAATTGAAAAAAAATAGAATAAAGAAAGACATAGGCACCCTTAAGCCCCTCCTTAGTATCATGAAGAGTAATACTTTTGATAATACTCTTCATGCACTTAACCATGATGCTATGTCTTTCCTTGCCCTACTTTGTTTCATGATACTCTTCATGAAAAACCCTTGAAAGTTTTCATGGTATTGTTCCTGCACTTAACCATGCTTGCTAGTTGAGAAAATAACAATGCACCTTATTGAGATACATCTAATAATGAAATAAACTAGGACTGCTGGGGAAGTAAAGTACTAAACCTGGAAAACTTTGTATCTACTTGGCTCTGTCTGAACGAACCAGAATTTCAGCCAACGCCTCATTTTTCACATTGTTCTTGCCTGAAAGGTTATCCATTGAATTTAAGCACAAAGAAATAAGCAATAGCCAAAAGTTGCAATATCAAGACAAATGAGTTATAACAAGTCGATTTGTGTAAGATCGTTTGGTTTGAAGTAATATATTCATCCAGGTGGGCATTTCACCTCCCTGTGATCTGTCTAAAAAAACAAGCCAATTTGCCTGCTCTGCACACGATAATTTAGTCAATGAAACTGGCAGGCTTTTTAGAAGTCATCTCTATGTTACTATTAACAGAACACAAATATAATTGTTTTAACATAAATGACAATCTTATACCTGAGAAAATCAAAGGGCAATGAACTTGTAAGTGATATTTTGCCAACATTAACATTGCTAACTATAATAAATACTTGAGGCCAATCAAACACCCCAACCTTTTTAAGCTTGACTTTACATAGAGATGGAAGAAAATTTTGGACAAGTAAATTTAAAAATCACAAATAGCAGGTAAGGTAACAGATTTTACATTGAAACCCTCAAGTTGGTAGCAAATTACCATTCACAAACAACAGATAACTAATTTTAGACAGGAACATTTTAGTTGGTACTTGGTAGCAAATTCCCAAATGAAGCTAGCGAAGAACTGGATTATGCGGAGGTGTAGGCATACTGGCATAGGTGGCTCGATCCAGTCGGATCAACAGAACTTGTATGTGTATTCATCTATATCCAGTTAAATTGTAGTAAGAATTCATTAGTGGTATCGCTAGTGGTATCTAACAAATAACTCTAATAGGATTGGATTAAATTGTAGTGAGAACTTGTATGTGAGAATTCGTTAGTGGTATGGTATCTAACAAATAACTCCAATAAGCTTAAGTCAGGAACGTTAATGAGCTACAATCTCTAATAAATTCCCATGGGAGACTCGGAGGCAGTGACCAAGGCCCAATATGCCTTCCTTGAGAAACACACGCCTTAGCAAACAGGAAGAATCTCTATGATATCCATTTTAACAAAATTAAAACAATAAACATGTGGATGTACTAACTTGGGTAAACAAGATCGAGAAGCGAACTGCAGAGTACATAATCACATTTTGAAAGAAACAATCAAACAAGCAAGTACAAGTGATTACCTGAAGAAGGAATCTGGCATGATCCAAGCCACGGCGGGAGCAAGCAGGGTGTCAGCCAGTTGAGTTGGTCTAACAGAGTGGCCCCAGTCACCAACCCCGTCTCCATGTCCACGCCGATAACCACCTGGTTGCCTGGACCGGCCATGAGGTACACGACGTTGCCTTTAAGCGGATCGATGCAACAGATGAACGGCGCCTCCGCGAAGATGTGGCTTCCGTCCGGGCAGAGCTGTCTCCCGTCAGCCAAGGGCTCCCCGCTGGACACCAGCGTCCAGCGGTTGCCCGCTTCGTCGAGAACGAAGGAGTTTAGCTCGAACGGCTCGGCCCCGGCCGACGCGGGCACCTCGACGTAGCGCAGCCTCCCGTCGCTGACCCCGACTCGCCGATACCTGCTCAGCCTCAGCTTCCGTCGCGTCGCGAAGCCCGACGCCTCGGCGGGCAGCACGCTGCCGGTCGGCAGCGCGACGATGCGGAAGTCCGGCTCGTCGGCGAACGGGTCGAATGAGACGGCGCCCCAGCCCAGGTCGATCCACCACATCCGCCCGCCGAACGCCACCGGTGGGTGGTCGATGATAGTGGAACGCCCGAACGGCAGCGAGGAGAAGAAGCTCGGCATCGCCTCCCACCTCCCCGTCTCCGAGAGGAAACGGTGCATGACGTGGCCGTTGACGCCGACCTCGATCACCGCGTACCGATCAGGCGGCCCGTGCCCGTCCCCGCGATCGGCCTGGGTGAGGAGCCCCGCCGCGCCGCCGGGCGAGGCCTCGCTTCTCGCGCCGCCGATGTCCGGGAGGCGGAACAGCTGGCCGGTGAGCGGGTTGCAGACGACGCGGGCGACGTCGTTCTCGTACACCCCGCGGAGGAGGAAGCCGTCGCTGGTCGCTCTGTCGATGAAGCCGGCGAAGGGGGGGGACTTGCTTTGCGTGAGCGCCGGGGCCGTGGCGGCCGCGGGGAGAGAGGACGCCCAAGGGGAAGAAGAGTTGGGAGGCGCACGGGGGCTCGGCGATGCGGGAGGTCGCGTGTAGCTCCGGCGGGTCCTGCCGCGCGATGTCTATCATGGCCCACGCAGGGCGCGAGGGAGAGGCGACCGTCGAGTGGGAGCGGCGGAGGCGGCCGGAGACCTCACCGGAGAGACCAAGGAGGCGGCGGAGCTGCATGGTGGCGGCGGTGGGGAGTGAAGAGTGGGGGAGAGGGGAGGACGGAGGATGAGAAATTGGGAGAGGATCCGTTGCTTTTGCAATTTCGACAGAGCCGGTGCATGTGGACTCGGTGCGCGCAGTGATGATCCGTTGGTTTTGCCTGGACCGTGGGAGTGGGACTGTTCTACTGGGGTTGAACATGGACCCACTTGTTCTACAGGTGGTGTATGCGGAGGGTGAGGATGCTTAACATTCACTAGTACTCCTACGTCCTACGTGGTCTCACTTTTCTATTATCTCGCGTATCAGTGTTTATAATAATGATAATGTTATTATGGTAGAGCATACGAACCGCATACGGAAAGTACCACGGATCTATTCTACCAAACATGACGGAAAAAAATTGGATATGACAAATCCTAATACTACAAATTTAGAGATATCTCTGTTTAGATTAGAGTATTATGTCTTACAACCAATTACTTCCTCCGTCCCAAAATAAGTGCAGCCATAGTTTTCCGCGCCTAACTTTGACCGTTCGTCTTATTTAAAAAAAATTAAAAACATATGTTACGAGTAAAGTACTATTTATGTTTTATTATCTTATAACAACAAAAATGCTAATTATAAATTTTTTTTAAATAAAACGAATGATCAAATTTGAGAGCTGAAACTTATGACTGTACTTATTTTAAGATGGAGGTAGTATAATTTTTTTTAAAACGAGCAAGTATGTAGTAGTACAACGGAAGTAAAACAGCGAGGGGAAAGCATCTTTGTCTTTTAGCGGAAAGGCGAAGAGGTGCCGTGTTTGAAGGTTTGAATGCCCAGTCATGTCTAATGGCGGTGTTGCGTGTTTCCCATTGGTTGTTCACAAGGTCTGACTCCACCGGTTTTCCCGCCAAAACTGTCTTATGATGGGCTGGTTGGGTCTAGTACAAGCAAGGGTCCATGGGCTGGCACGAACTCACTTCACAGGCTCGGACAACTTGTCGGAATTACAGAAGACCATAAAGCGGGTGTTTAGATGGGACTAGGGGGTGTTTAGATGGGGCTAAAACTTTTTAGCCTATGTCACATCGGATGTTTGGACGCTAATTTAGAGTATTAAACCTAGACTAGTAAAAAAACTAATTTCATAAATGAGAGCTAATCCGCGAGACGAATTTTTTAAGCCTAATTAATCCATAATTATCAAAAGTTTACTGTAGCATCACATTGTCAAAATCATGGCGTAATTAGACTCAAAAGATTCGTCTCGCGAATTAGTCCAAGGTTATGGACTGGATTTTGTAATTAGTGTATGTTTAATACTCTAAATTAGTGTCCAAACATCCGATGTGACAGGGACTTGGAATAAGTCTCTAGAAACCAAACAGGCCCTAAAACTTTTTAATCCATGTCACATCGGATGTTTGGACGCTAATTTAGAGTATTAAATATAGACTAATAAAAAAACTAATTTCATAAATAAGAGCTAATCTGCGAGACGAATTTTTTAAACCTAATTAATCCATAATTATGAAAAGTTTACTTTACCATCACATTGTCAAATTATGGCGTAATTAGACTCAAAAGATTCGTCTCACGAATTAGTCCAAGGTTATGGAATGGGTTTTATAATTAGTGTATGTTTAATACTCCAAATTAGTGTCCAAACGTTCGATGTGACAGGGACTTATTGTAAGTACCTGTTTCCCAAACAGGCCCAAAATTCGCTCAAAAAGAAAATACAGAAGGCCATAAAAAAAATTTCACCAAGTCTATCAAATAAAAATTCTGGCAAATTTGAAACAACTGGGATGTACAATTCCATTTTAAATTCAAGTTCTTTGCGAGGAGTCATAAAGGATCTAGGATAAAAGAAAAAAAATATTAAGGCCAAGCATTTGCACAAGAGATGCGAAGCCATCCATAATATGCTTACAAAGTAACAGAACTGATGCCATGCAAGCTGTTTGTACTTTATAGTAGCCATTACATGCTGATTGAACCGAATCATTCTGATGGAACGACCAACAAGTCGGAGCACTGAAATGGCGAAACTCCCACAACCTCACCAAAATAAGACTTAACTGATTTTATCAGCAAAGACAAACAAACCAAACTTCTTCATTCCCCAGATTTTCACAAAAAAAAAGAGTTCAGCAATTACCACCATTAACATCTTAATTGATCATAGCACTTGCATTTAGATTATGAACCCTGGAAAGTAAACGGAAAACATTAGGGCATGTACAAAGGTAGAGTCGGATATGAGCTCTACGTTATTTAGAGATTAGCATCCTACAACAGTTAGAGACAATATGGTCTCTAATCATTAATGTATCAAAATATTTTTTCTTACTTTTATTTCCTTTCTTTCACCACCATGCAACAAAATTTGCTCTAGTAAATGCTAAGAGTCGACTCTGAGCCGTTGTCATACATAACAACCATACTCCTTTCTCTTTCCTCCATGTCATCAAATTTACTTGCATGGCAATAGAGAGAGACCACTAATAAACACCGTATGCATGTTATCGTGTGAACACAAGTAAACATCGTCTTTTAGAGTTTAGTCAGAATAAAAAGGAAACAAAATCAACAATTTTTGTACAGATACAAGGCCTTTTTTATGTGTTCCTTTAGAAAGTATGAAATAAAAAAAATGAATTGTCAATTATTGTTCCCTGGAACATATGCATTCTCTATATGGATAAATTAAAAGAAATTAGAGCAGATAGTGATATATACATGTTAGCAAGCAGAATTTCTGACTTCATAAGTTGGCCACAATATTGTAGGACAAAAAGAACATGATTCATCCTGATGGTAATGCCAGCTGGCCAGGCAACCTGTGGCATTTAAGCTTAAGCAGCTATTCTCAGCAGCACTAACATTTGGGAATAAGGATGTATGAGCAAATCAAGTACTCCACAACAATTTGAGTATAAGCTCTAGAAATGGTAACACCATTATAAGGAGGTAGACAAATGTACCTAGTATCATTCATAAACTCCAACGAATTCAGAAAAAAAAAGATTAGGAACATCGATAGCATCGAAGTATTGGTCAACCATGATAGACTCATCCACACGATAGCATTGGACTGACGATGTAATAACTAACAGATTATGAGCAAGTTGTTTCTCAAAAGTAACCTATTGCATTAGCTGCAAGCCTGCAACTAATACCCGTAAAAAAAAAGCCTGCAACTAATATGAGAGATCCGGAAGGAGCAATGAAATATGACAAATAGTGGATAAAACAAGGGTACACAAACACATGAGTTAGAAGAGAAAATACCAATAGATGAATTAGCCAGTGTGCTTCATTTTTAACAGCATCTATCTACACGAACCAGCATGTCTGCCAAAGACTTCCTTTCAACATTGGTCTTCTTGCTCAAAAGGGTTTCTGCAATCATGTATACAAGAATTTGAACAGTAGTAACACAGCCATGATAGTGACAAGAAACAATATGCGTATATATCCAATAATTGCAAAAGACATGGTAATGAACATTGCATCAAAACACCTGGGCATTAACTATATGAACAAAATAACAAGTGTTACACAACAGACATTCCTCTCCAAGACCACAATATGCGAGATTCTTCTGGGAAATACCAAGTTCTGGTGCTGATATATGTCGATGATTATCACTGGTATAGTCAATTTACTAGAAGTGCAAGCCCTATCAGAGAGGATTGACTCTGCTTAACCTAGCGGTGGCACCACTTTGAGGGCAGCTATGCAGGATCACTTCAATGGAACATTTTCAATAGTACTGCATTAGACTAGTAGAGAAAGATAGAAATTAAGGTAAACTAGATGCAAAATTTGGAGTTCACAAACAAAATCTGAATAGAATTCACCAGTCAATTTAGTAACCTGAAAAGCAAACAGTTAGCATCAAACATCCTTTTTATTGCATTAGTCCGAATTACATAAAGATGGAAGCAATTGTAGAACACTATAAATTAGAAACTCAGTGGATAACAGTAATAAGATTTAAGCCAGGGACCCTAATGAGATATAATCTGTATCAAATTGCAATAGGATGCTTAGAGGAACTACACTGACCAACACCTGTATAAGCCCAAACGTGTTACATGAAAATTCAGGCGCGTTAGCAGCGAACAGGAAAATCGTTATGGCATCCATTTTTAATAAAATTCAGACATTTTTAGTTAGATGGGAAGTGCAGAACAGATAACCACATGAGAAGAAAAAATGCTTAGTTGATCAAACACCTGTAGAAGAAGGGATCCGGGTTGATTCAAGCCACGGCGGGAGCACGCAGGGTGTCGGCCAGGCAGGCTCATCCAGCACAGAAAGCCCAAACCCCATCCCCCTCTCCATATCCACTCCCAAAACGAGCCCGCTCCCGACCATGATGTACACGACGTCGGCGTTAACCGGATCGATGCAAGCGATGCCTGGCATCCCCGGGAAGGGCGCCCCTTGCGCCCGCAGCGCTGTGCTCTGCTCCATCGTCCAGCTGCTGCCATCGTCGTCGAGCACGTAGGACCTGACCACGAACTGCTCCACTCCGGACACCTCGACGTAGCGCAGCGTCCCCTCGCTGACCCCGACGCGCCGGTGCGTGCTCAGCACCTTCTTCCGTCGTCGCCTCTCGAAGCTCATCTCGTTGGATGAAGGCAGCACTCTGCCCCTCGGCAGCTCGACGAATCGGAAATCGGGCTCGTCGGCGAACGGGTCGACGGAGACGGCGCCCCAGGCGAGGTCGATCCACCACAGCCGGCCGCCGAAAGCCACCACCGGCTGGTCCACGACGATCGGGCGCGCGGCCGGCAGCGGGGACAGGAATCCCGGCATCGCGTCCCACCTCCCCGTCTCCGAGAGGAATCGGTGCATGACGAAGTCGTCGCAGCTGACCTCGGCCACCGCGTACCTGTCGGGCGGCCCGTCGCCGCCGTCGGCTTGGGTGAGCAAGCCGGCGTAGCCCATCAGACCGGGCGAAACCTCGCTGCTTGCACCGTCGATGTCCGGGAGGCGGAGCAGCTGGCCGGTGAGAGGGTTGCAGACGACGCGAGCGACGCTCCTCTGGCCCGGAGGCCGAGACGAAGCGGGGAGGTTGGGAGCCGTCGCGTGGGCGCAGGCGCAGGCGCCATGCGCAACAATGGCGCGGAGGAGGAGCAGGCCGTCCTCGCTGGTCGCTTCCTCGGCGGCGGCACAAAGGGGGCCCTGGCTACCGCGGGGACGGATGGCGTCGTAGGGGACGAGGAGTTGGGAGGCACGCGGGGGCTCTGCGAGGCGGAAGGTCGCGCGTAGCTCCGGCGCCTCCTCTTGCGGCTCGCTGACCACCATGGCCCACGCAGGACGCGAGGGAGAGGCGAACGTCGAGTGGGAGCGGCGGCGGAGGCGGCCGGAGACCTCACCGGAGAGAGCAAGGAGTCGCCGGAGCTGCATCGTGGCGGCGGTGGGGACTTGGGAGAGGAGAGGGAGAGGACGGAGGATTAGAAATTGAGAGGATGCTTTTGCAATTTGTCAGAGCCGGTGCATGTGGACTCGGTGCGCGCAGCGATGATCCGTTGGTTGCGTGGAGAAAATGACCGTGCGATTCTTCTACGAGGAAATCTTGGGGCCCATTTGTCAGTGATTAATCTATGGGTGCAGTGCAGGAAGACCAATGTCAATATGTCATGGATTCTTCTAGCTTTCGCAATAAAGCGTGTGTTTAGTTCACGTCAAAATTAAAAGTTTAGTTAAAATTGAAACGATGTGACAAAAAAGTTGAAAGTTTGTGTGTGTAAAAAAGTTTTGATGTGATGAAAAAGTTAAAAGTTTGACGAAAAAGTTTGAAACTAAACTCAGCCAAAACCAACTTCTGTTATAATGTGGGGTTCTATTTTTCGCCATCAGCAAGCAATCTGTCAAGATTGAAGATGAGAACACACAGTAGTACTCATAACTAAGGAGCACATGCATGATGCAAGCTACCATAATTTTACAGAGAAGAGAACCATAATGTGTTGCACGTAAACATTCTACAGATTTTCTTGACTGCCATTCAGACTTCAATTGTCAATCGAACCAAGTCTATCACTGAATAAAGTAAACATGGTTCATAGCACATACAGCAAGGAGAAGTTGCAAAACGTTTGCCATAATTTGTCAAATGAGGGACACAAAGTTCCATCAGTAAAGCCCAACAAACTCAAATTTCTCGCATCAAAACCCTCAAAATTCAACAGGTAGCACCAGCAAAGTCCAGATGCACAGCAAAACCCAAACTTCTCCCAGCATCCCCAAAATGAGAGTTCAGGTACTTGAAGAAACTGCTACCATCAAAGGGAATCTCTGGATCTCTACCAGTAAATTTCAAGGAACCTGCAATCAATGAGTAAACATCAGTCTCCCTATCTCACAAACAGAGAATAGCACAGAACAAGTGAAATGAACAATCGCCAGTTTTGGTGGTTAACCAAAAGTAACACTGAAACCAGAACATCCATTTGGTTTTGTACCTAAGCTATCAGTCAAGCGTGAAGCATTGCATGACTTAAGTCTTGACTACAGGCTACAGCACAAATTACAGCCTGATAATATAGTACTAGTAACTAGTAAAGTAGCATGCAAGATGCAACATACTTTAGTAGTTCAGTCTACTCTTGAATCTTGATCGACTAGTTACAAATATTTCAGCATAGTAAAAGACACATCAACATGAAGATTCTGAGAAACTTTTAGGTTTGAGATAGTTCATGTCTGCTTGTTCTGATAGGAGTGATTGTCCTTTACCGAAGCAGCAATTCTCAGCAGCAGCAACATTCGGCAATAAAGATGTATGAGCAGAACAAGTACTCCGTGACAATTCGAGTATAAGCTTTAGAAATGGTAACACCATCATAAGGAGGCAGACAGATGTAACTAGTATCATTCATAAACACCAAAGAATTCAAACAAAAAATACAAGATTAGTAACATCAATAGCATCCAAGTATTAGTCAACCACGAGAGACTTATCCACATGGTAGAATTGGACTGAACAGACTATGAGCGAGTTGTTTCTTAAAAGTAACCTATTGAATGACTGCAACTAATATATGAGAGATCCGGAAGGACTGATGAAATATGACAAGTAGTGGATATAACAAGGGTACACAAGCACATGAGTTAGGAAGAGAAAAATACCAAAAGATGAATTAGCAAGTACGCTTCATTTTTAACAGCCTCTATCTACACGAACCAGCATGTCTCCCAAACTCTTACTTTCAGCATTGGTCTTCTTGCTCGAAAGGGTTCCTGCAATCATGTATACAAGAATTTAATCAAGAGACAATAATAGCATAGCCATGATAGTGACAAGAACAATGTATGTATCCAATAATTGAAAAAAACGTGGCAATGAACATTGCATCAAAACACTTGGGCATTAACTACATGAACAAATAATAACTGTTACTACCTAAGTTTTCAGGTTATAAGACTTTCTAGCATTGCCCATATTCATATATATGTTAATGAATCAAGACATATACGTGTGCCTAGTTTCATTAACATCTATATGAATGTGGACAATGCTAGAAAGTCTTATAACCTGAAACGGAGGAAGTGCTACATAACAGGCATTCCTCTCCAATGACAGCAACATGTGAGATTCTTCTGGGAAATACTAAGTTCTGGTGCTGATATTTGTCGATGATTATCACTGCTATAGTCAATTTACTAGAAGTGTAAGTCCTATCAGGGAGGATTTACTCAGCTTAACATAGCAGTGGCACCACTTTGAGGGCAGCTACGCGGCACCATTTCAAAGTAACATTTCAATAGTACTGCATTAGACTAGTAGAGACATAGAAATTAAGGAAAACTTGATGCAGAATATGGAGTTCAGAAACATAATCCGAATTAAGTTAGAAAACTGCAAAGCAAATATTAGACATCAAACATCATTTTTATTGCATTGCAACTCCGAATTACAAAACGATGGAAGCAAATGTAGAACATTGTAAATCTGAATTCACAAAATATACCTATAATAACATTTAAGCCTATGGATGAAAATGAGCTATAACCTGTAGCAACTTACAACAGGAGGCTTAGAAGAACTAACCAACCCCTGCCAAAGCCCAAATGCATTACTCGAACATTCACGCGAGTTAGCAGCAAACAGCAAAAATAGTTACGACGCCCATTTTTAGCAAAAATCAGGCAGTGATAAACATGGATGCACTAACATAGTAACAAGAGCCACTGAAAAAAAAACACACACACACATACAGAGAGAAGGAAAAATGCTTAGTAGATCAAACACCTGTAGAAGGGATCCGGCTTGTTTCAAGCCATGGCGGGAGCACGCAGGGTGTCAGCCCGATGGGATGCTCCAGCAGACAGCTCCCGATCATCACCCCCTTCTCCAAGTCCACCCCGACAACGTGCCTACCATCCTCGCCGATCATGAGGTACACCACACTAGCTTTCAGCGGATCGAGAGCACCGATCCGCGGTGTCTCCTGCAATGGCTCCGACCAGAGCCGGCCGAGCGCCACTCTGTGCTCCAGAGTCCAGCCGCTGCCGCCTTCGTCGTCGAGCGTGAAGCAGCTGAGCACGAACGGCGACGCCTCGGACACCTCGACGTAGCGCAGCCTCCCCTCGCTGACCCCGACGCGCCGGTACCTGCTCAGCGGCGCCTCCTGCAGCCGCCGCCTCTCGAAGCTTATCGCGTCGGCGGCGGGCAGCACGCTGCCGCTCGGCAGCTCGACGAAGCGGAAGTCCGGCTCGGCCGCGAACGGGTCGACGGAGACGGCGCCCCAGGCCAGGTCGATCCACCACATCCGGCCTCCGAAGCTCACCACCGGATGGTCCGCGGTGATCGCTGGACGCGCCGCGGGGATCGCGGACGAGAAGCCCGGCGTCGCGTCCCACCTCCCCGTCTCCGAGAGGAATCGGTGCATGATGGAATCCTCGCCTCTGATCTCCGCCACCGCGTATCGATCAGGCGGCCCGTCGCCGCGGTCGGCTTGGGTGAGGAAGCCGGGCTTGACAAAGCGCCAAGTACCGCCCGTGTCGCCGGTGTCAGGGTCCTCCTCCGGGAGGGGGAGCAGCTCGCCGCCGGTGAGAGGGTTGCAGACGACGCGGACGACTTTGGTGTCGGACTTGAGGCCAGGGAGCGGCGGCCAGGTGTCATCCTTGGGCCTGGGGATGAAGACGGGGTTTCCGCCATGGGCAGGAACTTGGACTAGCTCGAGCGCGGTGCGGACGAGGAAGAGGCCGCCGCTGTTCGCCGCGCAGATGGTGCCGCGGGAGATGACCTCCCCCTTGCTGCCGTCGTCGACGGGGACAGCGAGGGACACGATGAAGCGGATGGGGACGACGAGCTGGGAGACGCGCGGTGGCGAGGCGAGGCAGAAGGTCGCGGTCGTGATTGGCTCCGGCGGTTCTTGCTCCGTGTGGACCAACCCCATGTCGGCCATCATGGCCCACGCGGGTCGCGAGGCGGCCGTCGAGTGGGAGCGGCGGAGGCGGCCAGAGACCTCGCCGGAGAGACCAAGGAGGTGCCGGAGCTGCATCATGGCCGCCACGGCGTCTTGTCGTCTAGTGGTGCTGTGGTGATGGGGAAAAATTGCGAGAGAGAGAGAAAGAGAGAGAAAGGGAGGATGAGAAATTGAGAGGAGACACGGTTCATGTGGACTCGGTGCACGCAGCGATGGTCATCTGTTGGTTGCGTGGTGGACTTGTTGTACGGGGGTGCAGTGAGAACAGCTTTTCTGGGTCCCACTTGTCAGTTATAGTAGTCCATGGGTGGAGTTGGTTCACGAGGTCCGGGCTTTCGAAAAAATTCCTCTATTTGGAACGATCGTACGAGTAGAGCGAAAAGCGAAGCGATTGTTTTGAACGGGAGGGGAAACCGGTGGAAAGCGAAGCGATTGTTTTGAACGTTTGAAGTTTTTTGAGCGAACCTGAACGTTTGAAGTTGAACTGACTATCGCCTGTGCCTGCGCTGCCGACGAGCCGATCGTACGTCACAAAGTTTCCCGCCAAAAATATTCTTGGGCTCCGCTTGGTCATATGGGCCTACAGCCCACAAGTTGCCGTGGGTTCACGGCCCAGCTGAATAGCTTAAGGCGTCCACATCAAAGATATCGGGTTGGTTTGGTTTGTGGCCTAAATAGGCCTTACCAAATTTTATCAATGCCAAATTTTGGCAAGTTTTGATATGGCTAATTTTGGTAAGGTAAAGTTATGTTTGGATTGAAGTCAAAATAGCCTAAGTTCACTATTGAAATAACCTATTTTCTTAGGCATGTCAAAATTTGGCTTCAAACCAAATAAACACTAAGCACTATTGAAATTGTCAAATATTGGTAAGCCTAATTTAGGCCTCAAACCAAACCAGCCCATCATCTCTCTCTCTCTCTCTCTCTCTCACTCACTGCCCCTAAGCTGATTAGACAAGACGATTACAAATCGGGCGTCTGATTTTTAAAGAAAATCGGACATTGTTTCACCATAACAAATATTTGACCACTATAATATTTGTGAAACATAGTTGAAATACCATTGAAACATTTCATTTTCATGGATGAAACATCAAACTTCAACCCGTTGAAACATCCCAAATATGCAAGAAATATGAAACACCATCAAAGTATCCATTGCAATACTTCGATTCAACACGAAGAAAAATCCAAATATATTGGCTGGAACATAAAAAAATTGCGAAAATGTATCAATCCAGATCTAGTTTATTCCTCCTCTCCGGTGGTCGTCGACTGTTCCAAATCCACGCCGGGATGGTGCAATTCCTTTCTACTCCACCAAGGCGGGTAACTGCTGCTGCCCAAGCCTTCATCACCCATAGTCACTGATGAACAGGAGTAACGCCACTTCCAGATCCACGTAGGGGCCATTGCCTTTCTGCAACTTCCACCCGTGTCGATGTTCACAATATCTTGTTAGGAGCTACACAGGAAGGACGCCCCCTCCCCCCACCCCCACCGGCCACCACCGACCCCTGTCGGCCCCATCCCCTCTGCATGGCCATAAACTCAGTCATCGACTAGGGGATGAACCTCCTCTTCATCGCTTCTCCGCTGGCCTTTTGCAGGGCCGCCGATGCTAGGGGGATGGCTCCCTACATCCATCTTCATCGGTGCTGCCTCTCCTCCACCGCTGTTCGCCGCCACGCCGGCCCTCTATCTCCGTCGTTAAGGACGTGCGTGGGAGAGAGATGAGAGAGGGAGGGGGCGGGGGGTCATGGGATATGTGGAATGAGCGGTTGGGAGGAGCCCAATATTTTCTTATCCATCGGAGGCTCGATAGGTAGCGTTTTCATTAACTTTTATTTTATTTTTATAAAGCCCATTCTATTAAAAAAATGATAAGCATTTTCAAACTGAGGAATTTTGCACACAAATTGACGCAGGAACTTGAAAAAGGTTCATCATAAGGCCACCGATTTTGACACAGCTAATGAATTTCTCAAGCAATTTCCTGACCTGGGTCCTTGTGAGACCATTGAAAGGAACAACATGTACACAGAAGCACATAAGCAATCTCCAATTACTACTTCAGATCTGAGTCGAGTATAACACGTGCATAAGGATATCCATTTGCTGATGGTAATTCTGTTGTTTATTCCAAGCAAATAGGCAATTGGCAGCTGGCAATATACTCCCTTCTACTCCCTCCATGCATTTTTAAGTGCAGCCATGGTTTTCCGCGTCCAACTTTTATTGTCTGTCTTATTTAATTTTTTTTTAAAAAAATTAAAAACATAAGTCACGAATAAAATACTATTTATGTTTTATCATCTCATAACAACAAAAATACTAATTATAAAATTTTTTTAAATAAGACGAACGATCAAATTTGGGCGTGAAAACTTATGGTTGCACTTAAAATGGGACGGAGGGAGTAGTACTTTTTTTTGTTTGCCATCAGAAAGCAATCACGCATCAATCTATCAGATGGCCTGACAAAAAATTACATTGATAATGAGACCATATAACAGAGGACAAAGCTTAGATAAGTCATAATTAAGGTCTAAGGAGCACATGCATGAGAAATTTTGCAGCAAAGAGAAGCAAAATGAGTTGAACGTAGACATTGTTTCTAGACTGCCATTTGTCGATCGAATCAAGTCATTATACTGAATAAAACAGGGTTCACAACTTCATGCACACAGCACAGCAAAGAGAGGTTGAAACATATTCCCCATAGTTTTCAAAATGAGCGCCACAATCAGTGATAAAGCCCAACAAGCTCAAATTTCTCATAGCGTTCCCCAAAAATGACGTGTAGTCACCATTCGCTTCCTAATTCTCTCGAACATCTGTCAATGTGAGTAACCTGCAATGCAAATAGTAAACATCAAACTTCGTAATAACGGATGATGACCAAGAATAAACAGTTAAACACTAGGGTCATCTGAACATTCATTTGAATAAATGGGTAATACAGTTAACATTAAGAGTAATTTGCTGTAGTTTCTTTCAAGTAAATGCCGGAATGAATTTCATTGTCTAATAAAGAAGTAGTAGAAAGAACATCGTTCAGTTTAATCAAGATCACTTTCTGACATATATAGTCCACTATACACTGTGAATCGGTGATTACATGAAAGAAGACAATTGTTGAATTCACAGCACAGTACAACAGTTGTGTCAAGTGGTCACCTTGTATCCGGCTTGATGCAAGCCACGGAGGGAGCACGAAAGGCGTAAACACGGTGGGCTCGTCGAGCAGAAAACTCGCAATCACCATGCGCCTTTCCATGTCGACGCCGATGACGTGCTTGCCGTCGTCGCCGCCAACCACGAGGTACACGACGCTGGCGTTGAGCGGATCGATGGCGCCGATCTGCAAGGGCCCCGCCGGCGAGAGCGGGCCGAGCGCCACGCGGTGCGCCAGCGTCCAGCGGCCGCCGCCGTCGTCGTCGAGCACGAAGGAGCTGAGCACGAACGGCTTGGCACCGGACACCTCGACGTACCGCAGCCTCCCTTCGCTGACCCCGATGCGCCGCCACCTTCTCAGCCCCACCTTCCCCCGCCGCATCTCGATGCTCGCCGCGTCGGCGGGCAGCACGCTGCCGCTAGGCAGGAGGACGTAGCGGACGTCCGGCTGGTCGGGGAACGGGTCGACGGAGACGGCGCCCCAGGCCAGGTCGATCCACCACATCCTGCCGCCGAAGGACACCACCGGCTGGTCGATGAGAATCTGGCGCGTGAACGACAGCGAGGACAAGCTCATCGTCGCCTCCCACCTCCCCTTCTCCGAGAGAAACCGGTGCATGACGCAATCCGCGCCTCTGATTTCGGCTACCGCGAACCTGTCGGGTGGCCCGTCCGCGCGGTCGGCTTGGGTGAGGAAGCCGTGGAGAAGATTGTGCCAACTCTTGCTCTCGCCGACGGTGTCCGGGTCCTCCGGGAGGCGGAGCAGCTCGGCGGTGAGAGGGTTGCAGACGACGCGGGAGACCTCCGTGTGGGACTTGAGGCCGGGGAGCGGAGGCCAGGTGGTGTCGTCCTTGGAGATGGGGATGGGGAACTTGACATGGTCGGGCACCTGGGCGAGATCGAACACGGTGCGGAGGAGGAGGAGGCCGCCGCTGCTCGCCGTGCAGATGTTGATGCGGCAGGCGACGTTGCCTTCGGTGCCCGGTGTAGCGGGGCACAGGAGGCAGTGGAGGGGGACGGTGAGGCGGGAGACGCGCGGGGGCTCGGCGAGGCGGAGCGTCGGGCGCCGCTCCGGCGGCACTCGCTCGTCCAACCGCACCGCGTCGTCCATCATGGCCCACGCGGGGGCGGGGCGCGAGGCGGCCGTGGAGAGGGAGCGGCGGAGGCGGCCGGAGACCTCACCGGAGAGGCCAAGGAGGCGCCGGAGCTGCATCGCGGCGGCGCGGCGTGTAGGTGGTGGTGGTGGTGGTGTGGCTGAGAGAGAGGAGAGGAGGAGAAACTGAGAGGAAGCTTTTGCAATTGTCACGCCCGGTTCGTGTGGACTCGGTGCACGCAGTGATGTTCCGTTGGTTTCCTGGAGAAATCGGGTTGTTCTACGCCTGCGGGGTGTAGGGAAAACTGTCGGGTCCAGTTGTCAGTGAGTATTTGGGCCCATTTGTCAGTGTCAGTGGCCTACTACCACTACTACATTGCTGGCCCGCCTCCGTGCGAAGTAGTATTCCCTCCGTCGAAAAAAGCAAACCCAGAATTAGATGTGATATCAATTTTTTGTTCAAATTTACTGAACAAAAACGGATGAGTATTTGGAACGTAGCAGTGCAGCAGCGAAAAAGGAGATGGCTTTGAACGTTTGAGCTGCCCCCCCGACCGTGCCTGCTGCCCTGATCTGCTATTCCACGTCACTAGTTTCCCGTAAAAGTGTTTTGGGCCTGACGCCTGAGCTGCTTGGGCCGTAGAAGCATCAGTGACCATGGGCCCACGGTCCACGGCCCAGCTGAGAAAACCACTAGCCTACATGAACACCTCAAATTAAAGGGAAAATCATCTCTCACTCAAAAAAATGAGGGGCTGGTTTGATTTGAGGCCTAAATTAGGCTTACCAATATTTGGCAATTTCAATAGTGTTTAGTGTCTATTTGGTTTGAAGCCAAATTTTGGCATGCCTAAGAAAATAGGCCATTTCAATAGTGAACTTAGGCTATTTTGGCTTCAATCTAAACACAACTTTACCTTACCAAAATTAGTCATGCCAAAACTTGCCAAAATTTGGCATTGACAAAATTTGGTAAGGCCTATTTAGGCCACAAACCAAACCAACCCGAGGCTATCGAAGTGCTACTCCGGCATTTCCCTCTTCTGACTCCTCAGCCCTGATTATGCAGTAAGCCCTCATATCACTTTCGAACTGAAGAAATTTCACATCAAACATCCCACAATTGAATTTGCCCCCAAAAAATTGGCTTTGTCAAAATTTGGCAAGGAAAACAAACAAGAGTCTACAAATCTACCAGCTCATACTGTTGGAAACAACAATCTCATTTGGAATACAACAACTTCGCAAGGAACAATTCAATTCCATAAAAAAGAGCTGGGGAAAAGTCTCAAGGTCAAGTGTTTGCACATAAACATCACGCTTTCCATAGCCATAATAATAAGATCTCTCACAAATTCACTAGTTACATAACTGAATTTCTGTACGCATGCATTGACTTGTGCATAGGAGCACTGCAGACAAGCATAGCAAGCAAGTTGTTTTTGTGATAACCATTAGTACATGCTGATGGAATCCAATCGTTCTACTGGAATGACCAACAAGTCTGCAGCAAAGCCCCAAAATGACAACTCCCAGAATTTCATCAGTAAAGACCAACCAACAAAACTTCTCCAAACCCCACCAAAAAGAGTTCGGCAATTACCACCATCAGCATCCTAATTCATCAGAACACTTGCATGTGTTAGGTTAACAAAACCTGAAAAGTAAATGCGCAACATTAAAAACCTGAATAACCATAGGAACAAAAATGAGTGTTTTGGGAAAATGGCAAGTTTAGCAAGGTTAGTTTGAACACAAACAAACATAGAGATGTATTTTATTAGAGCTTAGTCTGGATGAAAAGTGAACAGAATCTATGACTACTGTAACAAGTACAAAACATTTTTTCTGCATTCCTTTGGGATTGAAATGGAAAAGGAGTTATCGATTATTGTCCTCTGGATGATATGCATTGATTAAGAAGGAAACAAGAGCAATACTCTCTCTGTCCCATAAAAAATCAACCTAGTACTCAATACGACACATCCTAGTACTATGAATCTGGACATACCTCAGTCCAGATTCATTGTACTAGAATGTATCACATCCAGTACTAGGTTCATTTTTTGTGGGATGGAGGGAGTACTTGCTAAGAAGTAACAACCATCATTTCCGGCTTCATCAGTTTGTGACAGTATAAAGTATTGTAAGGCAAAAAGCCAAAAATACATAATGAATATATTTTATAGTAAGGCTGGGAACCATAAGCTCTTATGAATAATAACTTAATAAGATAGGCCCAGTATTAAGTTTGCACTCAATCATGCTTGTTCAGAAAACAATACTGAGCCTGAATGACATACAAGTAGAAGCAAATCAAACCAGAATCACCAGTAAATTTATAATACAGTTAGTAGTAGCTGGTTACCTGATAAATTAACTACTTCTTGTCACTGCCTGAACGAACCAGAATGTCACCCAACGTCTTATTTTTCGCATTGTCCTTGCCTGAATGATTTTTCGTTGAATTTAATCACAAGAACTTGAGCAACAACCATACATTACAATTCTAAGTAACACAATCTTACTACAATAGCTAAGGAATTAAATTGACATGTATTCGAACAATACAACACAACATACATATGTTGATGTTAATGAGAGAAAATAGCAGTATTTGGACATAGATAACTCAGAATAGTATGTTGGTCAGAAAAGCAACAAAAACATAACAGTCCCTTTACCAATAAGCTTGTTTGCTAATAATTGATTAATGATTACATTGTTAACAACTGATGTATGTTCGAGTAGCAGGTCAAATAAACAGGTCTTAAGGCACAATTAAATGGAAACAACATCCCTAATGCTAACCTTTAAACACTGTATTGCACAAAAAGGAGACAAAAAAAAAAGCAGATTACACAGTGTACATTTGAGATTCAACACGCAGTATAAATCCAGTGATGTTCTACACAAGAACACTAAATTGCAAATGAGCTACATTTTGTACTAGCAAATTCCCAGAGAGGCTGCTATTAGCTTGTGGCTCACTAGTGTGGTTTAGCTGAGAGTTACTGACCAATTCCTTTCAATGCCCAGATGCATTCCATGAACATCATTACACACAAGTGACTTAAATTTAACCAACCAAACAAGTGACTGAACTTATAAAACAAGACAAGTGAAATAGTGCTAATAAAGTGATAATTGCATCTTGAAAAGAGACATGCTAATTAAGCGATGAAATGATAACCTGAAGGTGGGATCTGGCATGACCCAAGCCACGAAGGGAGAACGCAAGGCATGAGCTCGGAGGGATCTTCCACTAGACTACTCCCAATCACCACCCCTCTCTCCATGTCGACGCCGATGACGTGATCGCCGACCGTGGGATAGGCGACATGGGCGTTCAGCGGGTCGAGGAAACCAACGCACGGCTTGGTGCCCCGGAATGGCAGCCACGGGTAGCCTCCGTCGCCCCAGATCTGGCTGAGCTCCACGCGATGCTCCAGCGTCCACTTCCAGCCGCTGCCCTCGACGGTGTCACCGTCGAGCGCGAAGGAGCTGAGCACGAACGGCTCGTCCCAGGACAGCTCGGTGTAACGCAGCCGCCCCTCACTGACCCCCATTCTCCGGTAGTCGCCCAGCCTCAGCTTGTGTCGCCACTCGGGGTTTGTCGCCTCGGGATTGAGCAGCACGCTGCCGATCGGCAGCTCGAGGAAGCGGAAGTCTGGGTCATGGCTGAACGGGTCGACGTGGACGGCGCCCCAGGTCATGTCGAGCCACCACAGCCGGCCGCCGGCGGCGACCACCGGGTGGTCGACTATAACCTTGCGCGGCCTCGTGAGCCCGCACCCGAACAGGTAGTCCGGCAGCGCGTCCCATCTCCCCGTCTCCGAGAGGAAGCGATGAATGGGGAGGTCCTTGCCGATGAACTCGACCACGGCGAATCGATCAGGCGGCCCGCCCCCGCTGTCCGATTGGGTGAGGAAGCCGGCGTACGCCTGCCGAGCCAGACCGCCGTCGGGGAGACGGAGAACCTCGCCGCTGAGAGGGTTGCACACGACGCGGGCGACGACCTTGTCGAAGTCGTACCTGATGCCGGACTGCACAAACCAAGAAGGATCGCCGCGGTTGTCGAACATGTTCGTCGCGGCTTGGCCGGTCAGCTTGGCTACCTCGTCGACGACGCGGAGCAGGAGGAGGCCGTCGCTGTTCGCGGTGTACCTCGGGCCGTACCGCCGGATCTCTCCCTCCAGGCCGGCTGCAGGCCCGCTGGGGCGGCGCCAGAGGGCGCCGTAGGGGACGACGAGCTCGGAGGCGAGCGGGGGCTCGGCGAGGCGGAACGTCGCGCGCGTCTCCAGCGGCACGTTCGGCTTGGGGAGCGGCGTCACGGTGTTCACCATCGCCCACTGAGGGCGCGAGGGGCCCGTGGAGAGGGAGCGGCGGAGGCGGCCGGAGACCTCACCGGAGAGGCCAAGGAGGCGGCGCCGGAGCTGCATCGCGGCGGCGCGGCGCGGCGCGGCGTCTCGTCTCGCCTTGTCGAGGGGATGAGAAAATTGAGAAAACGGGAGGAGGCTTTTGCAATTACTACTCCTCAGAGAGGCGCAGAGGCGCAGAGCCTGGTGCATGTGGACTCGGCGCACGCGGCGAGGATACGTTTGGTTGCGTGGAGAAATGGCCGTGGGGTTGGTCTTCCTGGGAGCGGTGAGAGGGAGCTCTACTCGGGCCCATTTGTCAGTCACAATGGTCTATGGGTGTTGGTTCACGGAGAGGCTTTTCGCCGTTGCTCCATTTGGAACGGCCGTACGATACGAGTACAGTCTACTACGGCCTGTCGGCGAAATGAAAAATTTTGGGTCATATCACGTTTGACCGGATGTCGGAAGTGGTTTTCGAACATGAATGAAAAAAATAATTTCATAACTCGCATGAAAACCGCGAGACGAATCTTTTAAACCTAATTAATCCGTCATCAGCAAATGTGAGTTACTATAGCACTTATGGTTAATCATGGACTAATTAAGCTCAAAAGATTCGTCTCGCAATTTATATGCAAACTGTGCAATTAGTTTGTCTTTTTATCTATATTTGATGCTCTATACATGTGTCCAAAGATTCGATGTGATGTTTTTGGAAAAAAAATTTGGGGACTAAACAGGCCCAAAGTTTGCTTGCTTTTTTGGTGCGAAAAGCGAAGGGATTTTTTTTTGAACGTTTGAATTGCCTCGATTGGCTGTGGCGACTGTGGCAGGTCTGCACATGACCCGATCCACGTCACCTGTTTCCCGCCAAAAATATTTTAGGTCTTAGTAGCTGATTGGGCCTGCGGGTCATATCATATCATAGCCCACAAGTGGCCACGGCCCATGGGCTCACGGCTCAGCTGGAGGCATCTACTACATCGAAGGCATCGACAAGACGACAAGCGACCGGAGATAATAGATAATCTCTCTTTTGAACGGAAGAATTTTACCCAAAAAATTAACAGAGAAAATTAAATCTTGAAAGATTCATCATAAGGCCAGGGATTTCTAGAGAAGTACTGAATAGCTCAAGCAAGTTATGGACTTGGGTCCTTGTGAGTCTTCAAAGGAACAACCTGTACAGAGAAGCAATCTCCAATTCCTACTTCATATTGTACGGGGTAGAACATAACATGCACATAAGGATATGAATTTGCTGAACTGATCTTTGAAAGTCTATCCTACGCCATTGGTACCTCATCTGTTTTATAATACAATACTTTCTAACATTGCCCATATTTATATAGATATTAATAAATCTATATATATATATATATTCATTAACATTTATATTGATGTAGGCAATGTTAGAAAGTCTTATAATATGAAACGGAGGGAGTAGTTTGGAATGTAATGTTGGGGGGTTCTATTTTTTACCGTCAGATAGCTAGCAAGCAAAGCACCAGTGTCAGAATTCAAAAGACCCCGAAAAAACATATTCCATTGATGAATGATGAACACATAACATCGAAGAAAACTTAGATATAAGGAGCATATGCATGATGCAAAAATGTAATCGTTGTATGTGTTGTTCTAGACTGCGGTTCAAAGCTCAACTGGCGATGGAATCAAGTCATTTCACTGAAATAATAATAAACATGGCTCGTGCATAGCTAAGAGAAGTTGCAAAATGTTTCCCAGAATTTGTCAAAATGAGGGGCCACAAAGTTCATCAGGAAAGCCCCAAAACCCAAACTTTTCACAGCATTCCCACAAGGTGTGTCAGAAACCATCACCATTCGCCTCCTAATTCTCCAGAAAAACCTCGTCTGTCAATTTTGAGAAACCCTGCAAATCAAATAATAAACATGAGACTCCCTTGTCTCTACTATCTTTGTAATAATTCTGACAAAGAAGTAAACACTAGGGGCATATGAACACACATGAAGAAGAGCTACATTTATCTGTTTTTAATTCAGTGAAAATAAACAAGTAAATAGAAACGCCACTACATAATGAGATGCCGTCTAGCTTTATAGTTTAAACACTGAAATAATGAGCTGCGTCTCAACAGCATTGCGACATAATTTAATTTGAGGGTTTTTAGGGTCCATGGGAGTATGTTCTAGTGTTAATCATGACTCATGGGTTTGTATACTGAACCTCTCCATAGTCAATACTCCCAAGGAGTCAAGGGCACTCCAAGAACTCATTCAATTTATATAACACAGAATTCTAACATGATCAATAGTTAAGGAGCAACAACAACAACAACAGCATTCAGTCTAGGCAAGATCAGTTGGTAATAATATGTGCCATATACTTACAGCCCCATGTTTTCCAATAAGTCATAATGAACTAGAGGGCAGCAATAGTCCCTATTGGCAGTCAGCACACTTACAGTTGAGCATTATACATTTATACTTGTGTCTGCCAAGTCTCTTATTGCAAATTAATTCAAAATACACAACTATTCTACATCTTCCGCAAAAGAAAAATGACATTGCAAATACATGTAAATAAACAAACCATCCTGAACTTGGAAAGCAATCAGATACCGCCACTAATTGATAAAACAGTGAAAGTTAGTTAACAGAAAGTACCATGAGATCAAAAGCTGATAAAATTCACTTCTTCAGTTCTATGTCTACATGAACCGACATGTCTGAGTATGACGGAGTATTGCTTTTCATCTTGGCCTTCTTGCTCCAATGGATCCCTTTATTCACAAAGATAAGAAACTAAACAATCAGTATATGCTTCTCTACAATGTATCCAAGATATAAAACAGCAAACGAAATAAGACACTGAACAGGGGCATCACATAGATATACGTTTACACCCAATTTTTAGATAATGGAAATGGATTACATCTCCGGCGTTTACACTAAATTAGATGAATGGAATGCATAATAATAAACATACTATATTCAAATTAGCCGAGAGAGAGAGAGAGAGAGAGAGAGAGAGAGAGAGAGAGAGAGAGAGAGAGAGAGAGAGAGAGAAATCAGCATCCTTTGGCTTTACATCTACTCCTAAATGCTTCCTGTTTCAACCTTGGCTACAAAAGTATCCAAGTTCCACTCTTTCTCCCCAAATTCACCATTTCGCCACAACTATTCCCGATTTGCCCCAAAATTCTAGTACAATTGGTAAAATAAGGATTTTAAAGACATGTTAAAACGAAATATACTAACTCCAACTAACATTTACATAGTGCACTTCAGCAATTGGATAACTCAAACAAGCATCATAGAAGAAGCGTGACTACAAATAAAAGTATGAATCTTGTTTCAAAAGTAAACAAATACCTTCAGGAATCTGGCTTGATTCAAGCCACGGTGGGAGTACACAAGGCAGGAGGGGAAAGTCAGCACAACCCAAACGAGAACTGTCAATCGCCCTCTCCTTAATCATGTCTATGCTGAGCATCTGATCACCAACTATGAGGTGCACGATGTTGGCGTTCAGTGGATCAATGGCCCCAATCCTTGGCATGCCACCCAAGGGAACCGACGCGTGGTGCTCATCCTTCCAGATCGGGCCGAAGGCCACCTCGTGCTCCAGCGTCCAGGAGTCGCCGCCCTCGTCGTCGTCGGCGAGCGAGAACGACCTGATCAAGAACTGCTTCCCCAAAGACACCTCGACATAGCGGAGCTTGCCCTCGCTGACCCCCATGCGCCTGTACTTGCCAAGCTCCCTTAGCATCACCACGTCGTCAAGGTCAGGCAGCACGCTCTCCTTGGGCAGCTCGACGAACCGGAGCTCCGGCCGGTCGCTGAAGGGGTCGATGGTGACGGCGCCCCAGCTCGCATCGACCCACCATAGCCGGTCGCCGAAGGCCACCACCTCCTGGTCGATGTCGACCGTCCTCCTGGCTGGCAATGGGGACGGCATGCCCACCAGCTTGTCCCACTCCCCGGAATCCGAGAGAAATCGCCGCACGAGCCACCCCTGGCCGTCTTCCTCGCGGTTGCCGTCGAGCTCCGCCACCGCGTACCGAGCAGGCGGCCCCTGACCGGCATCGGACTGGGTGAGGAGCCCGAAGTGGAGGTACCTCGAGGTCTTCTTCGTGCCGTTGAGGTCGGGGAGGCGGTACATCTCGCCGCTGAGCGGGTTGCAGATGAACCGCGTCACCTCCGGGTCGCGGTCGACGCCGTCGAGGGCCCACTCGCGCATCGGCTCGCCGCCGCGGCTGCCGACGGTGGGGAGGTGGTTGCGGGAGTCGTAGAAGCGGACGGGGACGAGGCCGTCGCCGCTCGTGGCGCGGACGTCCGTGGAGACCGTGCCGAACATCTCGGACTCGGCGTCGTGGCGGAGGCGGGGGTCGACGAAGCTGGCGGCGAAGGTGAGGTAGGAGACGCACGGCGGGTAGTCGGCGTGGAGCGACGCGCCCGGCTGCGACGACGCCCCGGACCGGTCCATCTTCGACAGCTGGAGCAGCGCCCACGGGGGCCGCGCCGGCGACGCGGCGCGCGTGGAGAGGTAGCGGGCGAGGCCGCCGGAGACGGCGCCGGTGAGGCGGCGGAGGCGGAGCATCGCGCGCGGAGGCGTGGAGGTGGAGGTCGCGGTGATTTGGTGTAGTAGTAGTAGTAGTAGTAGCCTGTAGTGTACTACTGGTAGCAGAGAAGGGGAGAAGAGGGTTTTGTGTTTGTGGGAGAAACCGAGAGAAGGGGATGCGGAATGAACATGAACTCGCTCTACGGACCAAGGAAAAGCAGCGTGGTCAAAAGAAGAAGGGAAGACTCTTCAGACTTTACTATCAAGCTGTACTCGGATATTTTTTTTTCTTTAATTACAAGCTGCATTTAATTACTTTGGATATTTTAACTACAAAGCTGCATTTAATGGTATTTCAGTAGGAATTAATTTTTAGAAATCCAAATAATTTAGAAATTTTCTCAAACTGAACGCGCCCCTAATGCTTTCTCAGGTGACAAAATCGAAGGGCCTAATAAAACCTTTATAGTTAAGATAACTGTTGGGCCTGTAGCCCATCTACAGTAATTTATCTATGAGACTCCGACTACAAACCTTCCCGAGTTGTAGAATTTTTTTTTTAAAAAGGAGAAAAGCAAAGTTGGAGAAAAAAAATTTCCTTTAAAAAAAAAAGAAAAGCCGGTCTCCTTCATCTTCCCGTCCGTAAACCCTAACTGACTTATACTCATCAATCGTCCTCCTCGATTGCTCCTCCCCTGATTCCGATCCACTCCGAGGCCTCATGGCGGCGACCGATTCTCGTCGCCTTGCAGACCTAGATGTCGACGAGCTGGACCGCCTCCTCCCGTTGATCAAGGTCACCCCCTTCGCCGCGCACCGCACTTCTGCCCCCAGAGGATGTGGTTGTCCTTGTGCGGCGCCGAGGCGGATGGAGGAGTCTCAGGGTAAATAGTTTTTTTCCCCATATTTCTCTTGTGTTGGTTTTAGGACTATCTGCATGATTTATCTGATCATGCAGCCTCGTCGGAGAGGACTCCAAATCCCCCCCACAATCGCTCAGTCGCCTTTGGACAATTCCAAGAAAGACTCCGAGAAAGCTTTACGCAGTAAGTACATGATTTTATCATACAAGAAAAGAAAAGCAAGCAAATAATAAAGCCAATAATTGTGGGAAGTTAATTTACTCACTTATGGGGGTGGCATGTATTACCCGACCCATCATTAATAAAATGGTTATAAGGTAGAGTATATCTACCTTCCAGCATAAAAAAAAACTTATGGGGGTGCCATTGTACAAAGAATGAGATATGGGGTAGAAGAATTACGATTGTTTGTCTGTTTTTTTTTCTGTAAACAAATGTAGTCTGCTTCCTAGATTGCTTTGCTGGACTCGTCATCTTGCCGGCAGAGCAAGAACAACTTGTGGTGCTCAAAGCCATCCTTGATTCCTTCTCCGAGGCCACTGGGCTAAAAATTAATTTTCACAAGAGCACCTTCCTCCCTATCAATGTCCTGCATGATGAGGCGGTTCGGCTGGCTGGGACTCTCGGTTGCCCGATAGCTTCCTTCCCCCAACCTTATTTAGGCCTCCCTCTCTCTGTTACCAAGCTATGCCTCGCGGACTTCCAACCGCTCATCGCTAGGATTGACGAACGTCTTGCCGGTTGGCGCGGTCACCTTCTGTCTTCTGATGGACGGCTCACTCTCATCAATTCGGTGCTCTCCGCCCTCCCTTCCTATATGATGGGAGCCATCCTTCTCCCTAAGGGTGTGTTGCCGCCATTGACAAATGCCGAAGAGCTTTCTTCTGGACAGGGGATGAACACTGCCATGGTGACAACTGCAAAATTGCGTGGGACATTGTTTGTTCTCCGAAGGAAAAAAGGTGGTGCTGGGATAAAAAATCTTGAAGTCCAGAACAATGACGAGGATTCTGCGTCGTGGATTGACTGTTTTCAAACTGAACGGGTCTATAGTGCTTTCTCAGGTGACAAAATCGAAGGGCCTAATGAAACCTTTATAGTTAACTGTTGGGCCTGTAGCCCATCTACAGTAATTTATCTCAGACTACAAACCTTTCCAAGTTGGAGATTTTTTTTTAAAAAAAGGAGAAAAGCAAAAGTTGAAGAAAAAAAATTTCCTTAAAAAAAAAAAGAATAGCCGGTCTCCTTCGTCTTCCCGACCGTAAACATCGAGATTCTAGAGAGACGAGGCGCGGGACCAGTGAAACCCTAACCGAGCTACTCATCTCTCGTCCTCCTCGATTGCTCCTCCACCCGATTCCGATCCACTCCGAGGCCTCATGGCGGCGACCGATTCTCGTCGCCTCGCAGACCTAGATGACGACGAGCTAGACCGCCTCCTCCCGTTGATCAAGGTCACCCACTTCGCCGCGCACCGCACTTCCGCCCCCGGAGGATGTGGCTGTCCTTGTGCGGCGACGAGGCGGATGGAAGAGGGTCAGGGTAAGTTGGTTTTTCCCCCTTGTTTCTCTTCGTATTTGTTTTTCCCTCCTTCCCGTGTTACTGGGTAACCCCCTATCTCACACAATATTTATCTGATCATGCAGCCTCATCGGAGAGGACTCCAAATCCCCCCACAGTCGCTCAGTCGTCGTTGGACAATTCCAAGAAAGATTCAGAGAAAGCTTTACGGAGTAAGCACATGATTGATTTTATTGTACAAGAAAAGAAGAGCAAGCAAATAATGAAGTCTTATTTGGGGAAGTTTATTCACTTATGAAGTCTTATTTGGGGAAGTTTATTCACTTATGGGGGTGCCATTGTACAAAGAATGAGATATGGGGTAGAAGAATTAGGGTAGCTTCTCTGAGGTAGAAGAATTACGGTAGTTTCTCTGATTTTTTTTAACTGTAAAACAATGTAGTCTGCTTCCTAAATTGCTTTGCTGGACCCATGTCGCAAGTTCGCAACTTGTGATATTATTTGAGCTACGGGCATTGTGTACAGTTAGATTTTATTTGCCAATGGTCTGAGCTTACTTCTACTTTCAGAACGCAGTATAAAGATGGCAATGAAGATTATCAATTACTCTGAAGACTGTATGAGAAAGATTGTAGAGTTGAATGCCACTCTCCCTCTGGATCAGCATTTCTTCCCTGCCTGCATCTGGCCACGGGACCTTGAGGACTTGCGTTTTTCCAAGATTGGGTTTTACGTTGACTATCGCTTGAATGACACTTCTCCAAGTAAATGCTTCTACAGTTTATTATTAAAACAAGTTGCTTTTCTTAGCTTCTTCATTATTGAAGGTTCCAGTATCAGTGGATTTGAAATAACTCTAGATTTTTCATGTACTGTCTGTCCCATGCACCCCAAGGGATCTCAAATAGTTTAGCAAACAATCATGGAGTAGTGTCAGTGTTATATGTTTATATCAGTTCTAACTCATTTGATCTAGGATTATAAGGATCAACGTTTTATATATTTAAGGGTGTTATTATAATATCTATATGTGATTATGTCATAAACATTGGAGTCTGAAGTAAAATGTACTCTTGCCTGACACGAGTACAAGCTGCTTCTAATATCGATTTCAAATCTTTTACAGTCAACCATAGCAGGACTCTGCAACTTATGTCCTTTCTTAGATCTGCAATAGTTCAGGGGCACTGTCGTATTATCTTTGTTGTTTTTTGATTTCTTGTTTTCCCAGAGTCGTAACGTTTCATTTTGATCTATTGCTTATGCCACTCACAGCCACTTGGGGGTGTAAGCGCTTTGCACATGAAGACAAGTATGTTGCATCAACTATGCTGCGGATCAATGGACTAGTGTTTACTGGAGATTTCCCACATGGCCGGTCCATGCATGTTTATGGTTTTGTGGCTGTGAGGGATGATAAAGAGCCATTGAGGAACTATATCTTCAATGTCAGCAGGGAGAAGGCTTGTCAATTGAACCTGGTTAGTACATCTATACTCAAAGACTTTTTCTACAGTTGATTGTATTTTGATTGGTATATAATGAGCGTCCATAGCTAGCGCTTATTTTTTTAGTGTCTATAACTTTGGAGGATTTATTGATTAGTAGCATATTGCCCATGCATTGCAACAGGATTTTAATTAAAGAAAATTATCATTAACCCATTATTACCATCATTTTCTGCACATATTACCTCTTAATTGCTGTGTATATTTGATACTGCCATATGACCTCTTTGGCCCTACACTATCCATTTCCTTTCTCGCAAAAAGTAGAGAGTTGGTTTTGGGGGGGGTGGGTGGGGTTGATATGTGGGGCCTCTAGCCCAACTGTCTTTTTTTCCTCCGAAAAAAGGAAGGTGGCTGAACCACCACCACTATTCCCTTTTAAAGGAGTATAGAATCTCCTAAATGCACAACATTCCCTTCCCTCCCATTTTCCCTCTTAAATGGCCATATGCCTTTTCCTTTCCCATCCATATTGTAGAGCATGCTTTGTAGAAAACACCCACCTGAAAGTAGGAGGAATAAGTGGTAGGTCCGGCTTAAGACTTCTGTAGCAGAACAAGCACTTCTACATATTAGTAAATATGTCTAAAGAATGGCGCCATGAATGTGCTAGGAATATATATGTGTGTGCTAGGAAAACGAAGAGAAAGCACTTCTCTTTGTTTTTTGGCCCAATAAATCTTATATTCAGTCCAATACTCCAGTTGTACGCTAAACTCTTTGGATTGCACTGTGTTCAGTAATATCATGATTTGGTTCAATTTTGAAGTGAAAAGAACACACCTGACTGGGTTGTACAGAGGGAACTATATATATGACTGAAAACTTTAAAAAACACGGTTGAATATGCTATGAGAGTCCTATATTTAACATGGAAAATGATGTTATTGCTTCAGACTATTTGCAGCATTTAGCTTGCCGTAGCTAAATATAGCATTCCTCTAAGCCTCAATCAGTCATTTTTGTCATTTGACTTAGCATAGAATGTAGTTCTTTGTTCACTGATATCTATATAATCATATCACAAAAACTGCACTAAATTATATGTGTAGGATGAATCTCATTGTACCAATCTCATGTAGTCAATCCTTTATTTTGATATATTGATGGTAAAAGCTGGGAAAAATTGAGCATGAAGTGCTAGCTACTTATAATATTGGAAGGGAGTGTCTCTAGTTCAAATGTGCAAATTATACTTGCATAGAATCACATGAGGTAGGTCTAGCCCATTATTTCTTGTTAAGATCTTGGTAACATCTTGACATTGGTAGCGGCTTACCATGTTTATTTTGGAATTCCTAATAATCTGATTCAAACCAGTGATATGTGTGGAGTAACATAACCATATTTTGACCTTATCCTTTTCTCTTTGGTCAAAATGCAGGATTCGCCTTCATTGGAGATTAGTCCCCCCATGCGTGGCATCTCCGTATGGGACAGTGCTTTAATCGAGTTTCACTTGAAGGTTAAGGGCAGTGACAGTGATAGTAGTTCAGATGATGACATACTCATTAACGCCTGTATGGAGTTCGACTATGAGACCATTGAGCATGACAAAAAGTTGATATCAAGAATTGATGGCCCGTTCGGTCCACTTGATATGCGTTATATCTTCTTAAAGAATGGGATTGAGGCCACTATCGATATTGATCTGGGCAGCACATCTGAAGCTTATGATATTTTGCTTGTAGCATTTTCAGGCGAGGATTCCATGACGCTTTACAAGGACCGTGTTGGACAGCATACCAAGTTTACAGCCGTTGTAATTGTTCCTTTAGACGAGTTGTTACATATCAAAGCATTTGGCACGTATGGTTCGTCTCATTTTGATGGCAATATTGCTGTGCCTGTATTAAAGCATGGAAGCTGTAAGAAACCGTTTTGGTTTCAGTTGGCAGAGAAGAAGTCGGGGCATAAGAATCTGCCTAGAGCTTGCCTGGAGGTCACGTTTTCTACGATGGGTTACTATAACACGGGAGAGATGTAGAACAAATGACTGCAAGAACTGCTATTTTGCTCTAGAGCATTTCGTTTTCCTGGGCTGTGAAATGTTTAAGAGTTGTGATTTGATACTGAAATCCGTAAGTTGTATTTTAACTGAAATCGATAATGATGTTTTATCGATCGTCAGTTTCTTTCGCTGTGATATGGATGCTTGTATGTTTTCCAAAGTTTGAGTCACCCGTTGAAGTAGGGACTGACCACAGACGGGCAGTCAAATCTTGTTTGTCATGAATTCACAACTGAGCTGATCTAGCACTTGCTGCCATGGATTTTTTATAGTATGTAGGTTGATGATATCTTCATAGTACGTAGGCAAATTAATTGCGTCGATTAATCAATACAAGCGTTTTTATGCAATCAGAATACCTACTGTAATTTTTTTTAAAAAATACAAAATCCATACAGTGCTTAGAAATACATGTTCTCATAACATGCGATTAATACTAAACTATCATAGCATCACCAAAAGATATCTACACCAACTAGTGAAGAGCAAGAAGGATAGAAAAGAGGATTCTAATTTTAGGAAGGTAATTAAAGAATAGAAAAGAGGATTCTGGTTTTTATAGGAAGGTAATTAGGGAAACTGTTCGAGGCAACTTTCAAAAGAAAAAGCCTAAAATTTTGGGATTAGGATCCATTCGGTGATGCTCTTATATATTTTCTTTAAAAAAAATATCTTCAGTGAGATTTAAAGGCATGAAAAATATCTTACCCTCAAACAGATGGCCTAATTAACTTTCTAAAACAAGAAAAGTAGGCTACGACAAAAACTATCAACAGAATTAATCCTTTCCCCTACACGCTCAATTCCTTATCCCGGTGCAGCGCTTCCCGTGTACAGGGAAGCTTCGAGTGGCGGATCGTGAGCCTCCTAATTTACAAGGACATTTACAATAGTCTCTATATCTCTCTATTATCATGCAAGTAAATTTGATAACATAGATGAAAGATAAATGAGGAAAGAAAAATATGGTTGTTATGCATGGCAACGGCTCAGAGTCGACTCTTAGCATTTATTAGAGCAAATTTTGTTGCATGGTGGTGAAAGAAAGGAAAGAATAGTAAAAAAAAAATATTTTAATACATTAATGATTAGAGCTTATATTGTCTCTAACTATTGTAGGATCTCTAAATAACGTAGAGCTCATACCTGACACCTTTATACATGCCCTAAGACTGAAATTAACTCTCCAATTCTTAGGTACTCTCTCCGTCTTATTTTAAGTGCAGTCATGGATTTTCGTGCCTAACGTTTGACCATTCATCTTATTTGAAAAACTTATAAAATTAAAAATAAGTCACACATAAAGTACTATTTATGTTTTATCATCTAATAACAATAAAAATATGAGTCATATTTTTTAAAATTAAAACGGACGGTTAAACATTAGACATTAAAACCATAACTGCATCTAAAATGAGACGGATAGGTGGTTAAGGGATCTGTTGGAGTGATGCTTTTACCTCTAAAAGTCTCTGATTTTGGGCTTGGGAGGAGTTTAGGGGAAGTCTCCAATATGCTTAGCATGAAACTGTGACAAATCCCAATAATATATAAACCAATGTCTCTTTATAAGTTCATAAATCATGGGTCTATTGTCTAAAATAAGGCCAGTAATAATTTACTAGAAGAAGCCGGTCAAATTTGGCTGGCTCAACCTTCATCTTTAATTTTCGTTCAAAAAAAAAAAACCGTCATCTTTAACCGGCCGGCAATAAACACTTCCCGAGTAGGACTGTAGAGTAGTGCTAATTAACCATCACCATCTCATCAAGGAAATCTTTCAATGCAACCAATAGCAAATTTCTATGTGAGCCACTCATTTAATAAATTAAAGGTGCAATTATGCGAATTGAGTATATGATCTAGTCAGGAGAAAAATCATTAGAAAGGTAATACGCAGTTTTGAATATCATTATTTGATATTTTGTTGAAGTCGGGAAGATCAATGATCCTCGACACACTACTTGTTCCTCTGTTGCTTTGAGTCATTTCCTGTTACTGTTAAATGGATAATAGGTTCTATTACCAAACAGTATTGTTGGAATTTGCAAGGCAGTCATCAAAGGAACTGGTTAAGCTGCAACAAAACAAAGGATTTATTCGCCAATGGAACTGATTAATATGCATAAAAGAAATTGTTAACCGTCATTACTGAATTGCATATATACACTTTCAAATGCTATTTTCTTTTTCTTTTTGATATTGGACTTTCAGTAGATATTATTATTACTCTAGAGAAAACAGTTCGGAATTAGACAAAAGAAAGGGAACAATTTTTTTGTCGGGTCGGCCGAAGAGGTGGCTGACCAATTTCATTAAGAATTGGAAGAAAATTAAAGTGCACAAGTGTGTTACATCGATAGGAGGATGTCGATCAGGTCCAATGCAAGACGCCTCAGTCCCGTGAACAGAAAAAGCCTAAAGACTGGACAGAAACTGTATACTCAATTAATTACCCGGGCGAAAAATTCATGCCTCTGTCCAGATGATAATTTCCTCTTTGATGTCATTCACCAAGTGCTCTATCGTCCTGAGACATTGGTCGAAAATTCTCCCGTTTCTTTCCTTCCAAATCAGCCAGCATACCAGTATGAAGAGGCAGTCAAAGGACGCTCTGTAGCTCATCCGGCAACGTGCTCTGTTCTGCAGCCACCAGTCCGCCAGAGCATATCCTTCATCTCCTGGAACTGCGAAGAAAGGTAACAATTCGGAATTCTTTACTTTTGAGTCTTAAGGTCATAATATTACCACTATGGCATAGCTTCTTCCTTAAACACGAAACCACAATGGGTAAGTGAGTGCCATCTGGTAAGTCTAATATACCTGCATTTGGTTGTCATTCTTGATGTAAACATAGAAAATCAACAATTGACATACGTGAAAAAACTACAAACTATTAATAGAAACTAGATTGTAAGAGAATATATGGGATTTAAGTTTTGGAAGGAAATTAGCCCACTGGCATTATAAAGATCAAATGATAGAAAATAACATCTCAACTAGATGAAAGTATGAGACCAGGTAGTAGTAACATCCTAGAGAGAGAAATCTATCTACACCTAACTAGTTACCTCAGGAAAATTCCCACATAAAACTTCAGAATTAGTAAATATTAAATATAAATTTCATTTGTATATAAATAGGTTTCGAAAAAGAAGGTTACTAAACATCTGTTTACATATAATTTCAATTTAATAACTAGTATAGTTAGGCAGATATACTTAATATCAATAGCCCATGCAAATGCGTGGTTTAACAACTAGTGCACCTTTGTTAGGTTCTGTTATTTACCAGTTCAGTTTAGTTGCAGTGGCATGTTGCTAAAATGCAATCTTACTGATACAACTTACGTAGTTACCTCAGAGTTGTGGGCAGACCAATAATTGAGACTTCCTGAGTTCAAAACTCCAATGTTTGAGGTACAACTTCTCCCTTCGGCCTAAATCAAGAGAAACTCACAGATTCAGTGTTACTTTCTGTTTGTTTATGAAGAGAAAATAAGTAATGCACTTGACTAACCCCGTGCCAACGCCACACATTCCTTTCATACAGAAATCTTGTGCTGGACAAGTCTTCCAAAAGTGCTTTAGCAAATCTGAACAACAGAATACCAGCATGCTGTGATGCCTACATGGGAACAGACAACCGTGAAAACAAATATGGAATGTGTAACCCTTCGCTAAAAAAAGAAACTAAATGCTGTGATAGGTGCACCCCAAAGATCATAGGTACCACCATTTATCCATCTGTCACGCGACCATCAATAATATAGTACCATGATCATTTGTATACACATCAGGGGCATTTCAAAAAAAAATACAAACACCATTTTAAATTTCAAATTGTTGAGCAGCAATGCAACAAAGTTACACTAGAACATGATGTTGATATCTGGTCAGCACATAAAGTGATAAGGGAAACATGAAGTATGGGTCAATTTATCAAATAAATGTACCTAAAACTCACAAATTCATGGTTGCATACATGCTGCACAGATTTTTTTGGAACACATCAATGGCCAATTGCTGGTTCATGTGAAACCAATTTCCCAAAAATTCCATATATAGAATTGAGGACAGTATGAAGGAATGCAGTGTTAATGTATACACCATATATATATTTCTGTTTTGGTTCAGTTGGCCCACTTAGCCCATTTGGCCCATGTATATGTATATAACCTTCACTACCATCTAGGGTTTACTGCTGAATATATTTTTCGTGATTTCCCCCAAATGTTGAACATGGTATCAGAGCTTGCCTGGGATTCGCCGGAGCTGCGTCCTGGACGTCGCATCAGCGATCTGCTCTGCTGCTAATAATCTCTTCTCCTCCGCCGGCAAGTTTCCCCTGTCCTCAATCTTCTTTGCTGCTGCCTACCGAATCTGCTAGGAAGCAATAGGTTTCCCTTGTCTCTACACCCACGGCTGCTGCTGGTTACTGCTGCTACATGGTTGGACTGCCTCTTACTACGGGGAAGTTAAAGCGGGTCCATTTGCAGCCGGTAATGGACAAAATCAGAGCAAGGATGGGGGGCTAAAAAAACAAGCTAGTTTATCAAAGCGGGCGGAAGGTTCTTGTGCAATTAGTTCTCAGTGCCATTCCAACCTACTTGCTGACCATTCTTAAACCACCAAAAGGATTCCTAAATGATGTTGACAAAGCGCGACGAAAATTTCTTTGGGCCAGAGACCAAGAAAGCTTGGGCGGAAAATGTAAAGTGAATTGGCAGCAAGTATGTTCTCCGACTATACATGGTGGATTGGGCATACCTTGTTTGGAGAAGTTCTCACAATCGCTGAGGCTACGTTGGCTCTGGTATGAGTGGACAAGCCCGGAAAAACCATGGATAGGAACCCCGCCGCCCTGTGATGACACCGATCGTGCTTTGTTTGCTGCTGCCACCAAAGTATCGGTCGGAGATGGACGAAAGGCAAAATTTTGGGAATCCAACTAGATAGGAGATCAGCCGCTGAAATACCTAGCCCCAAACCTCTTCAAGCACTCCAAAAGGAAAAACAGGTCGGTTCTTGAGGCAATAACCAATGATGCTTGGATCGAAGACATCCGCGGAGGGGTGACAATACAGCTGCTTCAGGAATATATATGCGTATGGGAAGTGCTCCACAACGCAGGAGAGGTGATCCATGAAGGGGCTGAGGACACAATCCTCTGGAGGTGGTCGGCCAGTGGCTTGTATACGGCAAAATCAGCATATGTCATGCAGTTCATGGGCAAAACGTTTTCGGATTCTACTGAGCTTGTATGGGAAACTTGGGCACCGGGGAAACACAAATTCTTCGCGTGGTTGCTGGCGCAAAATAGAATATGGACGGCAGATCATTTGCAATGCAGGGGCTGGCCAAATAACTATTTCTGCCAACTCTGTTTCAGAAATCTCGAAACGGTACAACACCTCTTCATGGAGTGCCCCTTCACGCAGCAGGTATGGCGGGACATTGGTCGCAAATTCAGACCGCAACGTTTCCTACATGTGACCACAGACAACACTCTCCTCAATTGGTGGCGCGAGCAAACAGATGAGGCAGAAAAGTTGCAACAGAAAGGGCTACGTTCAGCAGTCTTGACCACGCTTTGGGAGATTTGGATGGAAAGGAACGATCGCATCTTCAGAGGGAAAGAATCTACACCATCGGCACTTGCTAGCAAGATCATAGATGAGCTTCGTTTGTGGGAAATGGTAGGTGCCAAGGGAGTGAAGTGTATTATGTTAAGAGATTAGGCTTTTGTTTTTTTAGGGAGTGCAGGCAGGAAGAATTCCTCCGGGAACGTCTCCCCTGCCTTCTGTTCTGTACAGTTTCTCTCACTTCTTCTATAATATAAAACCAGCTTGCTGGGTTCTTTCAAAAAAAAACTGCTGCTACATGGTGTTTGATTTGGTCTGTAGCTTGGTTCATGTGTGTTACAGAGGCTGCTAGTACTGAAGTATTATTGTGGATTTGTCACTTCTGTCCATTATGATTTCTTCAGTAGGGATTCTTCCTTTACCCCCAGTGAGCTCTATTTCTCCACCTACTTGGCTGAAACAATGCCATTCCTGTTTGAACTGGGGTCATATTCAAAGAAATTGCAATCAGTATCGTTGTCATCTCCAGTCAAATAAACCACATATTCATGATAAGGATGCTAAGTCTGAATTTGCCACATTCTTGAACCAGCTTGCACACACCCCTTTGAAAACAGATCCATCCTCATGTATTGCTGATGTTAGTATGGATATTACGGGCTGTTCACTTTCAGCAAATGTTACAGACTCTTGTTGGATATTGGACTCAGGGGCATCCTTTCACATGACACCGGACATTTCACAGCTCCAGTCATGCTCTTTGACAAAAGCATCAAGTGTTCAGACAGCTGATGGCACCATTCTACCGGTTTCTCTTCAAGGCACTCTCCAAACTAAAGAATACACAATTCCAGATGTCTTTTATGTGCCCAATCTATCTATGAAACTTATATCTGTTGGTCAGCTTACCGATATGAAGTGCCATGTGGTTTTTGATGAGGCTGCTTGTTATGTACTGGATCGTGCTACAGGCAATCTTGTTGGAGCTGGTCATCGACTCAATGGTCCTAGGGGACTTTATGTGCTTGATCATTTGCATCTTCCCACTTCTACTTCCTCTGGTTTTCCTGGAAACTCTGCTTCTGCCACCTCTATAACTTCCAATTCCTCTGTTTATTCCTCTTTGTCAGCCTCTTTTCCTCAGTGGCATCATAGACTTGGTCATTTATGTGGTTCTCGCTTGTCTACTCTTGTTCAACAGGGTGTCCTAGGAAATGTCTCTATTGAGACTGATTTCGTGTGCAAGGGTTGCAAGCTCGGTAAACAAGTACAACTTCCTTATCGTTCTAGCATGTCTCGGTCTACCTCTCCTTTTGCATTAGTTCATTCAGATGTATGGGGTCCTGCCCCATTTCATTCTAAAGGAGGTCACCGATATTATGTCATTTTTGTCGATGATTTCTCTCGATACACTTGGATCTATTTCATGAAACATCGCAGTGAGCTCTATCAAGTTTACAAATCCTTTGCTTCCATGGTTCATACACAGTTTTCTACATCTATAAAAAATTTTCGTTCCGACTCCGGGGGAGAGTACTTGTCTAATGCCTTCCGCCAGCTTTTAAGTGACCATGGAACTCTTCCACAACTTTCATGTCCCGGTGCTCATGCACAAAATGGCGTCGCTGAACGAAAACACCGCCATATCATAGAGACTGCTCGTACTCTTCTAATTGCGTCTCATGTTCCACCACATTTTTGGGCTGAGGCTGTATCCACCTCTGTTTATCTAATTAATCTTCAGCCTTCATCAATCCTTCAAGGCCGCAGTGCTGGTGAGTGTCTTTATTCCTCTCCTCCAAGGTATGACCATCTTCGAGTCTTTGGTTGTACATGCTATGTTCTTCTTCCACAACATGAACGCACCAAATTATCTGCTCAATCAGTTGAATGTGTTTTTCTGGGTTATAGTCTTGAGCATAAAGGATATCGTTGTTATGATCCTTCTAATCGTAGAATGCGTATTTCTAGGGATGTTTCTTTTGTAGAGAACCGTCCTTTCTATTATTCGCCCTCCTCTACACGCTCTTCTTCTCCTACTGAGGATGTGTCTTTTCTGTTTCTTCCACCAATTGAGTTGTCTCCTGTTCAAACCCCTACAGATCCTACTGTTCCATCCACTACTTCTGTTCCTCCTACATCTACTACTATTGTTCCTCCTGTTACTCCCTCTTCCCCAGTGACTAGTACTCCTCCTGCTACTTCATCTTTGCCTCCCATTTCTGTCTCACCTTATCCTTTGCATTACACTCGTCGTCCTCAAATCACTGTAGGTGATCAGTCGCCCTCTCGTTTGACTAAATCCAGCGAGCTATCAATTGATGATTCTAATGAGCTACCTGTTGATGATATGCCTATACCATCATCACCATCTTCTCCTGCAGCACGATATGGTCTTCGAGATCGCAGTAAAATTATGCCACATCCTCGTTACAGTTGTGCAATAGCTGATGGTGTTCAGGAGCCTCGCACATATCAAGAGGCTGTTACAATTAATGAATGGAAATTGGCTATGAATGAGGAACTTTCTGCCTTAGAGCACACGGGTACATGGGATGTTGTTCCTCTTCCCCATCATGCTGTTCCAATTACTTGCAAGTGGGTGTTTAAGGTGAAAACTCGCTCTAATGGATCTATTGAACGGTATAAGGCCCGCTTGGTTGCTCGTGGTTTTCAGCAGGAATATGGTCGAGATTATGATGAGACTTTTGCCCCAGTTGCTCACATAACTACTGTCCGTACCCTTATAGCTGTAGCTGCAACTCGTCAATGGGAGATCTCACAGATGGACGTGAAGAATGCATTTCTTCATGGTGATTTGCAAGAGGAAGTCTACATGCAGCCTCCACCAGGTTTGACATGTCCATCTGGTCATGTGTTGCGCCTACGCCGTGCTTTATATGGTCTTAAGCAATCTCCACGAGCTTGGTTTGAGCGCTTTAGCTCAGTTGTTCTAAAAGCTGGATTTGTTGCTAGTGAGCATGATTCTGCCCTATTTATCCACACTTCTTCTCGAGGTCGTACAATTCTCTTGCTCTATGTTGATGATATGATCATAACGGGTGATGACGCTTCTCATGTTGCCTTCGTGAAGCAACGTCTAAGTGAGCAATTCATGATGACTGATCTTGGACCACTAAAGTATTTTCTGGGCATTGAGGTTGCTTCAACACCGAATGGTTTTCATTTGTCTCAGCATCGATATACTCTCGACTTACTATCTCGCTCTGGTCTAAGTGATGATAAAACTGCTGCCACTCCTATGGAGCTTCATCTCAAGATTCGTCCTACTGATGGGAATCCACTTTCAGATCCTTCTCGATACCGACATATTGTTGGAAGTCTTGTATATCTTGCTGTTACTCGACCGGATATCTCACATGCTGTTCATGTTCTCAGTCAATTTACTAGTGCCCCTACATCTGTCCATTATGCTCACCTATTACGAGTGCTCCGCTATCTACGTGGGACACCATCTCGTGGTATATTTTTCTCCCGTGATAGCTCACTAGAGCTTCAAGCTTATTCAGATTCCACTTGGGCAAGTGACCCTGTTGATCGATGCTCTATTACTGGTTATTGTATCTTCCTGGGATCTTCTCTTCTTGCTTGGAAGTCAAAGAAACAGACAGCTATCTCTCGTTCAAGCGCTGAGGCTGAATTACGAGCTCTTGCAACTACAACAGCTGAAGTTATATGGCTCCGTTGGCTACTTGCAGATCTTGGTGTTGTCCTCTCACAACCAACTTCATTGTTTTGTGATAACACAAGTGCTATCCAAATAGCCTCAAATCCTGTCAAACATGAACTCAGCAAACACATAGGGACTGATGCTTCTTTTACCCGATTTCATTATCAACACAGGACAATCTGTCTTCATTACTTGCCCTCTGAACTTCAAGTTGCTGACTTCTTCACCAAACCGCAAACACGAGACCAGCATGATTTTCTTCTTTCCAAACTCAAGGCTGTTGATCCACCTAGAGTTTGACGGGGGGTGTTAATGTATACACCATATATATATTTCTGTTTTGGTTCAGTTGGTCCACTTAGCCCATTTGGCCCATGTATATGTATATAACCTTCACTACCATCTAGGGTTTACTGCTGAATATATTTTTCGTGATTTCCCCCAAATGTTGAACATGCAGATCATTTACTGACAACCTGAGGACACGGCACGCATTTGCACCTACCTCGAAGTTATAACTTTTCAAAGTTGATAAGTGAAGGGATCCTTTGTAATCAACAGTCCATATATGAGTTGATGACTCTCGGGTACTGATAGAAGAGCACAAAGAATTGTGAGCAATTGATATTATCTGGTAAGGAAAAACAGGTTAAGAGTTAAGGATTTAGCGGATATATACCAAATGCTTTCAGCTTGGCATTGCTCCATCGCATTGACCCGTACACTTCTGCAAGACAATGTTTGTATAATTAGCAATGAGTGTGATCCAAAAGATATAGACAGATGAACGAGAATTACACCTTATTTTATTGGCATGTAAAAGACAACGATGCACTCTGTGTGTACTGTCATTTTGCGCAAATCCATATGCTGAACATCGTTTGACAATCCAAGATGGGTATGTTTTGTCACCTTTTTTGCTATGATAGTTTCCCTTGATCCTACCATGCCCAGACTTGTCATTTTCATCATCAGATTGTGAATCAATTTGAGCATCAAAGCTCAAGGGAAGAAATTTATCATCGAATGGTGAATGGTCATGGACTTCACCATACAGGATTCTTATTATATCACATGCTTTGGAAACACATTTGGGAGTTGTGTAAGCAATAGGCACATAATCTCTTCTTTCATCAATAGAGCTAACAGTTTCACATGAAACTCTTTTCCACCTTTGCAGCATTACACGGCAATCATCTCCAAGTACTATCTGTTCTGTGTTGTCTGGATGAAATGCCATCAGTGCTTTGTCCAGCACATCATTGTTTCGTGATGTGTCCCAAAGGTGCAGAATAATGATTGTAACAATCATGTCAAGATAGTCCGCAGAAGCAGACAACTCACCTATTACATACATATAGAGACTTTTGCAAGCTTTTCTGAAGCCTGCTGGCCCAAATGCAAATGTAGACAACCGGCGATGGTAGTTCCCTGATATAGGTATATCACTTCTTGTCCGCCCTGTCGTTGTTATATAATGTGTCGGTTTTGCAACTTGTTTTGGATCTCCAGGTGGCTTCTTAATAAATCTATCACTCTTTTCCCTCTCTGGCGTTGTTATATAATGTGTCGGTTTTGCAACTTCTTTTGGATCTCCAGGTGGCTTCTTAATAAATTCAGCAACAAACCCCTCTGTGATAACACCATGTAGCCAACTTGTTGAAGCATTGCCTACAAAGCACATCACAATCCCATCTACTTGGACATACTGTAGATAGTGGCCCTTTTGGGGTGTGGTCCAACTTCTGGATTCCGGACAATCGAAGTCATAAACATTATCTGAGTGAGATAGAGTCCAGAAGCGATGATTGCCTATGCAGTCCATCATATTCTCATAAAGTAACCAAGGATCAGGTTCATCCAAATTCAGGAAGTGATAGTTCTGTAAAAAGAAGCAACAAGTATAAACGATAAGGAAGAAGTGTCATTAAATTGCACTAAAAGGTTGCAACGGATAGAAACTTACTGGTGGATAACGGCTGCAGCCTTCTAATTCACTTAAGGGGATGTCATTTAACCTAGTCTTAACTGGAGTGTTTGCCAACTTCTTCAGAGCTTCAAGAAACTTTGGAAGGTCAGGGTAGGCTTTGCAATCAACACGAACTGTTACAGCAGGGGCTCTCATGGGCATAACCTTCACACTTGTCAATGTAGAGTTCTTCTTAATTAACTGGTCTGAAGTAAACACATACACAATGTTTCCAGTGACTATGATTTTCTAATCCCTGTTTATGTTCCATACAATTAACTGTAGTGTATGTGGCCTTGTCAAATAAGTCTCTATGACCAGGGATAGAGGAGCAAGAAGAACCCTCAACTAACTCCCTTTTATCTCCTATCCAAATAAGGGAACTCTTAATGCATTTGATATACAAATCTTTTCTTTCACCAATACCATAGCTGGGACTCAAGAATTGGACATTCATTCCAGATGTGACTTTCCCGGAGAAGACACGTCCTAAAGCAAAATACCTGCCTTTGCCTAATGCTAGGGTCATCTTGGAAACATAAAGAACAAGGGGCCCTTCAGCATCACAATTTCTAACAGAGGTATGGTAAATGTTGTCAAGATCCACACCAAAATTCCCAACACAATGTCTTTGCGCCTTCTCTGGAGAGGGGATGTGGTACATCATCATCTCAGAAAGTGCACTGCATGCTGGCAGCCAAGCTTGGATCACATACTTTACGAGTTCAATGCCAACAAGTTCCTTAGCTGGAGAACTCACAGTGACATGAATCTTTTCTAGCATAGGCCACAATTTGTGCTTGCTATTCATGCAGGCGTTCATGATCTCTCTGATAGGTTCATAGCAAAACTGAACAAAGCCCCTCTTGCATGTAGCTGTGCCAGTGTTCTTTTTTGTCCATTTCTTTGTGGCCAGGTCAAAGAAGTTCTCACCCCATAATCTGTCTATCATCTTAGATTCCTCAACTTTGAATTTGGAGGAATACATCTTAGCAAAATTAGAAATTGCAACTGCCCATCCGTGCAGACCAGATGAGAACACAACAGTTCCCTTAGTGGGATACACCTGAGCATCTTTGTGTGAAGACATGGTAGCATTGACACTATCAATTAGACTGGAGAGGGTCTGATAAGCTTTCTCACCATCAACATTCTGCTCAAGGAAGAATCTGTCGATCTTATTCAGAGTAAAAACAGGCTGAATCTTCATATTAAGAGCCTCACGAATAGAAGTCTTGGTCCATAAAGTAACACCCTCAAAACTGTCCACTACAACTAGAGCACCATCCATTATGCAAAGGGCAGGTTGGACATCATTAGACAAGTTGCAACACACAGGAGAGTCAATAAGATTGATCAAGTGTCCGTTACCAGCTCTCTTATCCTTGTAGCTTCTCAGAGAATCTTCAGGCATTTCATAGTACAGAGAAATTAGGCTATTGCTTTCAGTAACTTCCTGGGAAGTAATTCCAGCAGTTGCTACCAGGGAATCCAATATTGCAGTTTTTCCTTTAAAAATGGTACAAGACAAAATATTAGTACAAAAAATATTTTCACAACAAAATTACAAATGGAAGCAGCAAAAAAAGTACAAGAGAAGTACATCCTATAACGAATAGTAGAAGAAAGACAAGATATCAAGGTTACAAACTCAAATACTCCGGACATTATGTAGTACAACAGTTCCATACCAATCTCAATATATACTAGACCCACCAGAAATCGATATTTACATACAGGAAGATAATTCCAGCGATACAAATCATTCAGATTCAATATGTTAATGGAAAGAAATGGCTGAAAAGAATAACTAGAAATTCTACTAAGATGCCACGTCGTAAATGTGAGAATTAATGTAATTTCATAAACAAACAAGTAAAACAACCACATTTTAAGAATCTCACACCACTACATTTCAATCTTACCATGGCCAGCATCAGCAATAACCAATACATTCCGAATGTTGTTCTTATTGCACATAATGCTGTGAAGTTCTTCCGCTGTGACCACCATCATGTCGATTTACTTCATGTATCCCTGCCTGTGCCAAATGAACAAGTTTGATAAGAACAGAGAAAAATTGAGAAATAAGCCATCAAGTAGTAAGCACCACAATTAATTAACAATTTGTATTTAAAAGACAGTCCAGTGACTTCTCATCCCTTACATCAGGGACAAAACAGGAGTTATGAGCTCCGGCACAATGACATGCTCTTGATGTGTGAGGAGTGAGGACTACGACGCCTACCAGCATGCACCAGGACCTGATCCAAACAGAGTATGCAACTCACAAGATCTCTGCAGGCTGATACTAAGTGATCAGAGGCAAGATATCTGAAGCATCTCCCAGCAACTCTTCACTTCTCAAAATATCAAGTAGGAAACCCTACTAAGGTTGGTAGATGAGAGGGCTTTTGAACCACTCCTGTTGGACTACTCTTTGGTTTCTTCCACCGATGCTTAGTTTTCACTAAAATCCGACCACATTTTCATATGGAATTGGAAGAATCCTCCTCCTTCCCCGTAAGACAAAGGTCGTTTGGATTGGATTACGGGTATCAGCAATAGCAAAATGAGCTCCCAACGTTCAACTGGGCTCCCCGTCGCTCTCCCGCCGCCGCGGCGACGCACCCCCCCCCCCCCCCCATCTCACCCCACCCCAACCAAGCACCCAGTTCCGCGACCCAGCTAACTCACGAGACGCACCGAACCCCCATATCGGCCATTCGTCTGGCACCATCGCGGCGTTCTCAGTTCCTAACCCCATCTGATCCAGTGAGAGGGTTTCTAGCTTGGATTTCATATGAAGAAGGAATCCTAATCGCCATGAAAGCGGGTCTTCCCTCTATCCTCTAGTCTCAACACAAAAACCCAAAGTAAGCAAGCAAGTAACCAAATGTTCGAGGAGTACAGCGCGTGGGGGTGTCCGAGGCTGAACCTGCGGAGACGACGGCGAGCCTGCGGCCGACGCCGGCGCGGCAGCGCGTAGATGGGCGTCGGCGACCGATCGTGGGCGGCGCCGCAGATGCACTGCGACGGGGGAGCCCGCGCTGGCGGAGAGGAGAAGGGGGCGGCCGCCGCCGGGCGGCGAGGAGGAGGAGGAGGGGCGTGACGGAATCGAGGAAGAAGAAGACGGCCGCTGCTCCCGCTTTGGGAGGTGGTCGTGGTCTCGTGGACTTGGTTCACGCAGCTCTGAGGTGGCGGCACTGTGCCACAGAGCTACAGTAGAGAGCAGCGTGCACCTGGTCCACCGGTTTCTCTCCTGAGCACGTGCTCAGGGACCCCACATGTCAGTGCCTATGGTCCACTGAGACGGAGGCACGGAGAAAACCTGTGCTACTGTAGGAGAACGCAGGATTTCTCTTTCCGTGATCCACTCCGATACTACGTCTAGTTTCCCGCCAAAAAGTTGTAGTGATGGCCCATTTTGATTGGCCCGCTTAGGAGATAAGGCCCAGAAATGAGTCAGATGACCCTGGGCCGAGAGAGGGAACTGATGAAAACAAACCCAAATTCTCAGTAGCACGTTTCCCTCAAAAAAAAAATTCTCAGTAGCACTAGTTCATTCAACAAGAACGAATAGTGTTGCTTATTTCTTAATGACGATACGCAAAAACTTATCCCTCGAAATTGCACGATCAAACATGTCGTCTTACAAGCGAAGATAGTTTAAATGCTTATGAGAGATAAGTGTCCTGAAAACAAACATTGGGTTCATAGGAGTACCATGCCCAGCTTCTACTTGGAGATACTCATTCTACTTAACCATTCAACAGGTATGGAAGAAAAGGAAAAATACGAAAATATGTTAACATTCCCCGGTGTTTGTCCAAAACGAAATTCAACAAGTTGGACCAGCAAAGTCCAAATGCGCATCAAAACCCAAACTTCTCACAGCATCCCCCAAAAACGAGAGTTCAGGTACTTCAGGAAACTGCTACCATCTAAACAAGTTCTCTCGAACATCTCTTCCAGTCAGTCCCAAGGAACCTACAAAGCAGATGAGTACACATCAGTCTCCCTATCTCATAAACAGAGAAGAGAACAGAACAGATGAAATGAACAATTGTCAAATTAAGTTGATTCAGTCTCTTCGGATACATCCGATAAAAAAAGTAGTTGATTCAGTATAACCACAAATATACTGAAACCAGAGCATCCTTTTGGTTTTGTTCCTACTCTATCAGTCAAGGATGTGGCATTGCATGTCTAAGTGTTGACTGAAGCAAAAATTACAACCTGTCTAGTGACTACTAGTAGTAAAGGAGCAGGCAACAAGCTTTAGTTTACTCTTGATCAACGGGTTATAGAATTTTCGGGAGGACAGTGAAGGCGAAATTGGTTAAGACGCTGAGTAACTTTAGGTTTGAGATAGTTCATGTCTGCTGGTTCTGACAGTAGTGACCATCCTTTAGCGAAGTGACAATTCTCAGCAGTCGGCAGCACTAACATCTGGCACTTCAGATGTATGAACAGAGCAAGTACTTCACCACAATTTGAGTATAAGATTTAAAAGGTAACGCCAATTTTAGGAGGCAGACAAATGTAACAACTATCATTTAAGAACAACAAAGAATTCAACCAAACAATATGGGATTACAAACATCAATAGCATTGAGATACCCCCTCTAGTAAAAAAAATGACGCTAGGAGAACAAAATTCAGTTCTCCGGGAGTATTAGGTAATTACGAGAGACTACTGAGGATGTAACAATTAGCACACTGAACGAATTGTTTCTTAAAAGTAAACCATTACCCATTGCATTGACTACAGATAATGCATGAGTAATCCGGACAGAACAATGAAATACGGCTAATAATGGATAATAAAATAAGGGTACACAGACACAAGTTAGACGAGAAAAATACCAAAAGATGAATCGACTGATGCAGTTCAGTTTTAACTGCCTCTATCCACACGAACCAGTGTGTCTGCCAGAGTATTTCTTTCAACATCAGTCTTCTTGCTCGAAAGGGTTGCTGCAACCATGTGTACAAGAACTTTAACAATAGTAGCACAGAGATGATAGCGACAGGAACGATGTATGTATCCAATAATTGCAAAAGACATTGGCAATGAACATTGCATCAAAACACTCGGGCATTAACTACACATGAACAACATAGGTGTTACATAACAGACATTCCACTCCAATGACAAAAGGATGTGAGGTTCTTCTGCCAATACCAAGTTCTGGTGCTGATATCTGTCCATGATCATCACTGCTATAGTCAATTTACTGTGTAAGTGTAAGTCTTATCAGGGACGATTGACTCTGCTTAACATATCAGTAGCACCAGTGCACCACTTAATTTGAGGGCATCTACGCAGCACCACTTCAATGGAACATTTGAATAGTACTGCATTAGACTATTTGAGAAGATAGGAATCAAGGAAAACCTTGTGAAAAAATCGAAATTCGCAAACTCTGCATAAATCTAATCCCAATATTAGACATGCTGCTATAGTTTGAAGCAGAAAAACTCGACTCTTTCTACAGTGATGACAAACAGATGCACTCCCTTGAGAAACCACAATACGGATACAGCAGGTATGTATTTATCAACAGAAATCCATAAATTGCTCAAATCTGCAAGCACGCGATTTCAAAAGAACCGTATGTGCAATCCAATGATTGCAGCATAGTGAACTCCTGCACTTCCAATACTCGGTGCAATTTAACAATTACAATTGCAGTATAGTACCTCAATACTCAAACATATCGAACATACGAGGATATACCTGCAGAGGGGATCTGACATGATTCGAGCCACGGTGGTAGGATGCATGGCACAACTGAACTAGAGTTGACGTCATCAGGAGAACTCCTCCCAATCACCTCGCCCTTGGCCATGTCCACGGCAAGAACCTCGTGGAGGAATATCAGGTACACAACGTTGGCGTTCAGTGGATCGATGGCGCCGATCCGCGGCTTCTCGGGCACCTTGAGCTCACCCTTCCAGCTTGGGGTGATCTCCATCCTGTGCTCCAGCGTCCAGCTGCTGCCCTCATCGTCGAGCGAGAATGCGCTGACCACGAACGGCTTCTTCGCATTGGACACCTCGACGTACCGGAGCTTCCCCTCGCTGACCCCCATCCGCCGATACAAGCCAAGAATCCGTCTCCCCCCAATTCCGGTCAGGTCCGGCAGTACGCTGCCCTTGGGCAGCTCGACGAAGCGCTCCTCCGGCCGGTCGCTGAACGGGTCGACGGAGAGGGCGCCCCAGCTCACGTCCACCCACCACAGCCGGCCGCCGAAGGCCACCACCTGGTGGTCCAGGTGCATCACCCGCTCGGCCGCCGCCGCCCTCTCCGAGCCCGAGGAGGACCGCACCGTCGCCACATCGTCCCACTCCTCGGTCTCCGACATGAACCGGCGCAGCACGCTGCTCCCGGACTCCCCCCTGGTGAGCTCCGCGACCACGTACCTGTCGGGCGGCCCGTGCCGGGACTCGGATCGGGTGAGGAGGCCGCGCCCCGTGCTGTACTTGGTGGTCTCGATGGCGGGCGGGAGGCGGTACATCTGGCCGCTGAGCGGGTTGCAGACGAAGTGCGCGACGTCCGGGTCGAGGACGCCCTCGCTCGTCGTCCTGGACAGCTGGAGCGCCACGGCGAGGCGGACGTTGGCGACGACGGGGGCGTGGTAGCGGGTGTCGTAGAACTTGAGGAGGAGGAGCCCGTCGCCGCTGCCGCCGATGACCCAGCCGACGAAGCCGACGGCGTCCCCTTCGGCGTCCGGGAGGGGGCCGGGGTTGACGAAGTGGGCGGGGACGGAGAGGCGGGAGGAGCGCGGGGGCTCGACGAGGTCCAAGGACGCCCGCGCGCTCCGCGACGGCGCCCCTGACCTGTCCAGCTCCGCCTCGGTTAGGATCATGCGCCACGGAGGGCGTGACGCGGCCGTGGAGAGCGCGCGGCGGAGATGGCGGCCCGCTGCGGCGCCGGCGAGGCGGCGGAGCAGCAGCGACATTTTCCCAAAGCCGGCGAGGAGGAGTCGAGGAGAGGGAGGAGGGTGGGAAACTATTTAACAGCTCGAGTGATGTCCACCCGTTTATTTCATCTCATCTAAATAGTTATGAAAAAAATTAAAAATATATGAATAAGATAGATAAATATGTAATATATCAATCCACAAACATACAAGTTAAAATTCAACTTCTATAGATTGTAACAAAAATAACAAACAAAACTCAAAATACTATATGTATATTTACAGTTAAATTTGTTATTTTTGTTACAATTTGTAGAAGTTGAATTTTAACTTGAATGTTTGTGGAGTGATATATTACATATTGATCTATCTTGCCAATTTTTTTGAAAATTTTTCATAGCCATTTAGTTGACATATAATAAACGGGTGGACGTCCACTCGAACTATTAGAATCCATTTCCGGAGGAGGGTTTATGTGGACCCGAGTGTTATATGGGGTCCACGTGTCAGCGAGCAGTACTGCATGTGCCGTGGATTGGGATGGAGATGGAGTTGGGGTTTTTTCGGTTCACATGGACTCGGTTCGCGCAGGTCTGACAGCTGGTGGCACAGCTAAAGACACGGTGGACATGTGCCACGAAACAGTTTGGGTGATGGTCCGCGGAGACGAGTATTGTCAGTTACTGTAGGTCTATGGACCTTGTTCACAGAGGATGGGCAACAGATGTCCAGGAGGCAGGAGGTGAGTTTGAACTTTGAATGTGCTTTGACTGTTTGAGCTGCCTCGGCTTTAGTTGGAATCCTGTTTATAACACATTAATGACACAACTAGCCATTAATTTCCCGCCAAAGGGCAGCGCCGAGCCGACGAGCATGGGGCTTTTGCCGGCTTGGCAAAGCACCACTGCACCAGTGGCGACACGTGATTGAGCCTTCGATTTGAGGCAAATATGCCCTCTATCTTAAAATATAAAAACATAATACGAAATAAACATTTCTTAGTATTATAAATCTTAATAAAAGATCCGTCAGATTCATAGCACTATGAAATATCATATTCCATACTAAGTTTATATATTTTATTTTTATATTTTGATATAAAGATAGTTAAATTTCGGGGTGGCGGTAGTAGACAACAACGAGAGTGCTTCAAAAAATATCCTATCCCCTACTAGGTTTCTATATTTTATTTTTATATTTTGAGATGAAAAATAAATTTTGGGGTGGAGGTCGTAGACAACGACGAGTGCTTCAGGCTTCATCAATGGCGAGGCGGAGGCCGTCGGCGAACAGGTATACGGGGAGCCAGAGCCATCCATGTCAGGTCTGAGTGTCTGAATGATGCATAAGGTGACACAGGTTCAGATTGATGGTTAAATATATGAACTGAGATCATGTGCAATTTATACTAGGGCTGCAACATACAGCTTCAGATTGAGTTCTGCGCAGTGGTGTTTTGCGATATATCCTACAGCTTCAGATAGACATTCAGAAGCTGGCTAGCATAGGATTGTCACTCTCCTGCATTCCGGTTTCCAATTTCAGCGCTGTCTCAATTCTCATGCCCGCTTGAGCATGCATAGAAATTTCCCAGAAATACATAATGCATACAAGTATAAAACAGTATGAATCACACCAAAGGTGACGAATACTACAATATTTTATCAACCTCTCAGAAAATAAACAGGAAATGATGATTTTTTTTGTGGCATAACTAATAAGTTCATACAATTGAGTCACTATCTCACTCTAGGTTATCCTTTACAAGCCATTTAATTGAATAGTAGTGTTCACAGACAAGCTGCAGAGCTTCCAAACTGCTCGACGTCAAACAGCAAACAATATAGTACTACCTTGATAGCAAGATGTCGCATTGGCATGTGATATTCCAATGTCATTGTCTAAGACAAGGATTTTCCCACATTTTTCCCAACCAGAGAATCTGGTAATCTGCTGTTGATGAGATCCCGCAGTTCAAACTCACTAGGGAACCTCTGCTCAGCTAATTTTGAGAAAACCTGAAAAGTGTAAGCAATTTTCGTTAAGGAAGAAGTAAGGAGGTTGTTTACTGCTCAAGTCATGATCGTAAATCAAAGCCTCTTTCCATGTAGCAGTTCTTAGTAGAAAGGTACAAAGAAACATGGAGAAAAACATACATGCTGAAACAAAGTATTCACATATCTCTGTACTTGCATATCAAGGTAAAAGTAATTTTTAATTGGTTTAATCCTAGAAATAAAATTAGCCCGTAATGTAAAAATGGCAGATAAAAAGAAGTTTTACAGGTGTGTCTGACATAGAAAGCATACCAAATCTCCATTGCAGTAAACTTCAAAGGCACCAGAACTTTGTAGGAAAGATTGCGCAAAATTGCCAAATAGCCAGATTGTTGCCATGGTTCCAAATCTATTGGCACGCAGTGAGTAGTACCATGGGGGTGGAACCATTCCAAGTCTGGGGAAAATATGATCACCAGCCATTATTGTTGCAATGGCTCCAACCTGAAGAATTGGCACAAGTTTGCCAAGTACACGTTTGGGGAAGGGTGGAGGGTAATTGTGCAAGATAACATGAATGCCTGGAAATGATGTTTCCAGCATGCGCTTCATAGTCATTGCAGTCCCCCTACAAAATGTTACTCAAACTATCAGTGTAACCTGCAGATGCAAAGCATAGAATCTATTGAATTGTCTTTTGGATGGACAAAAGATATTTTTATAAATTAGAAAGAAGAGGAGAGGCTATTTAGGCACACAACTTTAATTGCTCTTTCAACTAAAATCCATTAGTAATCAAGGTAAGACAACAAGTACCAAAGTCCACAGATTGAGAAATATACATATCAAACTTTAACTATAATAACTAATTATGTTCTATGTTATAAATACAAAGTAAATTAAGTAAATACTCATGCTTTCAGCTTAGGAGATCTATATCCATATATAACAATTTTTTATATGGTCCATATCACATTTTATTGCATGCAATATTTCACTGTAACCTAAAATTCAATTGTCTGGTAACAGTATACAAATAATTCAAAGAGTTCTTTTACTGCCTATTGAGCATTTTTGGAATGTCCTACTACTTTGTCATAGCATGATCTTAGAGCAAACTTGTGGTATTTGTCTGAGTAATCAAACTTTCCATGGAACAAATAAGCCTCCTCAGGTGCATAACTAATTCCATGGAACAAAATGTGTTTTACCAAAAAAATAGAGAGTGTAGGAACATCGCAACAAGTTAAGCATAAAAAGTAAAATCTGCAAATATCTATTGATCCACAACGAATCCAAGCTAAAACTTTCTGATCCCAAAGCTATAAGTAGGGAAAGTGTGATATTCAGTGAATGCACAAATACCGGCATTTCATACTAACTGAATCACACATACTCGGCATTGGCATGTAACATCTGAAATTCTGAACGCAAGCTAGAGGCTTATATGTGCAAAGCAGCTGAAAGCATGGATCAGCACATATATGCAATGTATCATCACAAATTGTCTCATCTCAAAATAGAAAGAGCTAAATGAGATGAGTGTCATAGGCGGTGGGCAGAGAGATCGAGGTCTTAGGGACGGGATAGAGTCGGTTGGATAGGATTAGACTGGGTCCTCCCCTCCATCCTTATATAGGTGATTCACACTGTGTATGACTGTTATCATTTACATTTTTCTTTCTAATATGTCCAACAGATCATTCACACTGTGTATTAACGATAACTGCAGAACCCATATCCCATACAAAGTTCCCCACTACTGCTAAGATGTAATCGTGAATTTAAGAAGCGAACTGGAGTGAGGCTTACAACTACCAAGCATGGAGTGTTATGAGTGTACATATGAACACAGGACGTATGGCAGTAATCGATCATATGTAGCACTAGAGTGGAGTACCAAGCAATCCCACCTAGCAAATCTTTGTGCGGAGTAGATTTTTTTTTAGATGGTTTTGTGCAGGATAAATCGAACTGAATATTATCAACTGTGGCAAGCACACAACTAAGCCGCTTGGTGCTCGCTACAACAATAGTATGCTCATTTAATCTGCACAGAAATAATCCAACGAACCAACTGCGGCCACTGATACCACATGAACGCAAAACACACTGGACTAACGAAACTCACTTGTACGAGCAGGAGGCGCAGAATTGCAGCTCGACGGTGGTGCCATATCCAGCTCCATCAACGTTAGCCTGCTACAACCGTGCCAAACCCCCCAAAAAAAAGAAAATCAGCACGCCGCTTAGATCGCAGCAACAGAAACTCGGGCTAGGGTTCACGACCCACCCACCTGTATGGCCTCCGCGGCGGGATCGGGGTGAGGGTGGGGGTGATGGTGCGGCGGATGCGGGTGGTGAGGCGGGTGGGGGTGATGCGGCGGATGCGGGTGGTGAGGCGGGTGGGGGTGATGCGGGGGGTGGTGGTGAGGCGGATGGGGATGGTGGTGCGGCGGGTGGTGGTGGGGGTGCCGGAGATGCGGCGGCGGCGGCGCGAAGATGTGGGAGAGGTCGGAGAGGAAGAGGAGGGCGGGGAGACCGACGAGGAGGAGCTGCACGCGGTCCATGGCTTACCACTACTCACACTGCTGCGCTCCGCGTCGCCTCCTCCTCCTCCCAACCTTTTGAGAGGACGCGGAACGGAAGGAGGACGACCCGCGACCGGCGACGCGATGCGATGAGGGAGCGACGAAGCTTCCGCTTGGGTCACTGACAGGTGGGCCGCGGATATGCGGGTCCCAGTTGTCAGTGGGAGTTTATAGGAACAGCGCGAACAAGGCCGGGAAGGTGGGGGAATCTTTGGTAGTGGTCGGGCTCCGTCGCTCCGATGGTGAAGGCCGACCTCCGTCTTTTTGGGTCGCGCGGTGTTCTGCAAGAGTGTCTCGTTGGGCTCTAGGCCTCCTGGGCTAGATTGGAAATATGGGCTCTAGCCCTCTGCGATTTGCAGACCATTTGGTGGAATAAGTCTATGTTGCCTACTACCTCATTTGTTGCTCTCGGTCGAATCGCATCCCTCATCACAAAACTGGTTATAACACCTCCCTCAGCTTCTAGAACTAGTGCAAATCAATTTATTCAGAGATTTAGCAAGCAGTTTATGCTGATGTGGTAGGTTGACTTGGTCCATCTGTGCTAATGTGGAAGCCTAGTCATCAAATGAATTGAAAATAAAAGTGGGGCCGTAACAAGGTAAAAAAGAAACTATAGTGCCCACTTGTCAGCCCTATTCCTCCCCTCTCAATCTCGACGCACCATGCAGACGCAACCCGCATCTCAACATGTCGCCTTGGCGTCATTGCCGCAGGAGGAAGGGGAGGGGACTGTCACGGCAGTCGGCAGCAAAGGATGCGCTTGGCGGGCGGAAGAGGACAGCAATGATGATGACACGCGGGGCCCACAACAATGACTACCACCGCTGTAGCCCTCTCTTCCCCTCATGTTGCCATCTTCCTCCACGGCAACCTCGAGGTTGACGACCAGGAACATGAATAGGTTGGTGTGGAATCGATCGAGGCGGAGCTCACACATGCGGTGGGGGCAGAGTGGTATAGGAGGAAGGTGAGGTTGGTGAGGAGCACAAGGAAGAGGAGGAGCGGGAGCGTGCGAGTGGAGGTGGACAAGGACATAAACAAATAATAGCATCGGTGGAGGATGAGGAGGCAATGGAATGAGGGAGAGAGATGGGTGGACGACACATGGGGGCCACTATGATATTTTAGTGGCTGTTTGGATTGTAGCCAAAATAAACCTTACTAAGTTTTGTCAATGCCAAAATTTTGGCATAATAGTAATAATTGCCAAAATTTTGGCAGGATTTCTTATGTATTGACCAAATTTAGCAACAAACTAAATGTAGACATTTTTTTGGCAGCTTTACCAAAAAATGATATAGTTAAAAATAGCATAAAAGTGAACGTGCCCTTAAGTTTTTCTGCTGACTCGGCAAGTCAAACGTGGTTAGCTTACCATGTCAACGTAAACCACTTTCTAAATCATCGAAGGAATTGATTTGCACCGATTTCTGAAGTTGAGGGATGTGTTATATCCAGTTTTGTGGTTGAGGTATGCGATTCGATCAAGGTAAAAGAAGAGGGAGGCAAAATAGACTTATTCCCAAATGGGTAGCAATTAGCATCGGCCCAATTCCATACCACCATTGTGATCAAGTCAAGCACTATTCCAGCATGACTGGGCGCTTTTCTGGTAAATTTCGGTGCAGCTTTGGGAGAACGGGAGCTACTACGAGTCTACGAGCTACCTCTACCGGCGGGAAGAAAATGCTCTACTCCAAAGGCGATTCCTGTGCAATTTCCTCGACTTACGTCTTTTGAGAGAGAATCTTCTCTCTACCGCCTGAATGCTACGAGAACAGCTTCAAATATTTCCTTTCTTCCAGCGACACGCCATAAGTGCTCACCACTCGAACTCGTGCGGTAAAACTTTGGTGGTGTAAGGCGAAAGTGAAACGTGCAATCATTAACCGAACTCCGAACTGTGCACTCCAGTGTCCACTCCAACTCGTTCAGTCATCTCGGCTTATATGGTCCGACAGGCGACAAGGCGACATTGTGGCACCATATCAACAGCAGCAACAGACACGCAGCGGTCGGTTTTAGGCTTCCCTACGATTATTACGAGTTGACGGCTAGTTCGAAAATTGAAACTCCACATATTGAAATATCATATTAACATTGAGTAAAAAAGCGATTTATTACAATATACTCCATCCATTCCAAAATATAAGGCACAGTCACCCTTAATCCAAAGACCAAGAATGTAGTTTGAATCATCCTAATAAATGTAATGCATGCATCCAATAGGATTAGATAACATGAGAGTGGAGAATTTGAAAAAGTAATAATTTAATAGAGAAGATGCCATGGTTGATTGTATGTTTGCATGCATGTCTTATATTATGGAACATCTAAAAAAAGTGGTTGTGCATTATATTATGGAATGGAGTGAGTACTTAGTTAGGTATTAACTATTATAAATTTAAAAACATTTTTTTATTTAAACACTTGTGTAAAGAAATTCTTTTTTACTTAAAACACATTGTTTATCGGTTTGGAAAGCGACTAACATACAAAAAAAAAATTAGAGTTGAAGTTTAGAAATCATCATAAGCCCCACACTGCCAGCTAACCGGAACCGGGTGTGTTTGCAATCCTGGGTTCCCGACATGCATAGTACGTACGAAAAACGGAACGATCTATTAGCACGTGATTAATTAAGTATTAATTATTTTTTAAAAAAATAGATCAACATGATTTTTTAAGCAACTTTCGTACAAAAATATTTTTAAAAACATACCGTTTAGCAGTTTGAAAAACGTGCGCGTGGAATACGATGGAGAGGGGTTGGTAACAGGATTGCAAACACAACCGTAGCGCGAATGCGTGCGTACGTGCGATGTGGTCATGTGGTGATACTGATAGGAGTAGGACACGCACACGCGGTAGCTAGCGAGGCAGGCTGCCCGCGTGACTGCGGCTGAGTTCGGACGGGGGATATGAGAACCCAACTCCTATCGCACGAAAAACGGAGCAGTTTATTAACGCGTGATTAATTAAGTATTAGCTAAATTCTTTTTTAAAAATATATTGATTTTATTTTTTTAATCAACTTTCGTATAGAAACTTTTTGTAAAAACGTACCATTTAGCAGTTTGAAAAGCGTGCGTGTGGAAAACTAGAGAGGGGATGGGAAAAGTTGCATGCGAACACAGTTGTTCGGTAGTTAGACGGGGAGTTATTATTGCGATGAGAGCAAACAGCTGTTCGGTAGTTAGAGCAATTTTAATAGTATAGCCAACTACTAGCTCCAATTCATTTATAGCCAATCTAATAGCTCATTCATATAATAGTTACATACTCCCTTCATCTACTTTTGATAGTCATATTTCATCTTGACACACAGACAAAAAATAAGTGATTCTACTTATCATCCATTTAAATATGCTACTAGTCATTCCTCGTAAACAAGCGATTCATTAATATTTATATTTCTCGATGCTCATGCAACCAATCTTATATGGAAGAATGAAGAGTCATGTATTAAATCCAAGAAAATCATTAAGATGATAAGTTGTTGGATTGAAATATGCATATCAAAAATAAAATTTTCAGATTTGGAAATATGACTATTAAAAGTAGATGGAGGGAGTACTACACTATTAATACTTGGTCTCACATGTCATACACACTGCGTTTTGGAGTCCGTGCTACAAATCTGTAGCCCGCTGTCCTTCTCTCTTATTATTTATCTTCTTAAAATATATATGCAGCTAGCTTATAGCCTGCCATTATACCCGCTCTTAGACGGGGAGTTATTATTGCGATGGGATTTGATTAAGATTAAGGCACCAATGGTTAGGAGGAAGGCGCCCTGCTTTTTGGCGGGAGTGGGGCACAAGGGAAGGAAGGGAGGAGGGGAACACCGTGCGCGGGCCGGCGCATGATGGCGCCCTCGGCGTGGAAAGGGAGGCGTAAAGCTGGGCTGAACCGGCACGGCAAGGCCCGTTTTGTTTAATCCCCGGGGGTTTGGTACGCGCACCAATGGCTCTTCGATAGGGATAAATCTATTCTATCGAAAATGTAATTCAGTTTTTTTTTATTATGCGGATAACACACACGTACGAACATCACGCTCGTACACTCGCAATGTTAATCTGGGCTTCTTTTTGGGTTTAGCGGAATGCTGTGGAATTTGCCGTTTTACGAGGAGCGATCAATGATAACAGTAAGTATAAGAGCACCCGCAATATTAAAGTAAGATGCTCTCTATAAAATATGTACATCTCAGTAATAGACTAGATTAATAGTAAATCACCTCAATAGTATGTCTACATTGGTATCTATAGCTCTCTAATGCATTGCCTCGTTTTTCTCTATAGACTATCTTCAGATTAGTAGATAGTTTTGTTCTCTCTCTTCATTCAATCTCTTTCAAATAGGAAAATATGCTGACATGGATCTCTTGCAGAGAACCTATAGATAACCATTGCGGGTGCCATAAGAGCAGGTACAATAGCATGCTATAAGCCAGCTACAAATATATTTTAAAAAGATAAATGGGGAGAGAGAAGAGCAGCGGGCTACAGATTTGTAGCTAGCTATAGCACGGACTCCAAGACGCGGTGTGTATGACAGGTGGGACTAGATATTAATAGTGTAGTAAGTAACTATTGTATGAATGAGCTCTAATATTATAGCCAACTACTAGCTCCAATTCATCGTTAATAGTATAGTAAGCAACTATTGTATGAATTGGCTATTAGATCGGCTATGGATGAGTTGGAGCTAGTAGTGGGCTATACTACTAGGCAAAATTTGCCATGGGACACCCAAAAATTGTGTAATTGGTTGTGAGACACTATAAAATCGTGTCATTGCTGATGGATACCACAAAATTCATGTAATTTGTTATAAGACACCCGAGACAATATTTTATCATTTCTGATTAAAAAGATGGGAGAGAAATTTCAAAAAGACAAAATTGCCCTCAGCGTCGCTCGCCATCTGCCACCGTCGAAGCCGCTGCCGCCGCGCTCACTGACCGTCGTCGATGCCGCCGCTGTTGCTCACTGCTGCCTGGCCACAGCCACCTCCGTCGCCACCACCGCCATCGAAGCCGCTGCCGCTGGGCTCATCAACCATCGTCGAAGTCACCGCCGTTTCCCGCTGTTGCCTCCGTCACGGCCATCACTCGCCGCCGCCACTGCCGTTGTTGAAGCCGCTTCCTGATCTCGTCGACCATCGTCGAAGTCATCGCCGTAGCCTCTACCGCCACCGCCGCTGGGCTCACCGAACGCCATCGAAGCCACCGCCGCCGAAGCGGCCGCCGGGCATATGCGGGCCGCGGGCCGAGCGGCGCGAATGGGCGCCCAGGTGACGCCATAGGGAAGCGCTCACCCACCTCCTCGTCTCAGGCCGCTGCCACCTCCCCGGCGAGCCCAGCTGCTAGCCCGACGCCATCACCGCCGCCGGAGAGATCAACCGACGTGAGGCTGATGCCACCGGAGGGGCACTTCTTCATCCCGCAACCGCACTTCATGCACAGCTACTAGCTTGTACCAGGCGGCGACGCCGACCACCACCAGGTCTCCAACACCGGCAACGGCGATGGATCAATCGATGGATCGATGGAAGCGCCGATCAGAAGGGGCAAAACTATCATTTTATGTGGTTTCTTTCTCATCAATTCAGTGAATATTATATTTTAATGTGCCCAGTGTCCTGCAGCAAATTACCACACTTTTAGAGTGTCATCGGGCAAATTCATGTCTTTCGGGTGTCCCACAACTAATTACACAATTTTTGAGTGTCCTGTAGCAAATTTTACCCTACTATTAAACTTGTGACTACTAGCTCTAATTCATCCATAGCCGATCTAATAGCCAATTCATACAATAGTTGCTTACTACACTATTAATATCTGGTTCCACCTGTCATACACCACACTACGTCTTGAAGTCCGTACTGCAGCTGGCTACAGATATATAGTCTGCTGCTCTTCTTTCTCATCTTTTACTTCATTAAAATATGTTTATAACTGACTAATAGTCTGCTATTGCGCTTTTTTTTATCTCCCTCACAATATGTGGAATATATATATGTAAGGGAGTACTGCATTAAACTTGTTTTAATGGCATATGTGGAGCCAGGAACCGGTGCAGAGTCTGGCGATTGGTCTTGGATTCTTGGGAAGAGGGCATCTCGCTGTGCTTACGTTTTGTGATTTTTGTCAGCCGTCCAGTCTTTTTTTTTAGAACCGTCAGCCGTCCAGTCAAAGTGATGATTTATGTTGTTACACAAGCGTGACACGCCTTAACTCAGGTAGTTTATGGGTGTAAATTTTATCTTGCGAAAAATGGCTGAACCGAGAGAATTGAGTAAATGTGTAGGAATAGTTTAATTGCATTGTCTTGGAGGAGGGTGACAGCAAGAATACCCAAAGTATTCTTCGGTCTTACTCCAAGCAAGCAACCACTTTTGAATGACAAAGTATAATCGAAAGGAGGCGTGATACGTTTCATCAGTCAAAAGGGAATAAGTGGCTCTTTCGAAGTTAGGCCAAACCAGAGAAACAAAACCAAGCAGATATGCATTTTTTTAACGAGAATGATAGCTAATGGTTTTTCACAATCATCATCATAAATGTGCATTTATATATATAATATTATTATCCCAGATACATGGACGTGTCCAATTTAAATATGACACATTCGGTGGCCTTTTGACTTATGAGAAAAGTCATTTACTTACAACTGAAAAGTGGTGTTCAGAGATATAAAGAAGGAATTGGTTCTCTTCCTTTTAGCTGCCCTGCCCATGGTCTTCTCATCATAACAAGGTGACCATTTAAGGTTAAACACAACAAGACAAAGCAAATAAGGTGATAGTACTTAATCCTTCGCTGTAAATAAGAATTTGTTTCTTGATATATCATTTGTAGAAAGAATTTATCTCTTGATTATCATAATAAGCACCAAAATTCAAAGTCAGCACTTCGTTTTCTTCTGCTAGAATATGTTTCACGATTAATCTCGCCGGAATGTCTTATACAGTATTTGCATACATGGCTGTTTATCGGTTATGATTGAAAATCTTGCGGATAAACTGCCCGGTATACCGGCCAGAATAATTCAAATTTAAATATAATATTTAATGTTTTCTCCTTGTATAGTAAGAACATACTACGTTTTTTTTATCAAAAGAACATACTGCATAAACTAGTATTTTATCTTATAACATCATGCTTCTAGTATATAAATGTAGGGGAATTTAACTATTTGCCACTATTGCGTTTGACAATTATCCAAATACCCCTCTTGCATTTGCACTTAACTTTTTTTACCCTTCTTAAAAGGTGGCTTCTTAACTATTTGTCACTTTTACTCACGTGGCATGCACGTGGCAACACAGAGCGAAAAATGATGTGGGACCCACTAGTCAATGTCTCCCTTCTCTTCATCTCTCCCTCCGCCGGCCTTCTCACGACGGCGGCTTTTTCCTCGCTACCGTGCTTTGCACGGCCTGCCGCCCCGGGTGGTCGCTGCCACCGTCGCCGGTGTTAGCCTAGGCGAAGTCAAAGAAGGGCGGATCGAGGGAGATGAAGTGGAAGGAGACTGACTAGTGGGTCCCACATCGTTTTTCGCTCAATGTTGCCACGCTGGCATGCCACGTGGGCAAAAGTGGCAAATACTTAATAAGTCATCCCTTAAGAAGGAAAAAAAATAAGTGCAAATGCAAGAGGGGTATTTGGATAATTGACAAATACAATAATGACAAATAGTTAAATTCCCCTGTAAATGTAGGAGTATTTATACATCGAAACTATGAAAACCTACACTTTAGCTGTATCAAAAGTTCAAATCCAAAGTTCAATAAGTTAATTCGAAATTTGGGTTCAAACTCGGTTACTGGTGATTGACCAGAAAGACAAGTTTTTGTTTTTTTAAGTATTTTTCTCCAAACCCGGCATCCGAAACTTGTTTGTACGATGGTCGAAAAAATAATACGAACATCCACCACCGGTGGAATATCCAACGATTTCTGCGAGAATAATCGCTAAGAAAATTCTGCAAGAATCTTGTGACTAAAATAAACCTTAAACACAACCGTCATCAGTCGCTTAATAATGCGCTTTCCTTCACCGGATTATCCGATTCCTCTCGTCACCTCACCCGCACCCCCACGGTCGTCGTCGTCGTCGTCACCGGAGCCAGTCAAAACTCGCCGATGACCGTGGGCCCCACCACCCCCGAACTCCAACCCCGGGCCCCACGAGGCAGCGACCCATCGGTCGCCATGGCAACGCCACGTGGGAATGTTCCTCGTCTCGCCGCGCTACGCGTACCCCGGGACACGTCCCCGGCGCCTCCTCCATACCGTTATACCATCCGACCCGACACAGGTCTCCTCCTCCTCGCCTCGCTGGAAGAAGTAGCCTCTGCTCTGCTCTGCTCTACTACAGCCACCTCTCTCTCTCTCTAGTTTCTCTCTCTAGCCCCCTCCCTCCTCCTCCTCCTCCCCCACTAGCGCAGAGCCCAATGCGGAACAAACCCTAGTAGTGCCCCCCCCCCCACCACCGGGTCCCCTCCTGATCTCGCGCGGCGGCCATGGGTAACTGCTGCCGGTCGCCGGCGGCCGCCGCGAGGGAGGATGTGAAGACATCGCACTTCCCCGCCTCTACCGGAGGCGGGAAGAAGAAGCCGCACCAGGCGCGGAACGGGGGAGGCGGAGGTGGTGGTGGAGGAGGGGGAGGCTGGGAGAAGAAGCGGCTGTCGGTGCTCGGGGAGGAAGGGAGCGAGGTGAACGGCGGGATCGAGGAGAAGTACGCGCTGGACAGGGAGCTGGGGCGCGGCGAGTTCGGGGTGACGTACCTGTGCATGGACCGGTGCTCGCGGGAGCTCCTCGCGTGCAAGTCGATCTCGAAGCGGAAGCTGCGGACGCCCGTGGACGTGGAGGACGTGCGGCGGGAGGTGGCCATCATGCGGCACCTGCCCAGGAGCGCCAGCATCGTGTCGCTGCGGGAGGCGTGCGAGGACGACGGCGCCGTGCACCTCGTCATGGAGCTGTGCGAGGGAGGGGAGCTGTTCGACCGCATCGTCGCCAGGGGCCACTACACGGAGCGCGCGGCGGCGGCGGTCACGCGCACCATCGTCGAGGTCGTGCAGCTCTGCCACCGCCACGGCGTGATCCACCGGGACCTCAAGCCCGAGAACTTCCTCTTCGCCAACAAGAAGGAGAATTCCCCACTCAAGGCCATCGACTTCGGCCTCTCCATCTTCTTCAAGCCTGGTGAGCTCCCCGGCACTGAGATCCATCCGCGATTCGGACAATCGGACGAACTGTTTTTTTTTTCGCGCTTTTGGATTTTTTGGGGGAGTTTTCGCAGGATTGGTGGGTTGGCAGCCGGTTGGGTGGAATTCTCTGTACTCTGTAGTAGTGTAGTGGCCGTTGCTGTAGCTGATTGCTAGTATGTTCTTGCTTGCGTAATCTGACGAGAACTTGTTCTCTTTTGGTAGGACTTCTAACTTTTGGAACAAACATATACGCACTGCAGAGTGAGCTCTGAGTTCAGATACTGGAATCTTAAGAACTAGGTTGAGTCGTTGAGTGGTTGCTGTTTTTGGAATTTGGGAAACTACCGGTGGGAGCAGACGTGACAGTTGCTATTTCCAAATATAGTGTCCTGGTGCTGCCCTTATACCAAGTCTTGCGTGCTGATTCCTCATTCCACTTCAGTTTAGTTGTTTTGGGTAATAAGATTCAGGCTTTCAACACAACAATTGTAGCAACTCTTCTTATAATTCTATTTTTATCAACTAATTAATTTGGCACCAATGATCTTGGTTGTTAATGTACACATAACAATATACACTTGTCGAACCAGGACACTAAGAATATGCTGTAAGAGACTTGAAGCAGTGCTTTACAATTCTTTTTTATGCTTGTTTATGCACTTTTCTCAATAGGTAGTATTCTTCTATTTCAATTCCATTCCCCTTGTCCTCTGGTTGAATTCTAGTAAATAGTTAACTACTTGGACAACAAATTTCCAGTGGCTCTATGTTTGCTTCTATGCAATCTCAGATTGTTGCAGAATGTTTCACATTGTAACAGCCTGAATCTTATAGAGTTCTGTTATGACAATCATCATCACTCTTATATCATGTGGCATTCATGCAATTAATTTGTTCACCTCATATCCATTTCCATACTGGTCCTGCTTATTGGTAGGGGGAAAACATATTTTCGCCAGGTAGATAAGTTCCTTAAAAATAAGTGGCTACTGGAATTTTACATTAAAACATGGAACAACTGAACAATGTAAATTCTGGAGCTACAAAACTTGCCATAGCTAAACCTTGATGCATTTCACAGTTTTTGCCAAAAAAAGTAGTCTTCAAAATTTGTGTTGATTTGTTTGCTGTTGATTACTGGAGTCATAAATGCTTTAATGTGGCATCAACATTGGGAAAATATCGATCAAGCCTTTTTCAGAAGCACTCTCGTTTTCTTCTCATAGGATTCTGTTGGATTAGTAATGCCTCTATATGATATGATCGCCTATAGGTGTGGAATTATTCTTATTTTGATACATATTATAGAATGAATCATTGCATTGTTTGGATTTTGTTTAATGACCAACTGTTTTTTGTAAGACACCTCTTCACATTTCCCTGTGAAATGCCTGTATGCTATATATTTAAATATATAAAATGTTTAATCTGATCCACTATCTTGATTGTTCAGGTGAAAAATTTTCTGAAATTGTGGGAAGTCCATATTACATGGCTCCTGAAGTGCTGAAGAGAAACTATGGACCTGAAATAGACATATGGAGTGCTGGTGTCATCTTGTATATTTTGTTATGTGGAGTTCCTCCTTTTTGGGCTGGTACCAACTTTGCCTTCTCTTTGTGAAAACCTTAAATCATTTAGCTTTGCTCTTCTGCAAATTCTTACCAAGCAAAATTGCAGAGACTGAACAAGGAGTGGCACAAGCTATACTTCGTGGAAATATAGATTTTAAGCGAGAACCATGGCCCAATGTTTCTGATAATGCTAAAGATCTAGTTCGTCAGATGCTTCAGCCTGACCCAAAACTCAGGCTAACAGCAAAGCAAGTTCTTGGTAAGTGGCACATAGTGCTTTTAAAGCTGGCACATTGTTAACTAAGCATGACTTGTACTTCCTTTTGGCTATGTGATGCATTGATTGCACTAGTAATTGTTACAAATAGTTGATGATCTAGCTATGCTTTATTGCATTTTCCTAATGTGATTTGGAAATCAACAGTAAGAAACTGGCTGTTGATGAATGTCGAGAATAGTATGAGATGTTTAATTGTTGCTATAAATTCAAGGTAAATTTGAGACTTGGATGAACCATAGTTCATACTGGCAAGTGCCAGATGGAAACAACTTAGAAGATATGTAAGTTTGAGCAAAAGAGGTAAAAAAAAAGAAGCATAGTTATTACCAAAGCCATGGACAACAACTGATGCAATTTTAATTATATCTTATATTGCCTTCTAAACTTATTGAGTTGAAGCATGCCAAATGGTGTAGTGAATTAGACAGGTTTGTTTTATTTTGCTTCTTCATGGTTATGCGTTATTTTGTACAATCATGGGATGCTTATCAAACTATGAATCATTTGCGTCAAAAAAAAAAAACTATGAATCATCAAAGGAATTCGTCGTGTTGTCCACATGCTGAATAATGTAGACAATTAAGCAATCATGTTTTACCACGTATTTCCTTTTTTCTTTGATCAGACTCAGACAGTGATATACAGGCTTGGTACTCAAGATAGCTGTTTCACTTCTGTTGTCGCAGAGCATACCTGGCTTCAAAATGCTAAGAAAGCTCCAAATGTTCCACTTGGAGATATTGTAAAGTCAAGGCTGAAACAGTTTTCAAGGATGAATAGATTCAAAAGAAGAGCTCTAAGGGTTTGAATCCTTCTCTAATTGATTATCTTTTTCTAAGTCTAACAAACATATATATTTTACTGAACCGAACTGATTCTTGACCAGGTTATTGCTGATCACTTATCAGCCGAAGAGGTTGAGGACATAAAGGACATGTTCAAGGTGATGGATACAGATAATGATGGTATAGTCTCTTATGAAGAGTTAAAGAGTGGAATCGCAAAATTTGGTTCCCATCTTGCAGAATCTGAAGTGCAAATGCTTATTGAAGCTGTAAGTAACCTGGAAGTATTTCACTTGCTTGTTGGAGTTCAATAAAATTGAGTTACAAAAGATAGTTCAATCAGATTAAATGTTCACCATCTTTGGTGATAGCTGATACTGTGTCACATGTTTTTTTTTCTAAGTCTGATGTCTGGTGCAATGTAAAAGTGTTCCTTTTACACCACATGGTGGAAACACTGGCCAATTTTCCCTTTATTGCCCTTTTCTTTTTGCAATAATGGATCAAGGGCATAATCAAACTGTTACTTCCATTTGTACAATTGACCTGCCTGTTCTTCTCATTAGTCTTGACATGTTTATATATTTCACGGAGCGTGCTGAGACATTTACTATTAACATTCCTTTTTTGTTTTGTCATTTTGGTGTCTTTTTGGTCCATAGTATGCAATTTGGGAGTCAGACTTGAATACATGATAATTAGGTGGTCTCAATGGTTTGATTAGTGTAAATGTGTAATGCCCTTGAGTATTAATAAAACAAAAAGATAGGTGATTTGCATATCTGATATTTTTGTGGTTGGAAAATAGGTGGATACAAATGGTAGGGGAGCACTAGATTATGGTGAATTTTTGGCCGTTTCACTTCACTTACAAAGGATGGCAAATGGCGAGCACCTCCGGCGGGCCTTCCTATTTTTCGACAAGGATGGCAATGGCTATATTGAGCCCGAGGAGCTTCAGGAGGCTCTGGTGGAGGATGGGGCAACTGATATCATGGAAGTGGTGAAGGACATATTGCAAGAGGTTGACACTGACAAGGTGATGATTCACTAATGCTGGTAGCAATGATATAACCTCCAGATCTTATGCCTTTACTTAACAAACATTTCGATCGTTTATTCAGGATGGCAAAATTAGCTATGAAGAATTCGTAGCAATGATGAAGACTGGCACAGATTGGAGAAAGGCGTCACGGCATTATTCAAGAGGACGTTTCAACAGCCTTAGCATAAGGCTTATAAAGGATGGATCTGTAAAATTGGGCAACGAGTGAAGTTGCAAACTTGCAGCTGGTGTTGCCCTTTACTACTCATCTGCGCATGTAAGTCTGGCCCTTGGACCCACTAAGCAGAGACCTTCTCCTTTTCTAATGATTATTTTGGTGGTAATTTAGATAGGCAGAGCCCCCCCCCCCCCCCTGATTGGCTTACTCATGTAAGTAGTTTTCCTGGTATCTCTGATGAGGAGCACGCACTGAATGCTGCACCAATAGCTGTGCACAGTGCACTTGCTTGATATCTCCTTCACTGTACCCATGCTTGTTGTACAATATTTTGTTGTTCCACTCAATGCACTTCGTTGATCTGATGGATGCATCTGCATTGGTAAAAAATTAGAGATTCACATTACTAGTTAGACTTGTAATGTGCAGTGACTGGTACTGCAGGCTACTTCAAGCCTTCAGCAGTTCAGCTACACCCAAACAGCATACTGTTACAGAAGAAAAGAACAAAAAAGCAGCTTGGAGCTATACATGACCATGGCAGATCAGCAGGTGTACTCCTAGTACATTGTTAGAGCAAGTTCAATATTATAGACAACTACTGGCTCCAATTCATCTATAGCCAATCTAATAGCTCATTCATACAATAGTTACATACTACACTATTAATACCTAGTCTCACCTGTCATAGACACACTGCATCTTGGAGTGCTACAGCTGGCTACAAATCTGTAGTCCGCTGCTATTCTCTCTCCTGATTTATCTCCTTAAAATATGTTTGCAGCTGGCTTATAGCTTGCTATTGTACCTGCTCTTACTAGTACTACTCCTGGTACTATAGTATTGACACCATTCTGTTTGCAGTCTTGCACTCAAGTGGTTTGATGCTGATGCTGCCAGTATTCAACCACAGACCAAACTGACATAGGAATATAGGATTCCCTGCAGTTTGGCACAGTGGAATTCAGACTTTGTTTTCAGGTCTCGTTTGGTTGTTTGCAATCCAGTGTACAGTATTACTACTATGGCCATTATGGCCATGTTTAGGTTGTGTACCAAAAATTTCTTGTAGTATAAGAACACACATTTAAAGTATTAAACGTAGACTAATAATAAAACAAATTACAGATTTTGCCTGTAAATTGCGAGACGAATTTATTAAGCCTGATTAATCCGTCATTAGTAAATGTTTACTGTAACATTACATTGTCAAATCATGACGTAATTAGGCTCAAAAGATTCGTCTCGCAATTTACATGCAAACTACGTAGTTGTTTTTTTTCACATTTAATGCTTTATGTATGTGTCTAAACATTTGATGTGACAAATTTTTTAAAAGTTTGAAGGGAACTAAATACTGTCTAATACTGTCTATGTGGGTTTTCAAGCTGAAACAAAAGGGTAAATTAGGGAAACCGTGGAAAATCATGTGCCATAGTACTTCTTTTGATTTTTCTTTGTGTGACTAATCGTGTCGAACTTGACAATTAACTTCCATCTACCACTGTTCTCATGTGGAAAGCAAAATAAATCACGAGAAGAAAGAGACTTGCCTACCTTTTCCTTTTCTTTTTCCCTTTGGTGGCTTTATTCCGAAAATGTATAAATATAAATATGAAAGTTAAGATCAAGAACCGGGCTAGAAACGTGTTAGTATATTTTTCTTTTTACTGTCGTTTTTCAGAAATTAGCATGTGGGTGACACCGATAGTATGGCGTGGGGTGAGCGTGTAGTTATGGCCTCCAGGCTTGACTTGTCTGCTATAGTTAAACCTATGTACTACTCCCTCTGTCCCATAATAAGTGACGTTTTTGGCTTTTTATTTGTAACGTTTGACCATTCGTTTTATTTGAAAAACTAGTGCAAATATAAAAAAAGATAAGTCATATGTAAAGTACTTTTGACAATAAAGCAAATGACAAGAAAAATAAATAATTATTCCAAAATTTTTTGAATAAGACGAATGATCAAACATTGACAAACAAAAACTCAAAAAGACAAGTAATATGAGATGGAGGTAGTACGTGTTAGTATATTTTTCTTTTTACTCCTATGTACGTTTGTCTCCTACAGTATATTTCCCTGCTGTAAATAAAACGTTTACTAGGTCGATCAACACATTATTTCTTCTAATATCACTTTGAAAGATGATTAAATTAATCACAACCAGATCACCCAAACATATTACTCTCCCTTTTTACACGTAAATTCTCCCTCTTTTTCTTGAAGTTTCGCATTTTTCGTCAATAATAGAGTAATTCGAAGCAGTGACCTGGAGGAAAAGAGTGTTCAGAATTCAGGTCACGTTAAATAAACGTACCAAGCTTCCTACCGGCCTGAAAAAAGGGGCTCTAGTACTGTAGCATAGCTAATCACCAAAACTTGGGACCCAAATGAGTTGTTAAAGAAACACTTAACCGAAATGAACTGTTTGCAGGTAAGACATCTTTTTCGATCGCCGCTTTTGTTGTACGATTACCTTTTCAACTTTAACCCTGAATTCCGCCGTCAGTTAAGATCCATTCACTTGCAGTAAATGTTACTCCTGCTAACACAATTATCACAGTAAACACAGGCTTCTTATCAGCAACTCACCATCCCTCCCCAAACCCAACTACCATGACAGCAAAGTCTCACAGTAAATGACGCTTCTTCTACGCCTAACCTGAGTGAGACAAATACTGTAGCAGAGCAAAGCAATAGTAGTACTACCCTGTTCTGTAAATGCGCAGTTGATAATCCATATTATTACTGCTACTCAAAATTATCCATACATACATGATTGAATATATTTTAAGATATACTCCCTCCGTCCCATAATATAAGGGATTTTAAGTTTTTACTTGCACTGTTTGATCGCTCATCTTATTCAAAAAAATTTGTGCAAATATAAAAAACGAAAAGTTATGTTTAAAGTACTTTGGATAATAAAGTAAGTCAAAAAAATAATAATTCTAAATTTTTTTTGAATAAGACGAGTGGTCAAATTGTACAAGCAAAAACTTAAAATCCTTTATATTATGGGACGGAGGGAGTAGGTTACTTTATTTTGGAATGGAGAGTACTGTGATTTCATTATCTCCCTCTTGATAAAATAACAAGAAACTACTCCAGTACACAATATTTCTACCCTGGAATCGAAATCAAGCTATCTGGGCGGTAATTGGTGACTAAGTACTACAGTACCCGTACCTGAAGCGGTTGTGGTTGGAGTAGTGTTATGGTGGGGTGCGACCGTGCAAGAGGCAAGAGATATTAAAAAAAAAAAGATCTGGGGAAAGAGACCGGAGCCATCGTTTCGTGCAATATTACAAATGAAAAGTAATTTATAAATAAAACTTTTATATACGTGTTTTTATCTATCTAAAAGCAAGAGCTGAAAAATAAATTTTGATGAAAAAAACCTCAAAATCAACTCTAAATTTAAAGTTGAAAATTTAAATTTCAGTTGATAAGCATAAACACAAGCGAAAAGATGAGATCCGACGTTTCTCTAAATATTTTTCAAAAAAGAAATTACGAGTGTGTTAGAAAATTTAACTTATGACCTCGGAATTTAAACCACATCTTGCGACTGTACTGGGCAAGACGCAAGTGGATCGGACGGCGAGGGAGCTAGGGCGGCCGGCACCCGTCGGGGCGTCACGAGCGCGCAGAGAGAATCCCCCCCAGCGAAGCAGCGGCGAGAAGGACAAGCCACCCCAACCAGAACCAGGTGGTGGGGAGAGCGGGACAGCGCAACAGCGACTGACAATAATGGCGGTGGTGGCGGGCGAGGCCACCTCGGATCGCGGCTGCCTCCCTCCCCTCCTCGACCTCGACCAACCACCCGCGTCGTCTCGTCGCGCAGTTAGCGACCGCGACGCCGACTCCCCCCCCCCCCCCCCCCCCGGCGACGCCGACGCTGCCGTGTGGGCCCCCCTCCCCCGCGCGGTGCGGCGCGGGCGCGCGCGCGCGTGTCCGTTGGATCCCGTGCGGCCGCAAGCTTCTTCTCCTTCTTCTTCTCCGCTTCTAGTAGACTTCTAGTAGTAGTAAACTTGGCGTCGCGATCTCCGCGCGCTCCGGGTGCTTCGCTTCGGAGGTTTGGGAGGATGGCGGAGGCGTGAGGTGAGGTGAGGGAGTGTGAGATCGCGGGGGGGCAATGTCGGTGCTGGGCGCGGAGGGGGCGGCGATGGGCTTCCTCCCGGCCGCGGAGCACGGCTTCGCGCGCTCGGCGGCGCCGTCGCCGCTGCGGGAGGAGGAGGAGGTGCTCGACGACGACCCGAAGCTGCCGCCGTTGCGGATGCCCACCTCCTTCGCCGCGTTCCCTGGGTCCAGCTCCGGCTCCGACTCCGACTCCTTCCTCAGCATGAGCTCCACGCCATCAGGTAAATTTTGCTTCATCAATGCGTGCGAACAGTACAAAATCTCCTCCAGAGAGAGGAAGCGTGTGCCTGGGGCAGTATGATCTCGATCTCTCCGCGCGTGATTGGGAGACGCGCCGCCTCAAATTGTCTGTTTTTTTTTTGCTCGAATTCTGGTCCAAAATTTGTCAATCTGTTTGGTGGTGGTGGTTGCTGTTTTTGGGTTGATGTCAGGGCTGATGAATCCGTACGGCGTGTGGTCGCCGCGCGCGCCGCCGTCGGAGGCGTCGTCGTCGGAGATGGAGTTCGGCACCGCGCGCGAGTACGACACCACCGATCTCTTCTTCGGCGAGAATTGGCTCTACGACGACCACCTCTTCCACACCAATTCGGACGGCGACGAGGGCAATGGAGAGGACAAGTTCATCGTTGGCGCTGACTCTACCGCCCAGTGGAGCGAAACGCGTGAGCTCGACGATTGCGGCGGCCGCCACCAAGTGCACACGAAATCCAAGGCCGACGCTGAAGCCTGCGCGGAAGTGTATACCTGCTCTTCAGCGCCCTGCAGCTGCTGCTACGGAGGGAGGAAGAATGATGATGGGTTGACGAGGGATTCTTGCTCTGCTGTCTATGGGAGGTACCTGATCATGGATGACCAGACAGAGGTGCTGGATGAGTGTGGTGCAGATGCATTCCTGTTCACACGGGATGGAGATGCCATGCTCAAAAGTGAACAGCCAATTGATTCCAAAGGCGGAGATATCGAGTTGCTGGACATGAGTACGGTGGAGAAGGAGCTTCAGATGCTCAGTCCGTATTTGGCTGAGGCAGATGCTCTTGAGAGTGAGTATTTTCTGACTTGTCCTCTTAATTATGTTCAATCTTGCAGTTCACGAAATCCTTGAAGCTCATTAATTTTGTTGTTGTACTGGATCCAGAATACTCAGTTCATTTCTCAGAATTTATTTCACTTATCCTTGCAAAGTTTTGTTTTCTTGTGGACTAGTTGGTTTTAATTGTGGTTATCTCTTGCAGAGGCTGAGCTTGAACACGATTTCAGCGGCAATGGGGAACTAGATATTAACGTTGTTACAAACGAGAAAACTGCCGATGACAAAGAACTTCTAAAAAATAGTTACAGCATACATTCTTTACCTGAGATAGGTGATCCTCTAGATGTTTATGAGATGGAGGACTTTGGACGAACAGATACAAGTGTTCAAAATTCTACAGCCAATAAAATCGCTGAAGATGCGAGAACAGATATTGATCTTGCACTTTCTAGATTTCATGAGGAATATGAGGTATTTGAGCTGAGAATTTTCCACCGGAAGAACAGGTTCGTCATCAGATGCTTTCTTTTTTTTGTTTATTCTTCCGCCATCATGTAAATATACTTTCCATGCTCATGTCATAAGTGTTCTTTGCAGGACTGGTTTTGAGGAAAACAAAGAGTTCCCTATTGTCATGAATTCAGTTGTAGGTGGAAGATATCGCATCACTGAGTATCTTGGCTCAGCTGCATTCAGCAAGGTTGTACGGGCACAGGATCTTTGGACGGGAATGGATGTCTGCCTGAAAATAATAAAAAATGACAAGGATTTCTTTGACCAGAGCTTGGACGAGATAAAGCTCCTTAAATTTGTAAACAAATACGATCCTGATGATGAACATCATATATTGCGCCTTTACGATTTTTTCTACTATCAGGTATGTGATGTAAAGATAAAATGAACACAATCTTTTGGTGTGCTTTACTCAATCTCATTTTGTACCCTGTGGAATGCTGTCATCCAAAAAAATGACAGGAACATCTTTTCATTGTCACTGAATTGCTACGGGCGAATCTGTATGAATTTCAAAAATATAACCAAGAGTCTGGTGATGAAGTGTACTTCTCATTGCGCAGAATACAGGTATGCCTGACTGTTATTCCCTTTTCCCTGAGAGTATCTCCGGTTGTGTTGTTATGAAAGCTTGTAACCATCATTTTGTCTGTTAATTTTATGAAGCCTTCATTACTAAAGAAATCATGGAACGATGCAAAAGTGTTTACTTCTGTTGTTGCAATACACTTCAGTTGTAAAGAAATTTCTCTTAAGAAAAACAGTTGTAGAGAAAGATCTCTTCATCCATTGATCTTCCATGATTAATATTTCTCTGACATTCTGTTTTATGGAAGGTTAAAATAAATACTTCTAGCATGATTAAGTTATGCTGTAAAAACATAAAAAATCCTGCTGAAATATGATATGTTGTTGTTTTTCAGGCTATAGCTCGACAATGCTTAGAAGCTCTGGTGTATTTGCATCATTTAAATATCGTTCACTGTGACCTTAAACCAGAGAATATCCTCATGAAGAGTTACAGCAGATGTGAAATTAAGGTTATTGATCTTGGAAGTAGTTGCTTCTTGACAGACAACTTAAGCTTATATGTCCAGTCACGTTCTTACAGAGCTCCTGAAGTCATTCTAGGTCTTCCATATGATCAGAAGATTGACATTTGGTCTCTCGGATGCATCTTGGCTGAACTGTACACTGGTGAAGTAAGTTTTCAACTATTCATCTTTACTTACTAATGTCCATTTGTCGGTACTATATTACATTGTCACGACATGCTTACATTTTGTCTAGGGAAATTGATGTATTTACTCAGTCGAAGGAAAAGAAAAGTACAAACCAGGATTTGTCCATGGTTAAATGAATTATTGTGCCTTTTAACTCATCCCGCAATTGCTGCAGTCAAGGTTTTGATTGTGGGCTTGTGGCTAATGTTCTTTCTTGTATAACTATTCAGTTCATCCCAAGAAAATTACCACCTCCTCAATTGTCATAGTCTTGAAATATTGGTAGAACCTTCATTGTTATCGCAACACTGTTATTAATTTTAAGAAACTGTATGCAGAAATTGGAAGAGTGATTCAAGTGCTTATGGCTTATCTGCAGAACATTTACCAAATTTAAGAAATGATCTATTAGTAACTGTAAATATACCGGGGAATCCCCATCATGTTTCTTTTTATCTAGTTCCAATTGAAGATATTGTATTTAGTATTTACCACTTTTGTTAAAAGTACTTGAAACATAAAAATTGTTTTGTAACTGTAAACCAAATAAGCCAATGCTCTCTTTTTTTTTTCTCACAGAGACAATGTGATTGAGATCTTTCTTATACATGTGGCAGGTGCTCTTTCCAAATGAATCAGTACAAATAATTCTTGCTCGGATGATAGGGACAATTGGTCCAATTGACATGGAAATGCTTGCACTGGGACAAGATACCCAGAAGTACTTTACAGAAGACTACGACCTGTTCCACAAGAATGAGGTACATGCTATTTCTTGTGTACTTTCTTCTGTGCTGGACGTATTGTCAATACTTAAGATTAAGAAACCAATTTAATTTAACAAAACCAACGTTTTTTGCTACTTTATGATGCAACTCTTATTTGAACCAATAATCAGTGGATGATATGCAAGATTTGATCTCTCTTTTTGGATCCTCTTTGTGCTACATGCTTTAAATGTTGAATACCACCGACAATATCATTGACAATTAAATCTCTCTTAGGAACTGCACTTAGCTCATTTGGTGCCATACTGCCATGTTCCTCCTTACTACTCAGTTTTAAACGGTTGCATTTTTTTTTTGTTTCTGTAGAATCTTATATCAAGTGAAGCTTTACTCTAAATCTTGTTATAGAAAATATTTTGAGTCGTTAAGAAATGATAGCTGACAACTAAAACTCTAGTATATGTTATATTGGTGGTAGAAAGTTTAGTCAGAAACTGAGAGCCTTATGTTCCTGTCATCTTAATGTTTCTTTGCCCAAGGTCTTCTGTGATTGGGCACCCAGATTGTTTCTGTACTTTCGTGTGGATCTGGTTCCCAACTCAGGCGTTTTGGCTGACACTGTTGTTTGTTAGCGTGATCTTTAGAACAAGAATTTCAGTTGTTCCCCGTCACTCAGTTTGGTACTGTTGCCAGTGTTGTTCAAGCGATGCCATTAATTTCTTGTCCAACTTGTTTTAGGAGACGGATCAGTTGGAGTACTTGATCCCAGAGAAGATTTCCTTGCGGCGTCGCTTGCAGTGCCCCGACACCAAATTTGTTAAATTTCTTTCCTACCTGTTACAAATCAACCCCAGAAAGAGACCAACAGCCAGTGAAGCATTGCAGCATCCGTGGCTCTCATATGCCTATCAGTGAGATGTCAACCAAATGTGTTTATACGGGATGGATCGTTTTTCTGAAGTTCCATTTGCACCAGGATTTGGCTTTTCCGTTTTTTTCAGGGCAGTCCTTGGTTAGCATCGAAACCCTGTTTTCCGAGATGAATGCAAACTTGCTCGTGCATGTAAATATGAGAAGAAGAAAAGGTTCCTTGTTGCATATATGTATAGCTGTCACTTTGATGTACTTCACCCAACTCATCAATAGAAATGTGTTTCAAGTTTCAACATACCCGGGTCTATCTTTGGCGTTTGCTCTGAGGCACTTCACCTAATTCAAGTTTCAACGGTCAAGTGCGATGTCAATGATCTTAGTTTATGATGTTGCCACTAAATCATTCATTAACAGAAAAGCAGTAACATTGAAAATTTGAAATCCAAACATGTGAAAAAGGATGGGGGGCACAAACTAACTGAAATCTGCTGGAAGCCTAAATAAAGAGGGGATCAAATACAAGGCCTGACATATGAAACCAAAAAAATGCACGATGTAGCTCCAAAAGACCATCTTAAGGTCACAGGTGCCACTGAATCATCGCTGTAGAACCTTGATCAAAATTTACAAGCCTTCAGGAACTCACAGACCATTATAACTGTCAGTTAGATTATCAGAACTGTCAGCAACAAAAGGTCACTATACAACAATAAATTTACGCTCAGGATACAAATAGTGATCTGCGATCTCCGTGTCGAACAATGGCTTCGCCATACGGAAGGGCCTGGATGAATAACATTATATACAAGTGTTATCTCCAAGAGTATAGGTGGCCTTTGAGCCTTTGCCTAATAATCCAATGCCCTGGTGGCAAAACTTATGCTGCTTGATCAATTTGTGGGATCCCATGTCTTTGGAACCACTCTGGCATGTGAAATGTTTCATACAATGCCGGTCTAACATCATTTTGCAGAGAAAGGTGCTTGAGAAGTGGAAATATAACTCCCATAAGCTAAAATGTTTGAGAATGTCAGTGGATCAGTACACCAGAAATTGTATGTTCAGAACAAAAAGGAGAGTTATCTAAATTGTAACCTTACCTGATCATCAACAGGTTGTCCAGCCGAGAATGTAAGACAAGGTATTCCATTCAATGGTTGCAGCAGGAAACTATATGGATTGTTATCAACAAGGACAATTCTGTGGAAATCTTTCGACAAACAAGAAAGATCTTTTACATGCTCTCTATATTCCCTGGAATTCAGCACACGGCAGCGTCAAATAAGTGAAAAGCTCAGCTAACGCAGCAGGTAGCACAATTTCTTAAAGAATATGTGTCTTTGACTCTTTGTGAAATCAAGCTGGTAGCAAAACCAGGAAGACATGAATAAGTTATGATCAACATGATATGTGAATTACCAAAAACATCATTACAATAATTCAGTTTCACATAAAACAGCTATACATTAGAGATTCCATGGGCATGAATCGGTGCTACCTATGGGTGGGCACTTGCAATATTTAAGTTTGTGCTTGCAAAAAGCCTCCCACTAAAATCAATTGAAATCACATCTCAATATTTCAGTGAGCAAGACAATAATTCATTAAGGCACTATGGAAGTCAGAAGCAAAATAATCCATTATTTACAATCCACAAAAATGCTAACAGTAACTTACGTGGTAACAGTTGATGGCCTGTAGAGACGGTGACAGAATCTGTTGTGAGCATCTATCCTGTCAACTAATGGTTTTGCATATCCTGGAGAGAAAAGCACAGGTTACTAAAATGAGGTGAATTCAATTGAGTTCTAGTTGAGGATCAATATGACTATTCAGGTAACAGACCTTCTAAACCAGCAGTGAAGAGAATAAGATCAGCAAATTCGCTAGTTCTCTGCAAAAATTCGTGCAAACCAGGACGCTCAAATACAGTAACACGGTTCACCCTCTGACTTCCCTCAGCATCCTTTATATCAAGGAAAATACAAACTCTGATAAGCAACTTCCTGGATTTTAGCAGAATATCAATAAGAAAAGGATGGCAGCTTACTTGCCTTTTCAGCGGATATGCACTCCATGTCAAAGCAATGCAGTCCTGCTTCAACAGCCTCGGCACGAAGAGCAGCAGGAAGACTTGATGACTCATATGCACAAACTAGAGTTTCATCCAAATCAAGCACTACCTGGAGTCGAGCAATCCCAATTATATGATTGTAAGTTACACAGGTGGATGATAAGTTTATTAAAAGGGGATTAGGGAAATCAGTCGATGTAGAGGATAAGTTCATTAGAGGGGATTATGGAAATCAGTCGAGTAATCCCAAATATACGATTAGGGAAAAGATAGGTTCATTATGTCCTTGTTCGGTTAATCCCTCCTCGAGGCCTTGTTCGTTTAAGGATTAATTCCACACTCCCTTAATCCCCTCTAATCCCTTTTCTCCTCAAGAGGATCGAATTAATACCGATATTAACCGAACAAGACCTAAAGGGAATCGATATGAACACAACAAAGATAGATAGAAACTAGGTCTAATACGCTGTCAATGGCGACTCAATATCAGTATAATTAACCTGCTATGTGTGAAATGACCACAAATTAGCAATAGTAGTTTGTACGATCACTCAACAGTCAACAGCAAGAAAGTGAACACAATACACACAGCTCGCTCCAAAGATGCAGGAATGAACTAACACACATCTCGGTCCGTACCGTGAGCCGCCTGAGCGGCGGCGGCGGCCCCGTCGACGACGCGTCGGCGGGAGCCTCGGAGGGGAGCCGCACGAAGGCGACCGACGGCGACGGCGACGGCGACGGCTGGGGCGGCGCGGCGGAGAGGAGAGGGTGGCGGAGCCCGAGGAAGGAGAGGAGGTGCGCCCAGGAGGAAGGCGTGCCGCGGACGATCTGGAGCAGGATCTGGAGGAGGAACCCGAGCCACCCCACCACCGCCCGCCACGCCGCCTCCCCCGGATGCTGCTGCTGCCGCACCGGCCCCACCCCCGCCGCCGCCGCCGCCTCCGGCGACAAGAACTCGGCCGCCGCCATCTCCCCCCCGCGCCGGACCACGGGGCTGGGCTTGCTGGCTCCCGGAGTGCGGCTGCCTGGGCGGCTAGGGGGAGAGCTCGGGGAGGAGGAGAGCAATCATAGGGTAGGGAGAAGGAGAGGAAGAGGAGGGAGGAGTAGGGCAGGTGGCCGACGGAGTGTGGGAGTGGATGTCGTCGGTCTTTGCCCTGCGTCGTCGTCGGACACGAGGGAGGGCTTCGGCTTCCCTCGGATAAACGGTGGAATTCGGTGACAGGCTGACATGACAGCCCAGCCGAGATTATACAAATCAGCTGTTAGACATGTTCTTTTCTGCAACGAAAACGGTATAAAAGGACCTCTTTTTAAACTGCTAAACGATGTGTTTCGTGTGAAAACTTTTTATATGAAAGTTATTCTAAAATATAAGATTAATCTATTTTTTAAGTTTATAATAATTAAAATTTAATTAATCACGTATTATTATCATCTCGTTTTACGTTAAACACTTAATCTTTATTTTCATCTTCGTTCTTCAGGAGATATCAAACACCACCTTAGTCTCAAATCTGCATTCGCAAAGGAATAATCTTTCTTTTCTTTAAAAAAACGGAAGGAATAATCACCTCATAAACTCACTTCATTGGGAAGTACTCCCTAACAGTGAATCAAATTAGTTTCACAGTATACTTTCATATTATGGCCTATTCACTTTGATGAAAAAAACCCTAACCAAATTTTGCCAAAATTTTGGCAAGTTGTCAAGGCAGAATTTTTTATATAGTTATTAAAATTTGGCAGCAAACTAAATGTTGCCACTTTTTTTGGTAATTTTACCAAAATTTGGTAGGGTTGAAAATGACCCTATATTTGTTTTGCGATAAAAATATTACTATATTTTTTAAAAAATAACTTGATTATATTTATGTAAGTTTAACTTAGAAAAAAAAATAAAACGATTTATAATATAATAAAACGGAGTACTCAATCACCCATATGCACTCAATCTAGATTAAACCTCGGATCTCAATGCAAATTATACGGATGATGAGCTGTGGTGTTGCCATTTTTTTTCCAGAAAACTACCTACACCTGAACTGGTAATATACTCACTACATCCATTTCAACATAAAGAATTTCTTAATCATATAATTAATTATACGGACAAAATTCATTACATTTTGGGGACGGAGCCGTGCACGTAACCACTCGCTCCAATTTATCTTCTCACGTCCAGGTCCCAGCCCTTTGGTCGCGCGAGAAAACGGAACAATGCTGCTGTGTGCAGCCTGCAGCCAACCAACCAGGCACGACACGTGGTGCGGATCGCGACCGAAGCCTCACAAAACGCGGTTCATAGCCACCGTGCCACCGCCCACCGCTGCCCAGCACCGTCCCAAGTACAATGAACGATTTTTTTCAAAGAAATAATGCAGCTTTAATAAAAAAATGAAAATAGATATCGATCATCTAAAATCATAAATTTAATACCTCGTCAAATAACCATTGTTTAATAAGTTTTAAAAACTTAAAAACTTGAGATGTGAGTATGGCTGAGTTTAGTTCCAAACTTTTTCTTCAAAATTCGAATTTTTCCATCACATCAAAACTTTCATACACACATAAACTTTTAACTTTTTCATCACATCATTCTAATTTTAACCAAACTTTCAATTTTGGTGTTAACTAAACACACCCTACATGCATATGAGTAGGTCGTGGGACCTATCGAACTTTGGAGCTTCAATAGACCACCCATGCTTGCTACTCCTATTTCTTTTTCTTAATCAAGCTAGTTAACCTATGGAATAGCCTGTCGAACAATGATTATCGAACTTCAGTTGTTTGAGAGGGTGTTAAATTTATGATTTTTATCTATCAACATATATTTATACATTTTTTCACTAGAGTTCTATTATTTTTTAAAAAATTCTCAACAAACACTCGGTCTAAATTATCCCGTCACATTACATCACACCACGTCACAGTCAACTCACTAAAATGCAGCAGCAGGAGTAGCAGCGACCGATCCAAACCCCAGCCCTCGCGCCGACGGTCCGAGCCGTCTCGATCACCACGCAGCTCATCATCCCCTGCGCCGAAGGGAACAGATCAGAGCCAGCCGAGCCAGCGCGGCGCGGTCGCCTTTGCCCTGCCCTGCACTGACCGTTGGAGAGCCAAGCAACCCAACCCAAGCGCTCTTCTCTTCTCCTCCTCTTCCTCCCAAATCGATCGGGATCCGATGCGCACGGAGGAGGAAGGAGCATGGTGAGGACGCCCGAGAGGAGCTACTCCTGCTCCTCCGCCAAGGAAGTCGCCTACAGGTTGGTTCGCTTCGATCCCCTTCCCCCTTCTTTTTCCGCTGCTTGGATCAAGAACACGGGTTCTAGGAGAGGCTAGGATAGGCGAAACCCTGGGTTGAATCATTCGTCTTGATTAGTGTACTTAGAAGAGTGTTTCTTGGGTTGTTCAAGAGTGCAGTTATAAATTCGATCTGTTTGCAGCTGCTGGGCTCGGATGGATCTTGAAATTTCTTTTAATTGGTTTTGACTGTTAGTGATTGGTGTGCTTGCTAATGGCTCAAACTGGACTGATCAGAAAGCGCACCAACTTCGATCAGCTGGACTGAAAACTGAATTAGTGGCACTTTTACTTCTTGTGACAGATCATGGTCTTTTGTTCAATAGAAGGAATTGAATGTGACATTACGTTTGGCTTGCTGAAAAGTGAAAATTACATCCTCATACCTGAATCGACAGTTTGACACTAACAACTCTCCTATGAAACTTAATTTTTAGGATTTTGATTGCGTATTGAACACGGAATTGTCATTTTCGTGAAAATTGTGAAAATTTTCTTTTCGTGGAAAGTGGAAACGGTAGCATGGTGATATCAGTTGTGAGAAAGGATTCAGGGTCAATTCTCATGGTGTGTGCAACTGTATACACGTCTTCCATGTAATGGAAAAAAATTATCTGATGGTGTGTGCTATTCTAACAGCTGTGGTTACTGTGGCTATGCATTGAACCTGAGCTCCTCAACACGGAACACAGCGAACATTGGATCCAAGTATGGTAAGCAGATCAGGAAAGGTGTAATCTCATTCTTTGCGATCGACGAGAGTCGGTTCACACAAACTGATGAGGTGAGCTGCATGCCATACTTCCATTCAAGGCGCTCCTGGGGTTTGTTCAGAAAGAGGACAAGGTTGATCTGCCGCAAATGTGGTGGCCGTATCGGTAATGCTTATGAGGATGAGGATTCCACATTGTATGATGGTTCAGATGATTTGCACATGAGCTCCGAGGGCTACAGCATGTCGAGTGGAAAGAAATATGTTATCAAGATTAATGCACTGCAGCCTTCAACCGATGACTCTGGTGTTCCCTTCACCCTGTGATGCTGTTCTGAACTTCTGCAGTATGCACTTTTCGATTCTTGCCTTGCGCTATACTGGACTGTCAATCAAGTAACTGCAGAACCAAGAGATTACGTGCTAGTGTGTAACTGTATATTTTGATAGGAATGCTGAATTTTGCCTACCTGTATTTATAAAATGGAAGAGTTTGTTGTCTATTTACATATACATTCAGAGTTCAGTGGGTGTGCAACTGTGCATCATGGACCTGGATTTGGCAATCCATATTTGGGCAAATGTTTAGTTAGAAATCAGGTTTCTGATGATGTTCAGTGGTGTGTACTTGTGTCTTGTACTGAAATATTGTAGTGTCTTTTGATTTTTTGTGTATCTAAAGAATGATGTAAATCTTCAGCTATTCTAAACGGCAGTTTTTTTTTGTTTGTGTTTTGAAGCTATGCCAATTAATTTCTGCCACTAATGTTGATATGATTTGAAGTGAATTCCTGTGACTCTGAGCAATGCTATGCCATTTTCAGAAATTGCAATTGTGAGTAATGTGCAAGAGCCAACTGCCAAGTGCAGAAACTCATTGTTAAAATTTTCCTGCGGAGAAATCTATTGAATCTAAAGCTCAGATGAATTTTCCTGAAACTATCCAGATTTCAGGCTAATTCAGTTGCAAGAATTAACTGAAACTAAAGCACAGATGAATTTGCTGAGGGAATACAAATGCAACTGCAGTAACAGAAATAACTAAAGCACAGATGAATTTGGCTACTGCAGTAACAGAAATATAAAGTCCAAAATATTAAACGAATTGGATCTATCGTCAAATTAAAGCAACTCAGACACCGCTTGATATTCTGCAAATCCGCTGTTCTTAGTATTGGTCAGCGATGGTCAAATCAATATATAGCACATTTCAAGATGTATCAGCCCAATATGCAATGTAGATTTCAACCAGAAACCTATATCGAACTCAGCCTAAGTTCACCAAATCGCACTAACCAAAACAAAATTTCATCCCAAAACGGACAAACACAAATTGCACATCAACAAGAGGACAGATCCACAACATTGGCTCTGAAACATGTTTCAATTCAAATCCCAGTTGCAAACATCATTTGCTTCACAATTTCATGATTCAGGTAAACACTAGAAAAACTAAACAGCGAACTGAACAAGGTGGATTCCACGGCTTTCCATCAAACTTTTTTTCTTGACCGCAAGACTTGTGGGCACGGCCAGACGACATGGGAGAGATGGCGGAGGGAGGCAAGATCGATCAGCCGCCGAAGCCGTAGAGGGTGCGGCCCTGGCGCTTGAGCGCGTAGACGACGTCCATGGCGGTGACGGTCTTGCGGCGGGCGTGCTCGGTGTAGGTGACGGCGTCGCGGATGACGTTCTCGAGGAAGATCTTGAGCACGCCGCGGGTCTCCTCGTAGATCAGCCCGGAGATGCGCTTCACGCCGCCCCTCCTTGCCAGCCTCCGGATCGCCGGCTTGGTGATCCCCTGGATGTTGTCGCGGAGCACCTTCCGGTGACGCTTGGCGCCGCCCTTGCCGAGCCCCTTGCCTCCCTTGCCGCGCCCCGACATGGCCGCCGACGACGACGATTCCGGTGGCTCGACGCACGAGAGAGAGAGAAAAGCGAGTGGAATTGGAGAAGAGGTGGTGGTGATTGGAGTGGGATTTGGGGAAGAAAGGGGAGGGGGTTTTAAAAGGGGACGAGAGGATGGAGTGGGGAGGCGGCTGCCGTTGGATGGGGGAGGGAATGGACGGTGAGGATCTGGATCGCGGGGGGAGGAGCGGATCGTTGACGTGGCGTGAGGCGCGGATCGGTGATTTGGCGGGATAGTGGGAATTTTCGTGGTCTGAGAGGCGGCCAGCTCAAAATTTTGACCTGCAGGCGCCGCCAAATTTGGCCTGCGGCGCGGCCATGGGACTATGGGAGTAGGGACTTGGCGTTTGGCCTTTGAGAGATTTTTTTCACTGTTTAGTGTTTACGAATTTCCAAGGGTCAGTTTTTTTCTTAAAAGTCAAAGCTGATTTTGAAATTTGAAATTTAATTTTTAAAAGTGATTTTAGATAGATCTGTACTTGTGATTTTACAGTCATTTCAAAATAAATTGCGCAACAAATGTGACGGAGAAACCACCCAAAATTAGCCCTAGAACCAATTATGAGAATTCAAGATCAATTGTAGCTCTTTCAGTAACACACTGGGCTGCGTTCTAAAATAAGGTTGAGTTAGGCTAATCCCTCATTTATCATGAGCATATTTTCCAAACTACTAAACATATATTCTATAAAAAAATACTATATATATATAATATCAAATAAAATTATTTTTAATTTTATAATAGTTTATGTTAGTTCCGTCCTAAAATATACTTCATCCATTTCATATTATAAAACTTTCTAGGATTATCCTGTCTATCTAGATTCGTTAACATTTATATGAATGTGGGCAATGCTAGAAAGTCTTATAACCTGAAACGGATGTAGTATCATATAATATCGGATAGTATATGTAGTATTGTATATATGGATCTCATCCGGTGTTAGATTACTATGTTTTATAATGGATGAGCTACTTTATTAATCATGTGTAATGAATACCTTGGGTTCCATACCAGTGACTAGCTAAGCCCAACCCAACAGTTGTACCAAACTCAACCTTAGAAGGTTCAATATCTACGATTGTTGACGAAAAATCTGCACTCGCCCAATGGTACAGGAACTGTGTTGGCGCGAACTAAGTCGACGAACACAATGACCTAGGAGATCTGCTTAGTTCTAGTGCAGACCCAAAGGTTGATGAGATGCAGGCATACCAGTCAGTTTGATCCTACAGCAAGTGATAAAATATACAAATAGCATATCAATGAGCCGATCGGCTGTCAAGCTGATGGAGTAATCCAGCCAATGTCGATACCAGCCGATGTCAATAGTGTGTTGAGCAATCGGCTATATGTCTAATGTAGATAATGATATAGAGACAATCTGTCAGGGTTACGGGTTAGGCATACCCTTTACCCTTCGATATACGTTACATATCGGTATGGCATACCCACGCGCATATGGATACTTCCCGCGTACACTAAGGAAATCCTTCACGAAGTCTACGGATGGGAAGAGTCTTACTCGGACAAGACTGGGTCATCAATGTATCGTATAGGGTCTGTTATCTCCGAGTTCTACTTGGAAACCGCCTGACCTGCGATATAAAAGGGACCCCCCGGGGAGGACCTGAGGCATCGAATCTCAGAGCCAACACAACCCTCACAGCCTACGAAGTCGGAGCCTGCAAGGAGCCAAATCGCCGGGGATCTAGTCGAACCAACTCGACCACGATCTCGCCGGATCCGTCAAGTTCCATTGTTCCCTTTGTAACCTGTGTTTTCTACCATATAATCCCACATCAACTGGATTAGGGCTATTAACTACCAAGGGGCCTGAACCAGTATAATCCTCGTCTTTTGTCTGTTTGATGTCGTATTACGTAGATTATTGTACCAACGTACCCCAATACCCTCTATATCCGGTCTACGGGTACCACCCGTCGACAGTGGCGCGCTAGGTAGGGGGCCTTGGTACTCAAGGTTCTACTACTATGTCATCCAGCCTCGTCGACAACAGCGTCAACACCAACCTCAGCCAAGTATTCCCTGCTTCAACAATGCTGGTGTAGACTCAAGTCGGCGAAATCGTCTTCCCGGTTTACACCACGACGCCGATCTCAACCGGTCCGTCAATGACTGGAAACGAGAACGCAGTGGCTACAAACCAAGGTGACTCCATGTCAAAAAATCCTCCCGCCGAGGCGGAGAACGGAGCATCGACGACATCCGAGCTCGAGAAGGATTCTAATGCGGCCAAACCTTGTCGTTCCGACATGAACCGCGAGCCGACGAAGATGACTTCTGAAGCGACAAGGTCCTGGTGTCCTATCCACAAAACCAGGAAACACACTTTGCAAGCCTGCTGGGTTTTCCTCAACGTCCGCGCTGAAATTCGCGCCTGTAAAGAGCGTGGAATTCAACGTATTTCTCCAACTCGTGATGTCTACTGTCCTATTCACAAGACAAAGAATCACGACCTCTCAAGCTGCAAGGTCTTTTCCAGCGCCATGGAAGCGCCATCCCCTAAGGTCCAACAGGCACACATCCCCATCAGGGATAAAGACAAGGAACGAGGAGCGATGCCAACTTCAGATCGATTTGTTGGGGTAATCAATATCGATCCTCACGAACTATCAGTCTTGCACCTTCTTGAAGACTATGGGTCATCGACAACAAGCGCGCCGCGGGAGGTATTGGCTATCGATGATGTCGGCATATCAGCGTGCACCAATGCAGAAACAGAGAATCAATTGACCACTCCAGCTCAGCACATCAGAGCCGTCAACGCTATAATGAGGGAAACCCCCTACGGTCCCGTTCTAAACGACGATCTCGCGCGTTGGACAGAATGACTACGGGAATCAGTGACCAACCTCAGCAACGCGTTCGAAGAGGCCGCTGCCGCAGCGCACCCAGAGCAGCCACCAACTGGCGATGCCAACGGTGAAAATCCTGAATGAAGGGAATCGCCTCAGCGAGCTACCCCTCAACCTCGCGGCACTGGCGATCTCCGAGATCACATCAACGGCCGCCGAGAGGCACGACGCACACGAGACAATGAGAATCGTTCCCGACGTCATGTCTCTTCACGGCGCCATGATAACGAAGATCGAGGAGACCGCTCAAACGAGGACCGAGACCGTGATAACCGCCACAACCACCACGATCACAACGATCACAAACGGCGGGTGCTAGACGATACTGGTTGAGGACGTCGCCATAACGACGACTATGATGGAGACCGGCACCAAGACAACAGCGGGAGACGACGACAGGATTCTCGAGATCCAGGCCGACATCCTCGTAATCGTACGCCAGAACCAAGCGACCCATCGTCATCGTCATCATCCTCGTCTTCCTCATCATCAGACAGACATCCACGAAGGACACACGATCGCCGACAACCCACCGCCCCCAGCGCTGGGTGTAGGGCTTTCAGTCGTTCCCTACATGATGTCCGATGGCCTGAGAGATTCCGACCCAGAGCAATAGAGAAGTACGATGGGAGCACCGACCCAGAAGAGTTCCTTCAAGTCTACTCCACAGTACTCTACGCTGCCGGAGCAGACGACAACGCATTGGCGAATTATTTGCCAACTGCGTTAAAAGGCTCCGCACGTTCATGGCTGATGCATCTTCCGCCCTACTCAATCTCTTCGTGGGCAGACCTGTGGTAGCAGTTCGTCGCCAACTTCCAAGGAACCTACAAGCGCCACGCGATCGAAGACGACCTACACGCGTTGACACAGAACCCGGGTGAATCCTTGAGGAAATATATTCGGCGCTTCAACGAGTGCAGAAATACAATCCTTGAAATCACCGACGCTTTTGTAATTCGCGCCTTCAAATCCGGTGTCAGAGATCGCTATACTACCCAGGAGTTGGCGACAAGACGCATCACAACCACTCGGAGATTGTTCGAGATTGTTGAGCGATGCGCCCACGCAGATGATGCGCTAAGACGCAAGAACGATAAGCCGAAGACCGAGGGAGAAAAGAAACCAGCCACGGACGCACCTGAGTCAAGCAAGAAGAAGAATCGCAAAAATGGGAAAAGGAAAGCTCAAGCGGAAGTCCTCGCAGCAGAATACGCGAACCCTCCCAAGCGCCCAGACCCACAAAGTAGCAACACAAAGAAAGCTTGGTGCCCCATACACAAGACGAACAGACATTCTTTGGAAGATTGCCTTGTTTTCAAAAAATCGCTCGAGAAGCACATTGCATCTGAAAAAGGCAAACGAGTACGCGTGGTCGAAAAGGACGCGGAGGCGGCTCCCTAGGAATCGGACTCAGCATATCCAGACTCTGACCTCCACGTTTCACACATCTTCGGAGGTTCCACAACATACTCCTCGAAGCGAGAGTACAAGAAAGTGGAACGCGAAGTCTGTTCGACATGGCAGGGGGCTGCACCCAAGATGAAGTGGTCTGAACAGAAGATAGAGTTCTCGGAAGAAGACCACCCCAAGACCGCCGTCATTCCTGGACGATATCCGATCGTGGTCGAACCCACTATTCGGAACATCAAGGTCGCACGGGTCCTCATCGACGGTGGCAGCTCAATCAACCTTCTTTTCGCCAGCACTCTGGACGCGATGGGAATTCCACAAAGCAAGTTGACACCAACCGATCAACCCTTTCATGGAATCACTCCCCAATCCTCGTCCAGACCATTGGGCAAGATTACGTTGCCTGTGACTTTCGGCCAAGCCAACAACTTCCGAACAGAGCAGATCACCTTTGATGTCGCTGAATTCGATACAGCTTACAACGCCATCATCGGGAGAACTGCACTTGCAAAGTTTATGGCCGCATCTCACTACGCGTATCAAGTGCTCAAGATGCCGGGACCGAAGCGAATAATCACTATTCAAGGGAACGCAAAGCTGGAGGTGCAATGCGACAAACGGAGCCTCGACATGGTCAAGCAAACGCCCAGCCCACCCGCCACAACTGAGCCACCCAAGAAAGTGAGCAAAACAAACAAGACGCCGAAACCGGACGGCGCAATCAAGATTGTTCCACTCTCCAGTGCCAACCCCGACAAGACCGTCAAGATTGGGGCGACACTAACCGAGAAATAG